CTGCTGTGGCTCGCCATTATGCTCCGTCTCATCTTCTTCTACGTCCCTATACGCTATGTGTCCACCCCGATCCGCTGGGTTTGGCACAACACGGCTGTCAAGATTCAAAGCTTCATTCCCGAGAAGTTCCGAACTTTGGCTGGCGCTGCCCTGACCGTGTCTGTTATCCTGGTGGGATCCTTCGTCACCAAGGAGAGTGCCGACAACACTCGCGAGAACCGCGCCGTCAGCTTGTTTGGCATGGCTGTCATCATCTTCTGTTTTTGGGCCACCAGCAGGCACCGCAAGGCTATCAACTGGCGCACTGTATGTGGTGGCATGCTGGCCCAATACATCATTGGCCTCTTTGTCTTGCGCACCAATGTCGGGTACGATATTTTCAGCTTCATTGCTGCGCGCGCAAGTGACTTGCTCAGCTTCGCCAAAGACGGCGTCGCCTTCCTGACGAGCCCGGATACGGCGGACTTGCCCTACTTCTTCTTTGGTGTTCTTCCCGCCATCGTCTTCTTCATCGCGCTCGTCCAGGTCCTTTATTACATTGGCTTCCTACAGTGGTTTATCCGCAAGTTTGCAACCTTTGTCTTCTGGGCTCTCGAAGTGTCGGGTGCTGAGGCTGTCGTGGCTGCTGCGACTCCTTTCATCGGGCAAGGCGAGTCGGCCATGCTCATCCGTCCCTTCGTTCCACACATGACCAAGGCCGAGATCCATCAGATCATGACTTGCGGCTTCGCGACCATATCTGGCTCCGTTCTGATTGGTTACATCAACCTTGGCCTGAACCCTGAGGCTCTCGTGTCGTCTTGCATCATGTCCATCCCTGCCTCTCTGGCCATTTCGAAGCTGCGTTACCCGGAGACGGAGGAGACGCTGACAGCTGGCCGCGTCGTCGTTCCTGACGATGATGAGCACGAGGCTGAGAATGCCCTGCACGCGTTCGCCGAGGGTGCTTACCTTGGTATCAAGATCGCGGGTACCATCCTCGCGTCCATCCTTTGCATCCTCGCACTGGTTGGTCTCATCAATGGTCTGCTCACCTGGTGGGGCAAGTACCTGAACATCAACGATCCGGAACTCACCCTGCAGACCATTTTCGGATACCTTTTTTACCCCGTCGCCTGGCTGCTGGGTGTGCCTGTTAGAGATGGCAAGGACAGGGACGAGAAGAACAGGGATATCTTCAAGGTAGCCAAACTGATCGCTGAGAAGGTCATCGTGGTAAGTCTTTTCATCTGCCTTCGCTTCACATCCTCCCAAACTGACACGAGCCACAGAATGAGTACAGTGCTTTCAATCAGCTTGTCACAAACCCCAACTTTGACGAACTCTCGCCCCGCTCCAAGCTCATCGCGACCTACGCGCTTTCCGGATTCGGCAACATTGGCTCTCTGGGTATTCAGATTGGTATTCTCGGACAGCTTGCCCCTTCCCGCGGTGGCGATGTCTCGAGTCTGGCAATCTCTGCTCTCTTCTCCGGCGTCATGTCTACGCTGACGTCCGCAAGTGTTGCCGGGTTGGTCATCAGTGACCAAATCTCCAGTTTCACAAGCGCTGGTGGATCGTAGGTTATTCCTGAAGGAGAGGAGGCGTCTTTTTCTTTTGGAATATACCCAAATTGTCATTTTCTGCACACAAAGCCACCGTGATGAATACAATTCAAAAGCTTAATACACGCAATCACGTCTTAAGAAACCGGTGAGACTGTCAATCTCAGTAGAGCGTAGTAGCAGAGCCCGCGTACCATAGTACTGATGTAGTTACGTTTGATTCTTGTTCGCTTTTGTCCAGGTTCATCAGAGTCAGGCGACAGCAACGTCACGAACTACTTGAGACGGCTAGAGCTAGGTATAATTCGCGTATCTACGCGGTTAGACTTTAGTACAGCAGTGAAACCCAGAACAGTAGCTGCCGTTTCAGCTTTCACTGTGCGAAATATCGATATGCACATACCATAGGACTCACAAATCCGGCCGCTGACCGTCGCGCATCCGACGACAGGTTCCCCTACCAAGAGTCCCATCCTAATTCGAGCGCCAGAGACGTCGCCTCGTTAGCCTGGCCATGCCAGTAGGAAGAACCGTTTTTGGTCATGAAGCCAGTGGCACCGCTTTCGGTGAATTCCCCACACCTAACAGAAACTATCTCACAAAAGACTGGGTGGTCCATAGGTTCAAATTGGATCGCCTCGCCGTCTCTTCGCTCTACCGGCACTGGGTCAAATTTGACTAAACAGACCTCCCGGTCATCAGGCTCCGGTGCCGTACCATCTCATGAAGAGCCAGCCACAATATTTGGTGTACTGCAGGTCCGAGGTTTGTTTAGACCACACCATGCCTGGGAGCCGTCCACTCGAAGTCTCATTCTCCGACCTTTCGGCATCATCATCTTCTGCCCAATATTGCCATTCAACGGCACCCGAAGATATGCCGCGCGTCTTGCGCACCGCTCGATGTACTTTGTCGATCTGGCGCCAGACAGTACCTCGCGCGGCCCTTTCCCCGTGAAAATGCGCAACTCAGTCTTGTGCCGATGCGCCAGGAAGGAAGAAGAATTCGTATCGGAACCATCCAACCCGGTCGGTGAGATCGTTTTGCTCAAACTGGCGCTGGAATTCGACACCATTGAAGTTCTCCCGGGAAAATTCGGGCTTGGTAATATAGAAAACCCAGGAGGGCAGCGGCGGTAGCAGAACTCCTTTCAAACCCTTCCATGCCATAATCGCTGTTTTGCCGGTGTGGTCCTCAAATGTGACCTGCTGATCGCATCGTGTTGTATCTTTCTTACGAGCCATGGTGACGTTGATGATTGCTAGTTACATGTAGTGATGTGTAGAAATGCGAGAAATAGAGAGGTGGCCGAGGCGGTTAGTGCGACAACAGATTTCGAGTTCAGCATAGTGCATAGGTACTTGTTAGTGAAAGGCTGGACCCATGCACCTGCGATTTCACGCGTATTTCGTTGATATGGTGTGCATGACACTGTCTTTGTAACTGCAACGTCAGCCACCTTCGGTCAAGAAGCGCTACATCTATCGACAACTTGAACGAAGTAGATCATCATTCTATAACTTTCCCCTTCAGCTGGCATCGGCCACACCATGTTCACGTGTGCATGCGTACTACGTATGATGTTAATTCCTCAGATAAAGCTCTCCCAACATATGTTCCCAAGTTATTTTCAATATGAAAGCACCCGGGCCACACAACACGCCCACCTAGTACCTCAAATATCATCATGTACCTTATGGTTCTTACCAGACAACAAAACCGTGCCCAATTGATAGGCAGGACTATTTGCGTTGATCCCACTACATCCAGTTGGCCCGACAGCGAGATCAGCCAGGCGTGCCTTAAGGATCTCTGAATCTGCCGCGCATGCTGAGGGACTACGTCACACGAAGACGCATATACTGCGACCCCAGTGGCCTCGTGTGTCAATGCAGGCTCAGTAGCGACTCGCTAATTTCAGAGAGCAGTGCCAGCGACAGAAGCTGGACTTGCCAGTTGATTCTTAAGCCGCGAGCTTTGAGCCACGAGCCAGGTGGCATTTGTCTGCGCATGTCGCAAGCTGGGGACGCTAATAATTGAGTTCAAAGAATTCCGGACAATCAAGTCCGAAAGATTCGAAGGCTCCGGCGCGCGATGTGTGTCCGCAGGGCGACGGGCTAGGCCGCAGCTCCATGAGTTGACGAAACCTAAAACGCTTGATTGCACAGACAACTCCAAGCGAGATGCTTCGAGGGCGCCGCCCGATGATTAACCTTGTAGCATCCGTCAGTATCGGAGGACCTTGACATGTTGACTGGACATTGTGCTTTTCGGTGGAGGCAAGGCCTTAAGAAAGATGTCGTCTCGGACAATAAGAGGTTGCAGTGCCAGCGGGGCTCCACATGAGAACCGGTGACCGTGATCAATCTGTGCGTTGCGGAGAAGACGTGGGCTGCAGCAGCGTTCGCAATCGATTGCAGACAGAGTACCACATGATCATGTATTGACAAATACACATAGGTCTGCTTTGATCTAGTTGAATCTGGTCACTATCATTGATTTAATTTCCTCCCAAACCAACACGTTAGCGAGCCCATTGCAACCGAGCCCTCCTCGCGTGCCTTGACCCACTAACTAGGCGGAGCGTCGCACGCGTTCAGTGCACGTAGGAAGGCAGACTCCTCACAACACCACGAAAAGATCGAAACACTGGCTGGTGAGCCCGAACAAAGAACAAAAAGGCGTCAATTGTTTGTATGTTATAATTAGCCAGATCAAGTCAGATTCTTTGTTCATATTTGATTCGGCTATGCGGTCATAAGCACGATGTAATCTGATTCGAGCTGAACTGATCTGACTAGTATCTGATTGATTACGAACACTTGGCACTACGCTAAAGGAGGCTAGTGTCACATACGTAGCTAGCGCGGGCGCGAGCGAAGTGACGTGACGTTGGGGCGCCAAAAGTGCTTTGATTGGCTGTAGAGTTCGTCATTTTGCATCGCTGATTGGCTTGGCTCTCCGAATTGGCTACGGGAAGAAAAGAACAGGGGATCAGCCCCTGCCTTCCTTGATCTCCGGTCCAGTCGCTGCTGATATTTGTTGCTGAGGAGAGTTAGGACGGAACCTCACCTGGGCAGCGTTGTGTCAGAGGGCATTCTCGGCTTGACGGTCCAACCTCTGTCAGCTTTCTCTCCTCCAGTCCTTATCCGTGTTTTCTACAGTCCCTTGATTACTTTAGCTTCAGGACGGCTCTTGTCTCGTCTGCTCGCGTGGTCGCGGCATTCCAAGAATTCTCCGTCCGTGTCTTTCCCTCATTTCCTCTCTTCTTTGGACCTGCCTGCACCAGACTCTGCCATCTAATCTCGAATCCTCGCGACCGCGCCTGTCTCCAGAGAAGTGCCCTCGATGGCGCCGTTTTGGAAGAAATCGTCCACAGACAAGCCGCTGCCTCCTCCTCCTCCTCCTCCTCCTCCTCCTCCTCCTCTGACAACAGGGCCCGCCGCCTCGACAGGCAATCTGAATGACCCTCCAAGACACGCCGTCTCTGCCAACCAGGAGCACAACGTCGGTCGAAATGGCGGTTCCTCGATGTCACGCCGATCACCGATACTTGGCACGCCCGTAGCTGAGGGTGAGGCTGCGGCCGAATATTTCCCACCTCTTGAGGATACCGCGTCATCCGTCCAGCGATTCCCATCCTACCATGAGGCATCGCGACCGCAATCCTCGGGTCAGGCCTCGGTCGGCAGAGGTCGCGCAGGTAGCGGTGCCTCCGCTCCCCTGGAAGAGATGACCCGCACGGTGTCTCGCCAGCCCAGTATCAGGCTTCGTCGTCGAACTTCGTCTCTCAGATCCGGAACTACCCAGTCAGGGCCGCTCGGGACAGACAGCACCTCAGCCACGAGCAGCGTATCGGGCAACCGACCTAGAAGCATCTCTCAACCAGATCGCGCCCATCTGGCTGCCGACGCAAGCGCCCCCAGTCGGCACTCTAGAAGAGTACAGCCTGCCGCCATGCCGCGTCTGACTGAGGAAGGCGCGCGCCCGACAATGGATGAATTGGAAATGGACAATGATCCACCGTCGAGAACCCACTCATTGACTGAGGCTCGGTTCGATGATGATTTAGAGGCGCATGAAACAAACAGCCGTCCGAATCCAAGCCGTATGAGGAGGATGAGCCGATTAATCTGGCATCGCCGGGCCGATGATCAAGATCCCAATGCTTTCCCGAGTCAAGCAGATGAGCCGTCCATCAGGGATGACGAATACGATGAGCGACTTGTCGACTATCTCGACACTATCGGCAAGTTGCTTTCCCCCCTTCGGTGCCAATCACCGCGCTAACTTTCTCTCCTAGACCCAGAAGTCCAAACTCTTTCGACTCTTACGAATGTACAAAACTCGCTTTTCGTGCCGGACTTGGGCAAATGGGTGAATCGACGTCCAACATTCAACCTGTCTGAACACAATCTTGAACGTGCCGCTAGATTGCCGCCTGCACCAGGCGCACCAACACCAGGCGCGCCAACACCAGGGCCTGCTACTGGGGGCATGGGCCGAATCGGCGAGGATCGTGATGCAGAGACGCTTGCTGAAGCCGGAGTCGATGTTGAACGGCCTGGGTTGCAACGGTCCAGCACCATTACATCTCGCCTCACCGAATCTCACTACGCCGCCCTTCCCCACGGCGCCAGTCTTCACGGGTGGACAGAAGAAGAGAAATGGGAGCTTGATGATCACGTGCGTCACATGATGCACTCTCGACGCTCCAAGTTCAAGAGACAAATGAAGGGGTTTGGGCAGTATGTGAGACAGCCTTTGGGTTTCTTCGTCACTCTTTACGCCACTCTGATTACACTATTTGGTTTGGCTTGGGTCCTCTTCCTCATTGGCTGGGTCTATGTGGGTGATAAGCAGCTGTATGTGATTCATGTCATTGACAGTGTGCTTGTCGCGCTGTTTGCTGTCATGGGCGACGGATTGGCTCCTTTCCGGGCGATCGACACGTATCACTTGTGGTTTGTCTTACGGTACGCCAGGATTGTCAAGAAAGGTGGTGTGCGCCCCCGATCGAGGCTGCAAAAAAACAACGTTCCCGAGTCCATCCGAGCAAGCGTCGATGCTGCACGCGCTGTGCAAGCTGCGTCTCATGCTTCGGAGCCAGTTCAGCCCTTGCGTCAAGAGGAGCAAGTCGCGCCCGACGCAGCGAGTCAGCAGTCGAATCCCGAGGTCAACGACTACATGTTGCGCAACAATATCGTTGTGGATGCGGATGATGCTAAATCCGGTATCGAGGCTTATGAGCGTACGCCATTGACACCAAAGCAGCAGCAGAGCCTACATCATCATCAGTCGAAACTGGCCAAGTCTCACAGTTTCTATAAACCTCACGAGACGGCGACTCATTATGCCTTCCCTGTCAGTTACTTGACAGCCATTGTCATTCTTCTGGACTGCCATTCATGTTTGCAAATTTCCCTGGGAGCTTGTACGTGGGGCATTGACTATCGAAATCGGAACATTGCCATTACCACGGTCATCCTGGCTGTCAGCATCACGGTCAACATTACGGCTGGTATTGTCATCTCAGTCGGTGACAGGAAGACAAGGAAGAAGGACGTGTGGAAGTTGATGAACCGCCAAGAATTGACTGGGGATGCGATGAGACTGGTCGAGGAGAAAAGGTCCAATTCGAATTCTCAGAAGGCGGAAAAGTCGCCCGAGTCCGAGATTGACACGGAAGCGAGCAGAGAAGCCAGCTTATACGCCGCGCAGTCGAGGACGGCCTCCAGGACGGATTCCAAGACGGACTCCAAGAAGTTGGTCAAGCGCGCTTATGAGTCTGGGCGGCGGTACGATCTGGACTGATGTGTGGGTGTTCTTTACGTTTTCGTCAGGTGCTAAATTCCCGCTGGGCCGAATATACATGGATTCAGGATACCCGATAATGTTGCTCTTCTAGCACGTACTATATTTGAGCGATTGCATATAATTCCATCAATCTTTTCATGGCATTTACTCAGCCATTCGTCCAGGCTTGCAATGCGTGTGAAGAGCTAATACCACCTAGACCAAGGAATTGATATAGTTCTCCAGGTTTGTGTACCCATTTTCCGCGACGGCCATGCCGTCCATCGCATTGTTCGGGTCGAGCCCGTTAGCCTTCTCCCACTCGTCGGGGATGCCATCCCCGTCCGAATCCGTCGGCGCATTCCCACCAGCAATGACGCCCGGGCCACCCACCTCGTCCTCGTTGGCGATGAGGCTTCCATCGAGACCGTACGAGCGGACCTCGTTGACAAGAGTTGTGTCAATGCTATCTCGCACGATTGATGCACCAGCGTTGGCCAGCACAATGTCGAGAGCCTCTTGGGGAGAGTGCAGAGTCTCTGGACCAGGGTAGTTAAAGGGAGAGTCCTGGAAGTCGATGTCGGAGTAACACGTGGACGACTCGCACAAGGCTGAACCATCAAGTTCGCCGTTGGTGTTGGGATCGTAGAAGTTGTCCTTGACGTCTATCCTCCCCGTCAGTGGATTGAAGCTCTGGTCGCCATGGGGGCAGGGTTTCCTACAGGCGTGGAAGTTCTGGTTACCGCGCGTGAACGCTGTAACGCTGGTGCTTGGGCCCGAGATATAATAGTTGTTGATGATGTTTGCGTAGCTCTGTCCGGCGGAATCGCCCGCAATGTAGCCACCGCCTCGACCCCAATTGTAGATGATCTGGTTTCGCATTTTGCGTTAGACTTGCGTGTGACTATTATCTCGCCTAGCCTCTCCTTCGGCACCTCTACTCAACCGCTCTATGACTTACGTTGTTTTGAAAGTCGTTGACACCCTTGACCTTTGGGTTCCTCGTGTTGTTGTCAACGTAGAGATTCCTGAACAGGCTGATGCCTCCATCCGTCTGCATGAGGCCACCGCACGAGTGCGTCTCCAGCCCCTGGGCGATGATAGTGTCCTGGACGGTGACGTTGACTGCGGTGCCGCTGATGCTGAACGTCTCGTCGCGGCCCCAGGAGACGCTTACATGATCAAAAATCATCCTCGCGCCCTCGGCGATGGTGATGGCGTCTTTGCCTGATGCGCCGCCACGACCCATGCGGATACGAATGTAGCGGGTGATGGCATCGTTGGCGTTGGACCAGGACCAGCCGTCACCATACACTGTGATTCCCTGTGTCCCTCATCAGTAATTTTGCGTTCCCTTCGTGGCATGATCAGGAGAGGAAGAGGAGGGTGGCGATTGCGGGTGCCATACGTCGCCTGGTGCCGTTTGGCCAGCAATGTACACATTTTTGGACACGACTACGCGCGATTCCACGTTGATGACGCCGCCCACGTCGAAAACGACTATGCGGTTTGGCTGAGAGACGGCGTCGCGCAGAGAGCCTGCGCCCGAGTCGGCGAGGTTGGTGACCTTGAAGACTTCACCGAAACGGCCGCCAGTTGCAAAGCGACCCATGCCCTCTGCGCCGGGGAAAGCCAGCTGCTGAGCAGCGGCAGCGGTAGTTGCAGCAGCCCACAAGGACAAGGTCAGTTTCATGGCTGTCTGCTCGCTGCGTTCAGAGGGATAGTGGCAAGGATTGGCAGTTGGTTGACACCACGGCGGTCAACTCGAAGTGAGCCTCCTCGAGTTCTTATAATCAACGCACCGACCATCAGAGTAATCTTACATAGCCCAAAGAAGCACTTCGGACCTTGTCCTCTGCATATTTCGGCCCATTAGGGGTCAGATCACCGTAGGCAGAGGAGAGGAGGTTGTTGGAGTAATGTAGTATCACAGCTCGGTTGTGCGACAATGTACCCCGATTGGTGGGACTCGAGCACCACAGATTGCGTATGTCTGCCCCGAGATCGCGGGGAAGAGAGCACCGTGTAGCATTGTTCAAGGTCATCATAGACGGGGTCCTCGTCAAGCGTGTGCAACCTTAGTTGGTAAACATGGTAAACGACTCGCGACTCGAGGGGGTTACATGCGACGCTTGAAGCCAACAGCCCATGGTGAGACAGCGCTGACCAGGCACCTAAGGAATCCTCTCCCCTCGCGAGAGAGTAATCTCATCGATCCCTTGCCAGCGAGTCGACCATGTCTCCTGCTAGGATAGACTATCAAGGCGAGGCGCGCATCCATCCGCCTGACAATGCCCATTGTGTTCAACGAGCTTCTTATCACTCGGACGCATGAGAAGAAGCAATTTGCTAGCCCATATATAACCAAGCGCTTATTTAAGATACTGTGCCTTGTCAAGACTGTCCTGCCGTTGCTGTGCCCAATGTGGGTCCAATGTTCGGCATCGGCCCCGGTGCGTCGGTCCGAAATATGGGGCCGTCCGACCACGGGTCCGGATGTTGGAAGGGGCGTGATGGACATGTCTGTTTCCGTCATTGACAGGACGATCAAATCCTAGCTCGTCTTCCTGCTCAATTTGAGGCTCTCACGGAGCTCATCTCTGCCGGGCAGCCATGAAAAATGCGTGAGCTGTGCAGGCAAGTTCACTCGACAAGACCAGATTCTCACAGCGATATGACTATTAGCGGCCGGCTTCACCGACAGAGCAGTCTTTTGCACTGCCTGTCTCTAGCTAATCTCGTGAGCTTCAGGCCTAAAAGGTGTACATAACAAACGTAATTCCTGAGTCAGCATTGCGGAAAGGATTATGATGGAGAATCCGAAAGAGACAGAAATCCAGCCATCGCTTTCCAGAATCCCAGAACCCTTTCACTTCGTTTGAATCCTATGTGGCCCTCGAGCACTGATTCGCTTTGACCGTGGCGGCTTTCTGAAACAACCAGTGGCTGGCAATGATCGACACAGTCATGCACCGGTCGTCCTCGGGTCGAACGGTCAGCGATAGCATCCATAAGAACCCCAGGCACCTCGCTGGTTCCCACCTCGTGAAGTGTCCACGCGCAGCTTGTCTCTCCCATATCCTTTTCCTTTCCTTCCTTTAATTTTCCGTCTGTTAATTCCCGAAGCTGGTCTTCGTATCATTCCGTAATTTGCCATGTCGCCTCGGTACGTCTACCGTCGACCTCCTCAATAGGAACGAGATCCCATACTAACACCTCGGCAGTGAACTCATCGCCAAACTCTACGCTCAGGCTGAGGACAAGCGCGATAAGCAGTCCTCCAAGGCCCCTGTTCGCCGCACCAACTCGGGCAGTTCCATCACCTACTATGCCCTGGAGAGCGAGGATCTCATGCAGCCCCCGAGCTACCGTATGCGTGCTGGCAACAGCTTCTAGGCTGTCTCATGGGTCGACGATGAAAGCCGCTGGACGGTATGAGATATGACAGGATAGACAAGATTTGGCGTTACCTGGGGTTCATGTCAGTTAAATTCATAAGAGTCCAGCTCATCGCTTGGCCAGCATGGTTACTATGCTGAAGACGAGAGATCAAACCAAAACCCTCCATCTCTATGTGATCCTGTGAATTCAAGGCAAACGAAAGGGGGCGTATCTTCCTGCCAGTAATGGTTAAGGTACATTAACAACTCCAGCATTGCATGCGCGCGATACGTACATTAGGAGCAACTGCCAGCCATCTAACAGTTCGACAGATCGGGTGTTCTGATATCGAAAGGTGAACAGATCAACCTCGTTCAGATAATGCGTGGCACAAACAGGCGCAAGGCAATTGAACCGTGACAGCAACTCCCGCTAGCTGGACTAGGATACCTGCCCAAATCAATTGCAAAGAAATGTACCTCCACCTCTCTATGAGTCAAATATGCAGCCGGCTAACTAAATAGTATGCAACGAAATCGCGGGTCGGAGAAATAGCAGGTAGCTGTTTAGAACCTCAACATGTCCAGCCATTGCATCATCAGCAAACACCATTCCTCCATGCAGTTTCCAACCTATGCAGTTCCCTCTAGTTCACCGGACCATCTAAGCGGTCCAGTCTTCATGTATGTACGCTTCTTACCTATCGAATAGACTTGGCCTACCGCATTTTTACATAACCACCTGCGCACGGTCAGCACAATGAAGAGACTTCAATTTCACACGAGACTTACGCAATCGCCCTCCTGCTTCCCTTGAGGGATGCCCATATCCTCAAATGTAGCAGGTCCCTTTGAGGGCTGCTTGGCAGGCTTAGCCGGCGCTGATGCTACGGACGGCGCTGACGGTGAAGGGCTTGGGATCGGACTGGTCTTTGGCTCGGGTCGAGACATGTGTTGCCCAGGAGGAGCGCTTCCAACCCTCCCAGGGCCCCCTGCGCCAGCCATGTGAGGGGGAATGGGGCCAGGCCCCGAGTGCCCTGTCGGGGGACGGCCTGTTTCTGTGGGAGGACGGGATATCCTCTGCTGCGGCGGATGCTGAATCCGTGGGTCAGGGCGGCCGTAGCCCTGCTGAGGTGGTGGTTGGGAATATCGAGGGTCAGGACCACTACCACGGCCAGGAGTTGCTCCGGGAGGCGGAATGGGTCCGGGAGTTGGTCTCCCTCCAGGCTGTTGCTGGGGGTAGGGTGCCGCAGAGGGCGGGCGGCCATAGTGGTCCCTCGGATGGCGACCACCCGTCGGGCTGGCTGGACCAGGACTTGGCTGCCGGTAGCCGGCTGGACCATGGCTCGCCGACACGATTCTACCGCGCGGGTCGGGATGGGGCTGGCGTGGCGCTGGATGCAGATTGCCCATGGTTTGTGAAGTAGGCATTGGACGACCCCCTTGGCCTTGAGTATTGATACCAAATGCGCTGCTTGTTCGGTCCGCGGAGGGGCCTTGACCGTGGGCAGGGCGACCTCCAGGCAGCCCCTGCCCGCGCATGTCGTCCTCTGGATACGGCGCCGCGGACTTTGGCCGTAAGCCGCCCTGCGGGTAGCCTCTTTCATCTTCTGGGTAGGGAGCTGCCGAATGTGGCCTCAGCGGCAACTGATGTTGTGGCTGCTGGCCGTCAAGGCGCACGTTGAAAGCAGATGGTCGGTCGCCGGCCACTGGGACGACGACCGAGGCTCTGGACGGGTCGGGGAACGCCGCCGGATCGTTGACAACAGTCGGGCGTAAGCCGGGAGAAGGCTGAGGCGACACGCCTGGCGAGGGGCCGTGGCCATCGAGCTTGAGTGGCTTAGGATGCCCGCGCGAGTCTTCACTTAGCGTCGGCATTTGCTGCGCTTGTTTGAAACGATCTGGTCGCTTCCCCCTCTGCGAGCCATGCTGTGACTTGATTCTTGTTAGAGTTGTCGTTTCGTGGTCTTGCTTTGACAGGGTTTGATCCTGTTCTAGCGATTCCAGTCGACCAAGTGCGTCGGTGTTGCCATGCTCCGCAGCGAGCTGGTACCATCTCTGCGCTTCCGAAACACTCTTGTCGATGTAGATTCCAATCTCGCTGTAGTAACCCATGGCGAACTCAGCCGTCGGCAGCTTTTGCGCGGCCGCACGCTGGGCGTACTTGTACGCGAGCTCCTCGTTCTTCTTGAAAACGCCTTCATAACCAAAGAGAAACCATCGGCTCACGCCCAGGGCGGCTTCGGCATTGCCCTGATTGGCGGCCAAGCCATAGTAGTGTAGCGAGTAGGAGGGCTTAAAGTCGCAGCCGAACTGGCAAAGTTCGTAAGCCTGGCCCATCTTATGCTGTGCCTTGGCGAAGCCGAGATACGCTGACTTCTCAATGTAGACAAACGCGGTCTTGGGATCGGCTGGCAACATGGAATCCGGGACGTAGATGTCGGGAAGCTCTCTGCCAACAAGCATGCCGTAGACGAAGGCACCCTGCGGTGAGTCCTCGTCAGCGCTGTCAGCAGCTGCCTTGATCCTCTCGAGTCCAGTGCTATAATCCTTCACCTCGCCAAGCTGGCCGAGAAGACTCATCATACCCAGACGATACAGCGATGCCGAGTCCGACAACCCGAGGCCCTTGTAGTAGTGCTCCTTCGCTTTGGATGTGTCGTTGGACTGCTCAAACAGCATGCCCATGCGATATTCGGAACGGGAGTTGCCCAGCTCGGCTGCTCGCTTGTAGCCACTGTAGGCCTCCCGCTTGTCGACGCGGTTCCCAAACTTGCCAAATTCGAGCCATTTCGCTCGGATGTACAGGGCTGCCGGGTGCTCCTGGCCGGCTAGGTACGTGATGATATTGAGAGCGTCGACTCGGAGCTCATGCTCTTTACGCGGGGTCGAGGGCCTAGGCTTATCGGGGTTTTCGCGAGCGGCGGCTTCCATGCAGATCTCGGCCCAGTTTAGCACATCTCGGGCCCATGTGATCTGCATCGACACATTCTGGGAGCCTAAGACATGCTGACGCGCATTCCAGAGAATATCCTCCTTGTCTTCGTCAGACGGAGGCACGTTGTCGCCTTTGACCTTGGGAAAGGGTGAGAACGAGGGCCCGGCGCCCTCCGACATGGCCACGGAGTCAGACTTGTGGTAGCTCTCAAACGCGGTGTCCGCGGATCGGGCGGTCGACGAGGGCGCGTGTCGCTGTTGTTGTTGTTGCTGTTGTGGGTGAGGGGTCGTGTCGCTGCTGGGCTGCACCCACGTGGAGAGCGACGGTTCTCGTGTGTGCCTCGCGGCTGCAGTGGCGTCGGTGTCGGGTCGGTTGACTTCTCGTGCTTCGAGCTCCATGCGCTGAAGATCTTCTTGCATGTTCTGAGGAACCTGCGGCGTCACTCTGTAAAGCAGGGACGCAAGCGCGCAATGTCAGCAAATGCTGCCCCACTTCCAAGATCCGACTGAGGGATCCGAACCCGAAGGGGACGCGAGGTACGTAGGTGATTTATGCGTTGGTGGTACTCATAACAGCCCCTCAAGCGACGCACTTTGGGTGCCTTCTAGCACAGGGCAAGCTGGTTACTGAATGATCACGACGACGCACACAGCGCAGCAGCAGCAGCGCAAGAGAAGAAGCGTCGCGCAGGCTAGGCGGCGTCCTTGGCGGGACTGACAGAGACATGGACGAGAAACCTCACTTACCTTTGTGGAGAGGGCGCGACAACCTCAGGCATGTAGTAATCGTCCCAGCCGCCTGGGACAAAGGTCGCGCCCACGTCTGATGGGGGCGGCATAGCGATGGCGGGGCGTGCTGGCTGGCCAAATGAATTGAGTTGTTGGTCTGCCCGCAAGGTCGAGCAGACGAGCAAGTGACTGAAGCGAGGCGGTAAATATGGGTTCCAAGCCGCTGGAAGCGCTGGTCTCTGGCTGTGCGGTGTTGGATGGAGCAATTGGTGATAGAATTCGCTCCGCACGCCGACGAGAGCGAGGGCCAGCTGGGAAGCAAGCAGCTGATACTGTCCTCGCAGTCCGCTTGGTTGATGAGGAAGAGGACCTGAGGTTGACGGGACCAGGAAGCTGCAGGAAAGTTATGGCTCTGGCGTCACTGGACCATAAGAGGCAGTGCGCAGCCGCAGAGGTGAGGAAGATCTGAAGTAGGCATAAATAGGCTATCCTGAAGGAGTAGTTTTAATCTAACTGCCCCAGGAGAAGTACCAGTAACAACAATAATTAGACGACTCGGTTGATGGCCAAGGCGCGTATGAGCCTCGTGGAGGGGTAAGTATTACGGGGTGCGCCGTGGCTGTCCAGCTGGCAGTGGCGGTGCAGCCTAAAAATACCTTATAATACCGGCATCCTTCTTGCTCCGACTCAACATGCCTACCCGGAAGAGAACTTACGAGGAGAGGTCACGCTGCTTGCAATATCAATACCATGGCTGTCTCGGGGCTGAGATAGAGGCAGGGATTTTCGAAAGGTTAAATCTCTGACCTTGGACTTTGGGACTAACTTGGTCATGATTTTTGTTTGAATTACCTTCGACTACGTGCCGCCCTACGACTCTTCTGAAATTACGTTTGCATGTGGAATGGAAGACGACAATGACTGATGACCCCAGGCCACCGTAAAACAGATTATTTCTCACGTGCAGAACAGCCAAAGAAAGAAAGACAGACGGCGTCCACGACGTCATGAACAAGTGAATTGTGATGAGGCTTGTAGCTATTAGCACTCAACTCCATACGCGGTTTGGAGTGCATCTGCCGTGGACCGTGGTGCAACTTAAATGGATCAACAACGCTCCGCTTCCGACATGCCCCACATCACCCGACGGCGGCTGCAACTGCGTCAGCAATCCTCAGCCTGGTCGAGCTCAATACCTTGTACCATTAGTGGTCGGATCTAAACACTGACGGCCTCATCACAACAGAACAGCGACCACAATCACCACACCCACTCTCTCAGCATCTCGCCTCGCTCAACGTCCAGATTCGACAACGTACGGAAAGATATCCATCATCCGCCGCCATGGCTGAACGCAATCTCTCCCAGATCGTCGCACAGCTCAAGAAATCCCCCTCTATGAGCTACAGCGATGCGAACACGCTCCTCTCCAAAGCCAAAATCGCACTGCTCAACCTCAAAGCCCTCACGCCCAACGCTGCCGTACCGCAGTCCACCCTTGCCCTCGCACGCGAGACCTACGAACAGGGCGCCCTCTTCGCCATCCGCGCCCGCAACCCGGAGGCCTTCACCCGCTACGTCCAGCAACTCCAGCCCTTCTACGAGCTGCCCTCGTCACGGCTCCCCCCCAACCTGTCGGAGAGGAACAAGGTCACCGGTCTGAGCCTGCTGCTGCTCCTCACACAGGGCCGCTACGCAGAATTCCACTCCGAGCTGGAGAGCCTGGCCAACCGCGAGGGAGGAGGTGGTGACGTCGAGGGCGACAAATACCTGGGCTACCCGATCCGCCTGGAGAGGTGGCTGATGGAGGGCAGCTACGATCGCGTGTGGAAGGCCATGAAGAGCAGCGAAGTGCCGTGCGACGAGTACAGTGTCTTTTCAGAGGCAAGTTGGCCACGGGCCCCCCAACTGAACTTTTAGAAGGGAGCAGAACTAACCAATGTTGCAGATCTTGAAGAACCAGATCCGCTCCGAGATCGCCAGCAGCAGCGAGCGTGCGTACCCAAGCCTGCCCATCAGCTCGACCAAGTCACTCCTCTTCCTCGACTCGGAGGGCGACGTCATCTCATTCGCTCAACACAGGGGGTGGATAGTCAGGGACGGCAGCATCTTCTTCCCCGATGCCACCGAGGGCGAGGATGGCACGCACACCAAGGAGATGAGCCAGATGGTGATAGAGAATGCTCTGGGCTACGCGCGCGAGCTTGAGACGATTGTGTAATCAGACTAATGACGGTCGGCGTTTGGCAAGCATAGAGGAATAGCACCCAGTGTCACTCGAAAACTCGCCATGGACTTGATAGTAGTTGTGACTGTGTCTATTCGTAGACCGTTTTTTTCTTTTCTACAGCCAGCCCTATTTTGCAAATGGTGCTGAAATCCATCCATCCCCTTTCTAACCATATATCAACTCCTTGTCATCATCATAACGAATTACGCGAACAACTTCAGCCCGCTTCCACGCTTGCCAATCTCGCAGACCTGACACACACGGCACACACCGCCCTTGAACTTGGAGTGGTATTTCGACCCGTCAAAGGCGCACTCCTCGAATGAGTCGCCGCTGTAGATCGGCGTGTGGCTAGCGGCGCAAATCTCAAACTCAGCGTGTTGATCAAAGTCAATCTCTATCGCATCGCTTGGGTTGCGCTCGCACTGAGCCTTCATCTTGTTGGCCTAGGAAGAAATTGTTAGCAAATTGAGCATCGGTGTATCTGCGCTTGTGTGACCCACCCTTTCAATAGGCATCCTGGATCCGCCGTTCGCAAGGATCCTGTTTGCGAAGCTGAGGGCGGAGTTGTAGTTCTTGTTTATGTATGCTTGTTGCATTGCACTCATGAGGGTGAGCTGGCGGTGAGGAACCTCAATCTTGGGTATGGTGAAGTAGGCCGACAACTCAAGACTCCTCTTCAGGGCAGCCGGGTCCTTGGCAACATCATCTGTTGCCCCGAGCTCCCTCCGAGCGAGCTCAATGCCCATAGCAACCACATACTCGCTTGCGGAGGCAATGAGCTTCTTCGCCTCGGCGACCTCGTCCTCGCCAGAAACAGCGTTGACAAGGATAGCATGGAGAATGCCTCTGAAGATGTTGATACCAGCCTCAAGCTTGTTGGACTTCATTGACCCGTAACCGCGCTGGAGGTCGTCAGTAGCAAGGTGTTCCAAGTCGCGTGGGATCAGAGGCAGAACCTCGCGCGGGTTGGTCTCATCGAGCGTGCGACGGACATAGTTGACCAGAGGAGGCAAGCCTGCTGATGCGGGTAGGTACGTCTTTGAAGCTTGGTATATCTCCAGGAAGCGGGGCTTGAGCGGCGCGAACTGCACGGCACCGACCTGGCGACTCAGCAATTGCATGGCGGATTCGAATGAGCCGCCGGCAACATGGTCAGCAGCCAAAGGCGAGTTGCGCGCCCAGAGATCTGCTTCGCTGCCACCTGCACCACCGGCATCTGCACTGTCGACGTTGACGAAATCTCCCTCGACTTCCGGAATGACATCCTCGCCCATGTCCCAACCTGCGACGTCTTCATCATCTTCGCCAAGGAGGCCACCGTTCCGCTTCGCAGCCGACTCGTCAGCCGCATCGTCATTGATGTCCATCAGGTCGGCCGCTGGCTGATCCTCCAAAGACAAGCCCTCAACCTGGCCCATGAGCGCCTTTTCAAACACTGACTGTGAGCCAGCCTTGGTTGGCCAATTCGCCTTGTGGGTAGGGACAATTGGCTTGCAAGGGCTGAGCGGAGCACCGATCGTTGGCATGGTGACCTCCTCTTCAGTCAGACCCGTAGCCTCAAGAATCGCCTGGCACTCCTCATCAAGGCCATGAGACTTTGCGGTCATGTACGCCAGAGGATACAAGTCGATCTCCTTGAACATTTGAATCCTGTCCTCCACCTCGCCGAGATACACTGCGTTCTGGAACCGGGAAGTAAAGTCTCCACGGTGCTCGGCAATTTTGGCCATCCTAGCCAGCTTCGAGTGGTCTCCAGTGGCGAGATAGAGGAAGGAAAGCTTGTCAAACTGCTTGAGCTTCTGGTAGCTTATTTCCACAATCTTGTGGTTGCCGTGTGACAGGGCTTCCATGCCCAGTCTGGTCCAAAATTTCGGTCGGTCCAGCTCTTGTGCCATTTCCGAAGCAACCTCCAGGTTGCCACACTCAATGGCGAGATCAAATCGTGTGGTAGGATCCTGCACGAATTGCAGGGCAATCTCCGGGTAGCCCTTCTTTTGCAGGTAGGAGATGATTGACTGACCAACAAGGCTGGAATTCTGGATGATGTGGAGCATCTCCTCATAGTTCCGCTTAACAAGCGCAAGCTTAAAGCGGTACTCAGTAGGATCAACCTGCAAAACTCTTGGTTTCGCAGACCGATCCAGACAGTAGACGTTGCGGCCCTTTACTCGGACTAGGTAGACCGTCTGGTCCAGAGTACGGACAATGCCATTGTCACCATTGAGTAGAGTATACTTGACGTGGTTCAACGTGGAGTACAGGAGAACACCGGCATCATCCCATGTGGCGCTCTTGATCCGAATGGTTTCGTGGAGGGTGCTAACCTGCTCAAGCGTCTTGGTGACAATTGTCACGTTGTGCTTGCTGAGCAGAGCGGCGTAGAGGCCATCGTTTGACCAGACAACGTATTTGACCCCGTTGACAGACAACTCGGCGGTGCTCTTCTTCTGCTGAATGTCGTACAGGTGGACCGCGGTAGGTGTGATGATGAGAAGGTTTCCAGTTCCTCCGAAGTAGATGTCCGTGGTGCCAGCCGGCGGCTTGAAGGATCGAGTGATGTTGTTGGACAGGTCCTTGATATCGATGACTTGGCTACTTGTGTTGAGGACGGCAAACCGGTTACGCGCCACGAAGATGGCCGAGTTACCAGATCCCCTCTTCGTTTCAGTAGGTTCGATAGCACCGGAACCGTCCTTGGGGAGATTCACGAGCTCATATGTGCCACCGTCAGCGGGGGAGATGACCAAGACGGACTTTTCCGCAGGGTTGTAAGAGAGTGTCCTCGGAGTAACCCACGGGCTGCCAAGCTTCTTGAGCGACAGTAGCGTGGGGCTCTCCACGTTCTTCTGGAAGTCATATGACTTGACAGTCTTCTCCTTTGTGATGTAAAACAGCTGGTTGAGGTGCGTAGCAGATGCGGGTCGTTCACGCTCCAATTTGAAGACCATGACACCATTGTCATGACCCGCGGCGAACAAATTGATCTCTGGATGAGCCGCAATCACCCAGAAACGGTCGCTCTCCCTTTTGAACGACTGAACGGCCGTGCGCTTGTTGAGATCCCACACCCTGATCGTCTTATCTTCACCACAGGAGAGGATCAAGTCCTGGTGGGGATGGAATAAACATCCTTCCGCGTTCTGGAAGTGGCCTCGGCAGGTATCGACCTCCCAAGCCTTCGTCTCGCTCATTCTCCACAGTTTGACAAGGCGATCGTCACCGGCCGAGGCGATGAGAGGCATGGTAGGATGGAATGCGACCCAGTTCACGCCCCGATCGTGACCCTCGAGCACGAACTTGACGACGGCGTCCGTGTTGCCAAACATGTCCGTCTGGTTCTGATTTTGACGAGCGATTTGGTCTTCGAAACTCATGGAAGTCGGGGCCGAGTGCTTCTTCCGCAGACCAGAAATATCCCACACGCGGACGGATTGATCGAGCGAGGCGGAGACTACGAGGTCTTCCTTGGGATGGAACTGTGCGCACATAGCGTAGTGATTGTGGCCAGTCATTGTGCAGACTACATTGTTATTAGCCGTGATGTCAATGTCATAGAGACGCCTGACGTACTCAGAGATCGATTTTGCCAGTTCCAGATGCGGATAGTCTGGTCGTCTGACGCTGAGAGGATCCATGGCAGCTCGTGGTGGAAGAAGACTGTTCGGATATAGTCGAGATGGCCATTCAGGGTGAAGAGGCAGCGGCGCGTCTGGTAAGACCAGACCTTGATCTTGTAATCGTCACCGCCAGAGACGAACAGGGGCTGTGTTTTGTGGAAGTCAATGCCTCGAACTGGGCCATCATGTTCCTCGAATCTGTCAATCAATGTGCCCATTCGATAGTCCCAAAGCTGGATAGTCGACGAGTGTAGAGATACGAGAATCCATGGTCTGATTACAAGCCAAATGTCAGCTGGCCGAACTTCGATGGTTGGTTCGCGTTGGAGATAAACAGTCGACATACCGCTTGGGGTGGAAGGCAATGCCTTTCGCTCTCGACGACTTGGATTCGAACTGTAGCAGAGATCAGCAATGATTCAGTACGGGAAGTTGAAGCTCCTCGCACCTTTGTGAGCATGCCAGGAGAGGACTGCATCTTGGCGGGGAGGTGAAGCCGCAGCTTCTCACATCAAAGTACCAGGCAGGTCGAAAAACAGAGCAGAGCTTCGCTGGCAAAGGACGGTCAATCTGCCCGAGTCTTCACAGTGTGCAAATTGACCAGCAATGCAGCCCGTATCGTTGGAGTGTTAGGTGTTGGGCGTGGTGGAGTTTCATGGGGTGGCCTGTCCGCCTCCTGTTCAGTTGCGCATCGTGTCCTTCGGTCCAGTCGCCTAGCACCAGCTTCCAGCTGGGAGGTTGTCGGTGGAACCTTATTCCGTCAGGAAGAGCTTCCACCGCCTGCTTTCTTGGGTCACACCCCACCAACAGTCCAAAATTCTGCCGGCTATGAACCCCTGGACGTCATTGCGCTAAGCCCATTCGAGCCTCGAGTGAGCTTCGTCGAGCTGTCGATGCAAGGTGGCACCAGCCAGGGCCATTCCATGTTGGTTGTGCCTACTATCCGGTAAGGGAGCATTGGCGAGATTTTGGACCTCGCGCAGAATATCTAGCTGAACTACTGCCACTCAGTCGAAGCAGTTCCCTCGCCCGAAATCGCATGCCTGGACCCTCTACTTGCCGCGCTGCGTGACAGCCCTACGGTGCAGAGAGCCAGAGAGAGACACGGGTCCATCGCAGACACAGAACAGGCACACCAACCGACAACATGACCTTTCCGCCATCAATATCCTGGGGCCTCAGGCTGGTCCTGGCCAGCTCAGCAGCAGTTATGGCGAGCTCAAGTGTGAACATCGGCATGCAAGCGGCCTTCCCTGCGGCTCCCTTCCTGTTGGAGCTCATCGAGACCGCTGCGTCTGAAAATGCAAGCAGTTACTTTCCGCTCTTCGATCAAGTTGCCAGTCGACGTTTTGAACATTTTACCACGGAGGAGGCTGTGTATCAAGCATTCGTGCAACTCCTGCAAGATGAAGGGCACGTTTCCGGTCCTGATGCTCTGTCGACCTTTGACATGGCACTGTCTCTACGATCCGCCTCGCCGCGCATTGAGGCCCACTACCAATACTTCGAGACGACTGTTGCGCCCGTTATAGGCGCCTGGGAAGGGTGCCCCAACCTCGTCTTGTTTAAAGGGCACCAGTATTGCAGTCCCACATTGAACAAACCGATGTCTGAGAATAGGATTGACCTGGGCAATATCGACCTGCCTTTCGACCGCCCAGTGGGAGCTGGTGAAGACATAGTCCTGTATGCGGATCCAACCTCCGAGTCTTTCGGGGCATTCCATACCATGCTTTCGATTGCAGCGTACGACGGAGCCTTGAGGTACAAGTTGCGGTATCGTCGCAGTCCAAACGCCAGCCACGAACCGTTGCCGGTCAGCGGATACGGGGTGGAACTCGCGCTGAAAAGAACCGACTACATTGTCATTGATGATCGAGAGTCACAGCGCGTCGGGTCTCAAGAACGACTGACCGCTGGGACTACCTTTGAAGAAGAAGACGACATCACAGATGTGAAGCCACTTTCTACGTCAGAACTGGCGGAATTAGGGCTCAAGGCTGCGACATTCATCGTCGAGAGCGACCAGCCATTGAAGAACCTTGTTAGACTCACACAAGATATTCCCAAATTCGCAGCACTTATCGCCACCAAGGAGAGCTCCGATGCCTTCGCCAAGGAGCACAGAAGTAACCGACAGAAACTAGTTGCCCCAGGTGCAAACTATCTGTGGATGAATGGTGTTCAGCTCATCGAGAGACAAATCGAGCCGTTCAACTTGGTGGAGATGACCCGCAAAGAACGTAAGCTTCTCCGCGGTGTCCGCGATCTTGGCTTTACTGGTAGTGAGGCGGTCGCGTTGATAGGCCACAAGGCCGTGGCCGCTTCCAAATCGGAGACCGGCAGTCCCAGGTATGACTGGACGGATAGGACGGAAGATGGCCAGGCCATCATCTGGCTGAACGACTTGGAGAAAGACGAACGATACACCAAGTACCCGAAATCCGCAAGATCGTTGCTTCAACGGACATATCCAGGACAGCTCCCGCCAATAGGACTGAACATCTTCCACATAGTGCTGCCTGTGGATCTTGGTGATACAAATGACCTCGAGGTCATCAAGCAGGTGCTGAGTCTGATGGAGCGGGGTCTGCCTGTTCGATTCGGTCTGGTACCATTGACGCCTAATGCTGATGCCATTGCAAGGGCTAAGGTGGGCTACTACATGACAGGCGAAGAAGGAGGCGAAGCTTTCGCGGAAGCCTTGAAGGCCGGTCGTTTTGACACCGATACACAAGCCCTCTTGGCAACTATGGACCAAAAGCCACCCGTTGGCGATGACTCAAAAGTCCTTGGCGATGTACTCTCTTCCAAGGAGTATGACCAACACATCGAGTCAGCACGTCATTGGCTTCGACGGCTCAGTGCCAATGGCCAGACTCGATCCATCTTCGTCGACGGCTTTGCGATACCGCGCGAGAGGAATTGGATGCAAGCGGCCAGCCTGAAGTTGTTTGAAGGTTTGCAAGTCCTCCAGATGGGATTATTCCAGGGCACCATCGCCGAGACTGCTTGGCTAGCGGGTCAATTATTGGAGGATGCTGCTGTGACTCGCAATACCTACATTGCCCCCGAGGACGAAAAGTCATTGAAAGTCCTAGACGTCAGTAAGATCTACACCACACATGCGGGTCTTTTTGACCACATTGCTGTGCTTCACCCTCAAAAAGGATCAAGCCAAGAGGACTGGGCGTTGCTCACCGTCATTGCGGACTTGTCCACCCAACATGGGCAGCAGCTTCTAGTAGCGGCGCTAGGCTTCCAGCGCGAGAACCCTGGCGTTCGTCTGGATGTTGTTCCTAATCACCATCTCACATCGACAGCCTACAAGGTAAATAGCGCGCTGTGCAAGACGAGGCTGGAAAAGTTGGGCGAGCAAGAAACGCTCGCTGAGGCTCTTGACACGGTCGGGGACGTTGAAGACAACCCTGCCTTCAACATGGCCCTCCAAAACTTCCTGGACGAGGTGCAGCTGCCGCATGGTAAGCAGGCATTACTGTTCAATGGCCGGCTTATCGGCCCCATTGCGGAAGACGACTTGTTCGTTCAAGCGGACTTTGGGCAACTGTTTGAATTCGAGAAGAAGACTCGCTTGCAGCCGGTGTATGAGGCACTCAAAGACTTGGGTCTACAGGACAAGCTAACCGAACCACTGGCGGCAGCGAAGGTGACGTCTCTGACCGCACTGTCCACGATCTCGGACCTGCCCGAGGGGATATTCGACTCTGCTCCCACAGTTCGTTCGACCTTGTATGACGAATGGGCGTCCAAGCACACGGCTATTGAGACGGGCGACCCCGACACTGCAAGTGTTCACCTGGTGGGCCTGCTAAACCCGCTCAGCGAGCAAGGGCAGCAATGGGCTCCTATCCTGGAAACCTTGTCACAGCTCGACGGTGTCTATCTGAAGCTCTTCATGAATCCCAAAGAGAAGATCGAAGAGCTGCCGGTGAAGCGATTCTTCAGATATGCTCTCCAACCGAAGCCCTCTTTCGATGAGGCTGGGCGGCTGAAGCCCATCAACGCAACCTTCAAAGGCCTGCCGTCAGATACTCTGTTGACAACCGCCATGCATGTGCCCCCGGCGTGGCTTGTTGCTCCGAAAGCGTGCGTACACGACCTAGACAATATCAAACTCAGCTCTGTCAATGGCGATGTTGAAGCGCTCTACGAGTTGGAAAACATCCTGATTGAGGGACACTCCCGAGAAGCCAGAGGAGCGCCTCCAAAGGGAGCGCAGTTGGTTCTGGGCACAGACGCGCAGTCGAGCCTGACAGATACCATTATCATGGCCAATCTTGGGTACTTCCAATTCAAGGCCAACCCAGGCTACTACGCCATCAAACTAAAAGAGGGAAGAAGTGCAGATATTTTCACTATCGACAGCCTGGGCACACGTGGTTGGGAAGCTGCGCCTGGAGATGAAGGCACCCACGTTGCCGTGATGGACTTTCAGGGCACGACATTATATCCACGCTTGCGACGCAACGCTGGCATGGAAACAATGAATGTACTCGCTGACGATGAGGCGGAGGTTGAAGACAGTGTCATCTCCAAAGGGCTCAAGCTGGCCGAAAGTTGGTTTGGCGGTATATCGAAGAAGGCGTCGAATTCCAATCAGGAGCATGCCGAGATCAATATTTTCTCGGTTGCCAGTGGGCATTTGTACGAACGGATGCTGAACATCATGATGGTATCGGTCATGCGCAACACCAAGCACACTGTCAAGTTTTGGTTCATTGAACAATTCCTGTCACCAGAGTTCAAGGATTTCATCCCTCATCTCGCCCACGAGTACGGCTTCCAGTATGAGATGGTGACCTACAAATGGCCGCACTGGCTCCGGCATCAGAAAGAGAAACAGCGCGAAATCTGGGGCTACAAAATCCTGTTCCTGGATGTTCTCTTCCCGCTCTCACTCGACAAGGTCATCTTCGTGGATGCTGACCAGATCGTCCGTACCGATATGATTGACCTCGTCAACCACGACTTGGAAGGGGCGCCGTACGGCTTCACGCCCATGTGTGACTCACGCACCGAAATGGAAGGCTTCCGGTTCTGGAAGCAAGGCTACTGGGCCAACTTTCTTCGAGGGCTGCCTTACCACATTTCGGCGCTGTACGTTGTCGACCTTGGTCGCTTTCGCGAACTCGCCGCTGGCGACAGATTGCGCCAGCAATACCACACATTGTCTGCCGACCCGAACAGTTTATCGAATCTTGACCAAGACTTGCCCAACAACATGCAATTTCAGATCCCGATCCACAGCCTTCCCCAAGAGTGGCTATGGTGCGAAACCTGGTGCTCGGACGAGAGTCTCGCCAGCGCGAGGACAATCGACCTGTGCAACAATCCCGAGACGAAGGAGCCCAAGCTTGATCGGGCAAGGCGGCAGGTTCCAGAGTGGACAGTATATGACGAGGAGATCGCGGCCCTCGACAGGCAACGCCGTGGATTGGGTGAGAAGAAGCCAACTGCAAATATCAACACGAAAAGTCGCAATTTCGAGGAACCACCACACACGAAGGACGAACTATAAGGATATACAGTTCAGCGTAAGCCCAGAAATAAAATGCATAGAGTTCTCAGAATCGAATTACCCAATATAGCATTACCAAAGCGTTCGACTACACCTAGTCCACCGCCAGGGACTTCCGTAGGAGACAACATGGTAAACACGTCGATGGGCTCAGTTATACCCGCAACCGTGTCGCTGCTATAGCCGCATTCGATGAAAGTTGAACATAGTTTCAAAGTATTTACTAGCTTGCGATATAATATACCTTGGATCATATTCACCTATCACACCATATTTCATGATAGCAGACGTCACCATCGTAAATACAAAAATCGCCGCCCACTGTCGTCCTCTTACACATGAGCATCTTCCCCAATATTCCGTCAGCAATAACACGTATCGCGATTCTCACAAACGAATTGCGTTGTGCGGCACGTCCGTCGGCAGTGAGGTCAGGAAGAACCACCCAAAAATGTAAAATAGACCTGCCAGAGGCCCCAACGCTCAGCAAAAACAAACGCTCCATCGTGTTTACGAATACAACCCATCTAACATGCCCTAATTTTTTCGTGTATCGCAACGCCGAGCCGGACCTTTGTTGCGTATTGAAGCACGACCGTGGTCGAGAGCTCCGTCCTGCAGAAGAGGAAAAGGTGAAAGCAAGAATAAGCTAGATACCCAAGGTCGTATACTGGGCATCCGCTATAGAGATAGGTCGGGAAAGAGACCGAGAGTAGCCATGGCGTGACATAAGAGAGAAGCGGGTATCATGTGTTTTAGCCAGTATCAAAAGCAATCCTGGTCGACGCCCCGGCGCAGCACTCCCCAAGACAAAAAGAAGACGAGGGAAGCCCCTATGAACGCGTCTGGCTTGATTCTCGCTCCTCCTTAATGGACGTCATCGAGGAAGCGGCGTTGACCCCGGCCATGGATGAATGGCTCGGCGGAGGCATCGTGGTCGCACCATGGGCCGAGGGTGCACCGCTGGCAGCTTTGGGTGTCATGCTGCTGCTGCTGAGCTGTGAAAGGTTGACGCCTCCATCACCGTTGGCCGTAGGCCGGATGGGCGTCTCGCTAGACAGCTCCTTGTGTAGGGGTGATGAGTGAATCGGGGAAGCCGACTTCTTGCTCTGCGAGTCAACAGTATTACCTCCCCGGGACGAATTCCGTGGAGAGACACGTCCAGTCTGAGTTGTTAGCAATGGCAGGGTGGTGCAGGCTAGATAAGAGGTTAACGTACCTGTTTCGCCCAGCGAAGCCCGCAACTGTTGCAAAGATCTCTTTGCCCGCTGGGGCCACGCCGCCACTCCGGTGTGTTGCGTGTATGACAGTTGGCACAGTCTCTGACAATGTTGCCGACGCCTTTCCTTCTCTTACGTTTTTTCTTGTTTGACAATAGGCCGCCAAGCTCCTCTGCCAAAATGCGATTGATCTTCTCCATTTGACGCAATTCAAATTGCCAACTGGAACACTTGGTCGTTCTCAGTTCGTCAAACATATTGTCCTCTGAGGCCAGTGCCGCATCTTGGGACCCGGGTAAGAGGCCGCCGCCGCCGGGTTGCGATACATAGCCATTTTGTGCGTGCTGAGTGTCGGATTTGCCCGTCACCGATCCAGATTTCGTGCTTCCAGCTGGCGCGAGGCTGCGCGAGGAAGCCTTCAGCAATTTAGTTTGGGCCAGCATGAATGAAGGTTTCTGTCCTTCCGAGGCGTCACCAGGATACAGAGTCGTCTGCGCTTGTAGAACTTGCCCGCGCCTGTTCTGCACTTCATGCTTGCAGGTGACGATTCTGCCTCGACGAGCTTTTTCGATAGCTCGGCCGAAGTCGGGACGAGATTCTTTCCGCATCAGATCCTGGATGCTAGTGCCTATGAGGGCCTCGGGTTGCAGATCGAGGAGTGACCTGATGTTAGACGACACGAAGAGGAACATGCCCGATGTCGACAATTTGGTCCATAGTTCGCTGTCGCCAATACCACCGGATGAGCCAATACTCTGCCTACTCAACGCGATGACTGGTCGCTTGCGGCCAACCAGAATAATGCATTTCCGGCCCTTCCCTTGCTCGACGAACAACGAGCCGTGGCTTTCGAACCACGTATACCCACTGTTTTTGCGTCTGATTCTGAAGACAATGTTGACCGGGTTTCCGACCGAGGTGTCCTTGAGCTCGCGGGTGACTGGCACGATGTCGGAAGGATGGCAGACAGTTGACAGGGAATTGCCGACAAGGTCAGTGGTGTCGTACTCCAAAATTCTCTTACAGGAAGGCGACAGGTACAAGAATAGACCCTTCAATGACAGCACGTGGACCACGTCGTCAGTGTTCTCCAAGAGCATCTTATCCCAAGATTGCTTATGCCAGTCGGACACGACACCCTTGGGGTTGAACTGCTGCAACAGGGTCGACACATCGTCCACACCAAGCGTCTGGCCGTTGTCAGGTTCGAGATGACCGGAGTGTGGTGGTGTCCAGATGTATTGACCAATGTCGCTGTGCTTGTAGTTGACCTGGACGTTCCCTAGCTCCTGCCCGGAAGCAATAGCGTCAGGGCATTCGACCAAATCAATCTGGAAGCCAATGAAGTATCGGATCTCGTCAGTGTCCCATGGGATGGGGATCATGGTCAGGAGATTCAGGAACGGCTTCCCGCCCTTGCGGTAGTTGATCAGGCTTTGTTGGACTTCTCGACCTTCGTGAATCATCTTCTTCAGGTTGTAGACTGCACCCTCGTCAACAAACTCACGCTTGGTTCCAGCTTCCACTTGTCCGTCAGGGGCCTGGAGAAAGCGACAATTCTGGCCCACAATATCGTGGCGACTATAGCCAGTCAAATTTTGGAAGTTGTCCGACACATATATAATGGGACAATCGTTCATTGTCACATCGCAGACGACAAAGGCACAAGACATGTCGACGGCACCCAGATGAATCTTGGGGTTTTTGCGGGTTGCGACAAGCCACAGCGCTTTCAGCATGTCGAAGCCGCTTTTAGAGTAAATTGTTTTCTTGTCTTTCGGATCCTGGGGAGGGGGCGCCGGACCGTTCGCAGGGGTCGTAGGATCCGATGAGGCGCTAGGATGTGTCATGCTCGCCGACGACGGAAGTTTTTGGGGTGAGAAAGCAGAAGTGGCAGAGGATGGTTGGTGGGGGTCTCCTTGGCCGTCTCCCCTTGGCTTGGAGTCGAGAGTCATGTTGCCCGCGGATTGGCTTCTGTTTGAGTCCATGGGGGTAAATGGCGGGCGTGAATGCATGACCTCGTCTTCGCAATCGTCCAAGGGTCCGGGACCTTGCGGTGCATTGCTAGGGGTAGCACTAAGAGGCCCGCTGTCAGATATGGCCATGGTGTAGTCGTTCCCCATGTTGACCAGCTGATTTGGCGCATATTGATTCCCCATGTTTGTGTTGTCATTTGCCGAGAACATGCCCATAGCCTGAGCGTCGCCCGTCAAATGGTTCATGTTCATGTTGGAAAAGGTAGACGGAATCATGTTTGACATGAGGTCGGGAGACATGGCCGCATAGTCTGCAGGGTTCATATAGTTGCCCATTTGCCCTGCCATGGACATGTTGTTCGAGTTGACGTGTGGGTATCCTCCAGGTATAGACTGATTGAACTGGTATCCGCGCAAATCACCATTGCCATCTGCAAAATTCATCACTTCGCCGGGGCCTGTGAAGGACATTCGCCTCGGCCCGCTCGAATTCGGCATGCCATTGGCATAACTCTGAGGCAGGCTCCTTTTCCTGTGAATAGCGCTGTGGTTGTCGTCGATGATCTCGTCAAGGGTATCGCGCGCCTGTGCCGGCTGGCTGTTGACCATATTCTGTGCCATGGGCCCCGCGGAGATAGCTGATCCTTGGGGGCCCATATTCATGGGACCCACGGGAGGTTGCATAGTCTTGTGTTGTTGTTGCTGCTGTTGCTGTGCTTGCTGAACTTGCTGGTGCGAGAGCTGCCGTTGCAGCTGGTTGGTGGGATAGTAGTTATCCATGACAGCGACATTAGGCCAAAGGCCTTCCGTATCGCTTCGGTATTCGAGCTTGCAATGTGGTGCCACTCGCCTTATGTGAAGGCTGCGATATGAACTAGGACCGTTCAGGAGTCGGGTACGTACGCCGTGTCATGAGTCTACGCTTGTCGTGGGTCGGGTGTCACGGTGCCCAGCTTGCGGAGGTGAAACGACCTTTCCTGCTCGACGTGCAGCCTAGGATTGGCGTTGCGTGTGTGGGCTGAACGACAGCAATTCGAAATCGTTGGCCAACTCGACCGAAGGACCTGTGCCCAGCGGTTTGATCGTCCTGTCCGACGCGCGCTGGCGAAATTCGAAGGAACGGCAGTCGTCGGAGTTGCGAGTATGACTCGGGGCGCAGGCTTATTTTCGGTGACCAGACGGCACTCTGTCTCAGAGATTCGGGGCGGAATGTGGATGACGCGACAGGACGGACTGCACGACAGGCAGTACGAAGAGATATCAATGCCGTCAGTAACGATGGATGAATTTGTCGGTTGAAAGTGAAGGGGGCTCAAATGCGACGAAAGCCCCGCCTGCAAGCCGCAAGAGGCAGAAGCGGGACAGCACTGGTAGCTGGGGAATTATTACTGATAGCCTGACGTCTAGCAGATTGGAGAGAAGGGAAGCAGTGTCCCGGTTCGAGTCGTGGGTGCCCGTACAGTGGGGTAGGAACTTTGCTTATGTCCGTGTTCCTGTGTGCGTGGACGATGGGTTTTGCTGAACCCGGGCCTCGAAGTTGCAGAATGGCACTCGCGATGATGCTGATTGCCGTGTCGTTTGACAAAAGCCCACTGTCTACGGATACGGTCAGCCACCTCATACAGTAAGGATCTCTGAATCTCATGCCTAATCGAAACAGGCGGCGGCGGCGGTCGGCGCAAGACTGAAGCCCCGTGGCTCAAGACCCGGGTAGCGAATCACCACGACAATCCAATCAGATGTCTGCTTGCGGGACCGTTCTCGTTGCATCTTATCCATCATTCGCTGACAGAAAATGCAGTGGGTTTCTCGATGACGCAACATCCTACCTACAACCGGTACACGTATGGAATCAAATAATAGACCGTGACACGTACTGAGTGGGCGTGCTTTTGGTGTAGTCTTCACTGACTACGTAGTATCTCAGTACTTTGTAGCCTCTATTTACTAACAGAGTTCAGAGCTAAGGGGCTAACAATGCCGCTTCCATTCGCTCATGCGGCGATATAAGCGTCGCCCTACAAGTGTGTCAGATGGATTAGCAACCATCTCGTTATTTCAGATACGTTACTTGAGCCCCTGGGAGATGTAGTGTCGCGATAAAATGTGTCCAAGTACTCCGTACCTGGCACAGTTCTGGAAGGTAGGCCGCCACTCGTTCACTGGGCAAGGTGAAAATTGAAATATAGCGTAAGCATGGGGCTACGTTTGTTTCAGCACTTGTCATTAACGCTACTATCTAGTGACGGTGGTTCATCCCGAAACTGATCATATGTCCATCTCCTACTCAATTCTCCAAATCCCATGAGTTGGCACCTTTCATACAGTCGTTCCTGCGGAAGCTTGATGCGTGTCCGTAGTCGACGCCACGGAAAAAGGCCAAAAGCACCGCAAAGGCACGCCCCTGCTTGTGTCATCACGAGAAGTAACCTTTGATGACCTGCTGGGCCTCAGGTCCAAACTGTTGCTCGAGTTGGGGTGTAGGGTCGACGTTCGCTTTTTGGAGCAACTCCTTGGTCGCGGCAGCAACCCGGGTTGCGGTTTGGCCCTGCAATGCCTCGGACTCTAGAGCTTGAGCCACGAACATGAAGATCTTGCTCGCTTGGCTTGCGACTGCTGGGTGTGGTCTGGGAATGTTAGCTTCATGTCGTCCTCGCCCATCCTTGTAGACTCACGTTGCCATCAAGGTTGTCAAATAACCGTAGGCGTAGGGTGCAGCCTCTTCGTCGTTGATAACTGGCAGAGTTTCAATCCATTGCGGGATGATCGCCTGGACGTCTCCAACACTTCCGGCGTTGAACTGCAAGATCTTGGCGATAGCTGCGCAGGCATTCTCGGTGGCATACACGTTGTCCTCGTTCCGGGCATCAGCAAACTGGGTGACTTGGAACAGGTACGGCAGCGACCCTCCCAGGAATTGGGACCACGTAGGGCCACCGCGGTGCGCGGCAACGCCGACGCCATAGGCTGCGGCCTGCCTGATGGCGGGGGCCTGGTCCTGGCATCCATCGATCAGGGGTTTCTGAATATAGTTGGCATATCGCGCGCTGTCCTCGCCGCAGTATTCTAGCACGTCGTCCATGATGCATAGCCCCCATTGCCTTTGTGTCTGGTCTGGTGAGTTGAGGAATGCTTCGTAATCAGACATGAGGCGCTGCCAAGCTGGGAGGAAAGCAGATCCGTGGTTCTTGAAAATCGCATGGAAAGCCTTGTTCATGTCTGAGAGCAAGGTTTGGTCGTCTTCAATAGCCATGGCCAACTCCTCGTCGTCATCCTCAATGTCCTCTGGGGCGAGGCCTGCCCTGTCCTCAGCACGCTGATCAACGCGGTCTTTGTAGTCGGAAATGGTGGACTTAACGCCCTCGATGAACTTCTCCATGTGCTCGGCCGTAAGACAGTTTTTCCCAACGACCTCCACGGACTCATAGAAGCATTGATACATTTCTGCAAGGGTATCGATCGCTGGTTCTGCGACTAGGACTTCGAGGAGCTTATCGACGGAAGCTGTCCAGAGCCCCGCTAGTTCGTTCGAGGGGCATCCATATGCCTTCTTGTAAGAGCTCAGGAGCTGTGGCACAAGTTTTGCGGAGATGAACCGCACAGGATCATGGAAGAAGAAGGCCAGTCCGGGAAGAGCCACTTGCTCCATGAGATTGGCGACGTAGGGCGCGAAAGAACCCTCAAGGACCTTGGCGTAGACAACAAGAAGTTCTATGGCCATGTGCTTGTCGTCCATGGTACTCGTCCGAATACCAATCATCTTGCCCTTCAAAGGTACCAGTTCCCAGCCATCTTCGCCGTTCATCTGCTCTACTTGGTCCTCGTCGTCCAGCAGTTGAATATCGGCCTTGGCGGTGGCGAGCTCCAGCAGTGGTGGCATAACGCTGTCGAGGAAGGGAAGGAAGTCTGTTCCGAGGACGCGACACATCCTCCCCCAGCAGTGCATCAAGTATTGCGCCTGAGGGTCATCGGCGTCGGTGATGTTGGTCTGGATGTTAGCAAGCAGGTTGACCAGGGTCATAGCATCCTGGCCAAGTCGCTCCTTGCCAACGGCCAGGGCAATCAGCGTGGCGCATTCCATAGCCTTTGCGCGAAGGAGTCGCTGTTCCTTGTCGCCTTGGTTCTGCAGGACGTTAACGAGCAGGGGCATCAAGGTGTCGTAGTATTTTCCAAAGGCTTTCTCAGCGGCGTCGGCGATTGTGGCAATGGTGGACAGCGCTTGTTCCTGTACGTAGCGCTCTCCGTTCTGAAGTAGCTCAAACAGATGAGACAAGAGCTGGTCGAGATACGGAACAAGAACGGACGTCTCTGCCTCCTCGCAAAAGTTGACCAGGGCAGCAGCTGCATGCGACTTGACTCGGCCCTCTGGTGAACCGAGAACAGGAATGATAGCTTTCAAGACCCGATCGTAGAAGTCGGTCTGCATCTTTGGTGCAAAATCCGTGCTCATCTGACCAAGAGCGTTGCATCCTGCCCAGCGTACGCGAGGATGGGAGTCCTTGAGCGCGGGCTCGACTAGATCAAGGACCTGGCTCAGCTCTCCAATCATGAGGTCGCGGCAGCCCTCAGAGATAGCCGAGATAGCCATGAGTGCTGCGTGGCGATCTCTCCATGCCATGGACGTCATCATACGGGGAAGCCAGCCAAAGGTTGGGGCAAGAATAGTCTGTCCTCCCAGTTTGTTCGCGAGACGGTCCATGGTTTGCTCTCCAGCAACGTGGTTCTGGTCGCTCTCGTCTTGGTCCAACTAAGTCTTTGTATCAGCAACATCGCTCAAAAAAAGAAAGGTAAATTACCAACTCACGTCGTCATTAGCGAGCCATTCTGCCGCGTCATCATCGTCCTCCCCCAGGTCTGTCATGAGACTCAAGCACTGTGTGATCATGTCGCTGGTATATGAAGGATCCTTGCGGCACATGGTGGGCGCATAATCCGCGAATGTGGCCATGAGCTCCAGTGCGTTTTGGCGACAGACATTGTCTAGCTCCTTGTCCTGAATCACCGAAACGCTGAAACTGACAAGATTGGAGAATAGCGGCTTAAACATCTTGGGAGCGGCCTCTGCCAGGTCGATCAGGGCAACGAGAGCCTTACTCAAATCATCGGAGTCTCCAGATTCCTTGATTGGGACGAGGATGTTGAGCACACTGGGTATGAGGTTGTAGTACTTTGCTTGGGCCTTCTTGCCTAGGGTGCGGAAGAAGGCCGCGAAGGCTTCCATGGCCACGAGGCGAACCTGGATTCGATGTTAGCCAACCATGCTGTGTGATGGATCATTTTGTTGACGGCATACGCTGACGGCCTCATCACCGAAGCCTTTCTGGAAAGCCTCCAGGACAGTGCTCTCGTGTTGTGATTCGATGATAGCTGGGGTTGTTGTAAAGACTCGGAATGCGCATTCTCGTTTTGTGGGCTCCGTAGCCTGGCTCAACTGAAACAAGCTCGCAAGCAACTCGGGCCATGGATTGTCTGCGTACTTTCTTTAGCACCCCAACACAACAGAGCTTCCGACGGGAGCTCACTATTCTCTGTATATTGACGAGCCAACTCCGCAACAGCGTGGCTGATCTTGTTCCGAACGTTGCGATCGGTCTCGGTCCCCAGAGCCTCGAGCAGCTTCTGACGGATAGCGGCAGCTTGTTCGGCGGGAAGGGATATGAAGAAGTCGACGTTGAGCCCTGCATCATTCTTTCGAGTTTTTGAGGCGATTCGGCGGAAGATGACTGCAGCGAAGGAACGGGTCTTGAGGTTGCTTGTTAGCGAAGCGCCTGAGGGGCGGTGAGGCGTCTAGAACTGACAGCTATGTCCTGAGAGCCCTGGATCTGCTCGGCTAGACCCATCAGAAGCATTTCTGGACGCGTGTTGGTCCAGTTGTTCTGGAGGTGTTCCTCGGCCTGCGATCGAACGCCATTGTCGGGTGATTGAAGCGCCTGCAGGAGCTGGTTCAGCTCCGCATGGATCTCGGGGGACAGCACCGACATGACGGCGATGGTCGGCCCACGATATGTAGAAGTCAGCGCAGGTAGAATACTATACGTAAAATACGTGTCGAAGGGTTGCCAAACCCAAGGGCGGGTTTCAAACAGTTGTGTGTTGATGGCAATTGTTTTTTTGAGGTGGGGGAGGGGAAGGCCAGCCGGGCGTTGGTAGGCTAACGAGGCACAGTCCTCCAATGGCATGACCCGCCCATGCGCTTGAGGGAGTCCGAGTCCGCCTCAGCGACTGGACTCCACGGTCCGGCTGAGAGTAGTAATCAGCAGCCAGTCTCGCCTTGCTCTGTTGAGGGGAGCTCACGCACTGAGAAATAGCGGCATTCCGCAGCACATACCTACTACCTCCCTAGCACCTCAACAAGTCAATACATTTTTGATGGCTTGACATGGTGCCGGGTACGCAGAACCGGTTGGGCTGATGGGTCGACCCGCGGGTAGTCCCCTTTAATGTTAGACCTATGACCAGAATCGCGGTTACTGCCCCGGGACGATTCTCTTTGATGAGTTGTGAAGAAACACCCGGCTGCGCTTATGATAATTATTTATACAAGGTAACATTCATTCCTCATCTTGGGCCTTGGTGTGCAATTTAGGAACTGAACTGAATCTCGGAGAGTCGAAAGCAGGTCTGACGATCCCGCGAATTGAGATAAGCCGATAAGCTTTCTATCGGACCCCGCTATTTGGACTGGCCTGACGTACCTGAGGTTCAACTTCCATTAATTGAGTTCGGGGCACGACTATCTCTGCCTATTAAATCTCGATGAATCTGCTCGTGATTACTTCGCGCTGATCTGACGTCGCACTGCTTGAGCGAACTGCGACATTGAGTCGAAGTTTCTTCCAACGCCAAATCATTGAAGCAACTGCTTCCTAATACACACCAAGGCATACCGAACACCATTTCCAGCAGTCGACGATTCGCGAGCTGTATCGCCACCGTTGTGTCGCTGTAGACGGACACTACACTGCCCTTAGCTGCAATCACTTCTGCAAGTACCAGCTGATTGGCTTCGTAACAACCAAAGTCCATGGAGCCTCAACCAACGACATCGACCGGTCCTGGGGATGCTACCCCTCAGTCTCGGGACCCTCGCTCAGGCAGCGCAGGCAGTCTAAGCTCTTCAGCGTCAACAAGCGCAGCTCCACAGAGATCGCCCTCGGTTTCGAGTATCAATCGTTCTGCCCATCGACAGAGCTTCGCTGAAAACCTACGCAACATTCCCCCGTCTCCAAGGCAACGACACCCCTCGTTGACGCAAGCTGCAGTTCAAGACCTTCTCAACAATCCTCCGGTTGCGAATAGGCACTTACACTCAAAATTTGCCAACCGCGAATGGCGTGACATTACTGTTGGGGAGCTGGTCTCTCCTGCTGACGTGCGATGGGCCGAAATGGACACTACTGTTGAGGAAGCTACCATGGTAAGCCTGGCCACTTGTGAGTGAACGAGATTTGCCTAACTCGTGGGCAGTTGCTTTTGAAGAGTCGCCCGACCGTCGTTCTGATTCGCGAGAACGCCCAATCCAGCGCCGCCGTCTCGACATTCGATTTCAAGGATCTCAATGCCTATCTGCTAGTTGTGGTTGGACTGGCGAAGCCCGAGGAAGATCAAATCGAGGCTTCGAACAACGTCGCTGAAAAGGCACAGAAAGGAGAATCCATCACCTTGAGGGAGATCCAACCGTTGTGCCGCAAAGAGGCACTGGTGACGCTGCCGTCGCTGAGCAACCTCGCTCAAGCCATGGAAGTGCTCGGAAGCGGAGTCCACCGACTATTAGTGACAAATGAAGCAGAGGAAGCAGTCGGTATAATGAGTCAATTACGCCTCGTCGAGTTCTTTTGGAACGAAGGCGTCAACTTTGCTTCCATCGATCAACTTTACCCGCTGAGTCTTAAGGATCTGAGCATAGGGACAAAAGACACGATATCCGTGAGGTGAGCAAATGTTGCTGCGATGCGGCTAAGCATAAAACGCTGATAAAGACACAGCTGTGATGCTCCGCTTTCCGAGGCCTTGACAAAGATGAATGAGGAAGGGCTGACAAGCATCGCCGTCGTGGATAACGGACACAATGTGGTTGGCAACATATCGACACGCGACGTGCGACACCTTACCAACTCGTCGAGTGCGCATCTGCTATCCGATTCTTGCATTCATTTCATCTCCGTCATCTTGAATGAAAGGGGCGTGGAAAACGGGAAGGATGCTTTCCCAGTCTTCTACGTCAACCCCTACTCAACACTGGCCCATACGGTAGCCAAACTGGTAGCGACCAGATCCCACAGGATGTGGATTGTCGAATCGGCATCACCGTCGTCTACAGCTCCCCCTACACCCTTGGCAGGCCCAGGTAGTTTCCCGGGATCACAATCGACGGGATCTGCCGCCGCCGCGCCGTCTTCGCCACAGCCTCCATCTGCAGTTCCTGCCTCGACCATGTTGGGTTCGCGCATGTCAGGCACTCTAACGGGGGTAGTTTCGCTTACAGACATTCTCAATTGCTTCGCCAAGTCGACAGGACTACACCCCACGGATCCTGGGGCCCAGCGGGCGAGGCGGCGTAAAAGTTCCAGCAGCTCTATGAGGGCAAGTATTGATTCTATGCGAGCTGGGAGTGTGGATCTGAGGAGGTAACCGGATTCGGCTACGGGGCGAGCAAAGCCTTGATTTGATATAGTATTGCTTATGCTGTGGACTAAGTCTAATGCGATTAGGTAGTGTTTCCAGCCTTAGGATGCCCAACTAACATGCGTTGCGTAGCACACGATTGCCACCAACCTACGAGTTTACTCTCTTGCTTCTCGCGTCGTGAAAGTGTGGTCCCGTGGAGGATGACGTTAGTACTGTTACTGTCCTTGTACAAGTAGTCCGTACGGATAGTCAAATGCCCTTTGCCTTAATCTGGAATTTGGACTAGGGAAAACTACCCCACAATTGTGGCGCGGCACGGTAAGGCACCTGGTCTGGTAGGCTTCGATCGACTTCAGGGTCTTCCCAGCCATCGCTTCCATGAGTCATCATCGTCGTTTCTCGCCTCTTTGAAGGACCTCGATGCTCCTGGTTCGACTGTTCTGCACAGCCGTTCCGCATTGCATGAATCAAAGGCGCGGTCTTCGGTGTACCGTCGGACCTTTTGCCCCTTGAACGACTCCCGCGCTCCCACCCAGACTACCTACCCAAGTACCTATAACAACCGCTCATCATCCATCGGCGCACTTCCATACTTCGACCACAAGGTGTACACGCTCATGGCACCTGGAACATGTATCTTTCGCCCGAGATTCGAATACACAACGTCCTTATCCTACCCTACTCCGCCTCTACCCACTGAGTTGTCGTTCCTGCTGCATACAGCGGAACGCATCGATCCAACCGCCTAAGCACTACGACTCTACCTATCACCGACTCGGGCTCTTTTGTGCCATTTCCCACGTGGTGCGGCTCTGCTCATCTAGCTGTGTTTGATATAACACTTCTTTTCATTGGCCGTGTCTACTCAGCCCTCATCGGAGGGCGCGAGCTTTCCTGTCCGACGAGCTCTTGCGGCTGTCTCTAGGACGAGCATCGCCCCGATTCTGCCGTATTTCGCCATCTCGACAACACATTAACCCATATATTATATAAGACCACCGAGCCTAGTCAGCTCTTGTACAAGCCGACACAACGACCCGTCATGGGAGACTCAGCGGAGCTTCGGTCAGCTCTCGTGTCTGGGAGCCCCGATCACTTCGTGAGTTACACCATATCAGCAACGCGACACAGTCCTGGGCTGCAAGAAAAGTCACCACAACTAGGTGACTTCTCATCTCTTGATTTCTACTCGCTAGCTTTCCAAGAGCGTGAGACTCTGTCTAGCTTGAAGTCATTCCAGACTCCATCGAAAGAGCCCACGGCTATTTCAGAAAGACCACTATTGGGCGATTTTTCTCGCTTGACCTCATGTCTACCTTTTGAAAAGGCACTACAGCAAGCCCCTGTGCTAGCTGATGCTGGCGAAGTAGCAGAGTCTCCTCTAGAGCCATTTTCTCAGCCTTCATCAACCTTTGCCGATGCCGAGACTTCCCGGGTGACTCTGAAGAGCTTATTCGGAAACACTCGCTCTGGCAAGATCACAAAGCTCGGAGATGGACTAAGGGGACTGGCCAGCGATCTTGCGAACTCGTCAGAACCAGAACCGGATCTAGAATTTGATTCTGACAGCGGACTCAGCTCTGCCAGCAATATACCATGCACTCCACCCCAAGACAGTGCCATATCCTGGAGCCAGAAGCACCGCAAGCCCTACGTCTCAGCACCCAAGCCCGTTTACCGCTGGCGTCTCGGTTCGGAAGAGCCGAAAACCGTCAAGCAGAAGAACATTGAATTTTTCAAGGCAGAAACGAGTCGCGATCGCATGGGACAAGATTTGCTGGACCAGCTGGTCGTAAGAGACAGCGAGATCCAGCAGCAAAATCCCGACATGTGCGACAGAGGCATTCACGTCTTCCTTGATCAATCGAATATTCAGATCGGCTTCGTGCAGACTTGGCTAGCGGCGCATGGTCTTCCCAAGAATGCACACGTCAGCCCCATGCCCCAGATGAGTGTCAGGGCCCTCAACGATATTGTTGGTCGTGGTCGCGTCCACAAGACACTCTCATCCTGCTGCTCTACCCAGAACAACGGTCGACAGCCCGAATGGGGGTTTGACCTCCTTGCTCACAAGTGGACTGTCGAGGTCCGCGAGCGTAAGGCACTGGGCGACGGTACCCATAAGGAGGACCGTGTCGATGAGACTCTTCAAGAGCAGATGCGGGAGACATTGGCCAAACAAACTGCAACCTCAACGACCTTTATTGTCATAACAGGCGACGGCAAACCAGCTGAGCACTCGCCGGGATTCGTGGCTTGCGTCAAGGACATTCTTGCGGCAGGTCATTACGTGGAGGTTGTTAACTGGAACCTCAGCTGCTCCCAGGCCTGGAAAGATCTGGCGGCAGACGAGGAGTATGGCGATCATTTCCGCCACTACTACCTGAACAACTTCTTGCAGGCTTTGTGCAGTTGAAAAGTATGTGGCCGCATGTTTCGTCGAAGCAAGGGCTGCGTGACAGCGCCCGTGACTTCCTCGAGATGCTACGCGACCAACTTCGACGTTCAATGCCTGTCTTCACCACTGTACCAGCCTAGATGTCTAGATCTTGCATCTCATGGTGTCCATTCGCCTGGACCATGTTACATACGGACTACGATGCGCACCATGTGGATGTGCAGGTTGTGAGTTTGTCTCAAGGGACATGGCCATCTGCTTTGACCTTCAAAACAGACCTGCGCCAATGCCGGTACATGGTCGCAGTTCAGGCTTAGCCACAAATCATTAGGGCACTAACAGGCTTTCAATACTAATGTATCCCGCTCATTCTCTACCATGATGATTATGGCCTACCCATCTACATGTGCATCGCCAAGTGAGAGCCGCTTATCTGGTCCAGGAGGTATTGTATACAATCACGAGTGCGCTGACATCGTTGAAACATGATAAGAATTGAAGGATACCGATCTACAAAGGAAAATTAACCCCAAACATCATGTCATAAATAGCGTCCCCCTCCAGCACGCACCCTCTGCACCGGGGTGGCGCAACATGAAGGTTACGACAAATGGAAGAACTAACAACAGTCCTGCTGCGGACACACAAGGTGCGACTAGATGAGTGCAAGATCGCACTTTGAAATAGCCCCTCCAATACCCCAGTGCTGGTCAGCGTTGAACGTGGCCATGGTCTTTTGCTTCCACAGGTCATCGAACGCAGAGAAGAGGATAACGTCGCCCGGGTTGTCGGCAAAGGCCTCCTTGATGGCAGCGATGGCAGTCTTCTGGTTCTCCAGACTTGGGACAGCCTTTCCATTGACCGCACCGTCCGTGGGCCAGCCTGTCTCGGTGATGAGAATCTGCATTGGCTTGGAGAGCACAGCCTGGACATCCTTGGCAGTGTTTTGGAGCCACTTGCCGGCATCCCCAGCACCCATCGTGCTATCGAAGAACGGGTGTGCGTTGATCGCGCATAGGTCAGAGGCGTCACAGAGCTCTGGGTGGGCCTCCGTGGCGATGAAGGTATCGACAGCAGCAACAGGGCCCTGGAAGCCGGCACCACGAAGGGCACTGCGCGCCTGGGACACGGCTTGGACGACCTGATCAGCGGTGGCCTGCTGGTTGTTGACCAGTTCGTTGCCGACGCCCACTGAGTGGACAGTATCCCAGTCGCCTCCGATACCCTTGGAGATCATCTGGGCCTCGTCTTGGACCTTGTTGATGTCCCAGATCCCCATCATCAACTTGACCCCAATCTTCTTGGCGGCTGCGTAGATGGGAGGCACCTGGTCGCAGTCCGTGCCGTAGATGCGGACGAGCGAGTAGTCGCCTGCGAATTGCTCAAAGTCATCCATGATGTCCTCGGCTGTTTTGCAGCTGTGGTCGGCGCGGTAAGGCGCGTAGGAGACGCCGAACAGATCACCGGACGACTTGGTGTCCTTGCCCTTTCCAGAACCCGACGATGATTTCCCCGTGGAAGAGTGAGGGAGCGGGCCACCCCCTTTGACGGGCAATGCCTTGGATGGTCGGCCACCGGCAGCCACCGCGGGTGATGGCTGAGCAGCTCCCTGAAGCGAGATGGTGCACGTCTCCGTCGAGACAGTGGTCATAGTGGTGGTTGTTGTGCAATCCTCGTCTTCAGGGCCAGGGGTCGGCATCACCATGATCATCTCAGTCGTAGTCAAGGCCGGCGAGCCATCACTCTGAAAGTACACAACCTCGCCAGGCATTTGGGTCGGTGCTGCGACCTTGGCGTCAAAGACGGTCAGTTCCTGGTCCCATCCATCATTCTCAGCGGGTGCAGGTGCGCGCTTCTCTGTGCCATAGTTAACTCGCCTGCTGGATCGTAGACTCAACCAAGTACATGTACTGACCTTTGGTTGGATGTCCTTGGGCTACGGCGGCCAGCGCCACAGCACCGAGCAACTTTTGCTTGAGCGTCATATTGAGTTCAATAAGATGAAAGAGTGGCGTTGGTTAGTCTTGCAAAGGAGTGTACGTGGCTCAAGGTAGTCTCCGGCGCGAGTTTGCTCGGCTTGGATAATGAATGAGGGTCACAACGGGCGATACTAATGTCTAACGAGTCGACTTGTATCGAAGAAGGAGGGAAGTAAAGCTGGGGTTGCGAAGCGGAGGGCGGCAGTGCTAATATCAAGGGATTAGGGAGACAAGCAACTTGGCAAGCCGGACACAAACCACAGGCCATGCGCGCTTGATGGCAGCCCAAGTCGGCCAGGAGAAGCGTACACATCTTTACCAAGTGGAGTAAACAAAGGTTGGAATGCAAGATCTAGGCAGTCAACTTTAAGTTTGGTATGTGCTAGATCTTCAAGTATGGAGGTTGGAAATTGCGTGCCCGAGCGCGTGGCTGGCTGAGACATTCGACGCGCGGGAGCTTGAATGTTCTGGATCAGCACAAGCATCTCGAGCGCTGTACCAGTCCACGGCTTCACCCAGATGAGTTTCTGCTTGCAGGCATATTAATATTATTTGTGTGCTAGGTGTACTTTCTAGGATCCCGGCCATCTAACTTCGCAACATGAATCCACGACGCCGCGTGCATCATAGGAGATAGAGAGAATACAATGAGGAATTAGGCAGACTTGCTGGTTGTCTTGCGCGTCATCACCTTGGTGATCGCGTGCCGAATCGTAGTTCCCGCCTTCTCAATATCCTTCTTGGACAGGGCAGTGGTGATGCAAACTTTGAGTGCGGGCTGGGCCGAGCTGCTACTCCCTGGAGACTTCATTGCGTAGGCGAAGGGCCTTGTCTTGAGACGAGTGATCAGGACACCATTCGCCAGGGCCTAGAAACGGGGAGTGTCAGCTGGTTCCTTACTTTCACTTGACGCATTGTGCTGAGACATACCTCCTCCACACAGTCCATGAGAATTCTCTCTTGGTCCTCGACTCCGAGCTTGCGAGCTTGGACCACTTCGGGCTTTAACACAAGAAGCATGACAGGGTTCTCAGGAACACTGGTGCAAATTACCCAGTCGCTGCGCGGGTCTAGCTGTGCTCTCATGGCCTTGATGTTTTCCCGGCACTGGTTCAGGATTTCCGGGTTCGATTGAAGGAGATTCACAGTCTCGCTCGCCGTGACGGCCAGCATGGCTGGGAGCGCGGCCGAGTAAGTGTACGCCGTTGAGGTGATGCGTTGATGCTCTACCACATCCTTGGCACCGGCGCAAAAGCCACCACCGGCGCAAAGGGGTCCAGCTAGAGAGCCAATGATCATGTCAACTTGCTGGGGGTCCACGTTCTGGGCTTCGGTGAGACCGCGACCTGTCCGGCCGAGAACACCAAAAGACCAGGTCTCGTCGAGGATCAACCTGAACTTGTGCTTCTCCTTGAGTTCTATCAATTTGGGCAGGTCGCTGGCATCGCCGACGGTCTCGAACAGGCCTTCCGTGACGATGAAACGGCGTGTGAGCCTCTTGGCTTTCGCCTGCTCCTTGGCAACGGAGCTCATGATGGCGTCCAGGTTGTCCATGTCTCCATGGTCAAACCACTTGACGACGCTTCGCGATGCCTCCAGGCCCTTGCGGATTGAAAAGTTGACCGCGCGATCGGCCACGATGATGTCGCCACGCTTGCAAAAGGAAGGGATCACACTGGAGATGGTCGAGAAAGCCTGCGCGTAGACAATGCATCTTTCTGTACCCAAGTATGCAGCAATGTCGGCCTCGGCTTTGACGTGGACATCCTGCGTTCCGTAGAATTGTGGCGGTCCGCAGGGACCAACACCATACGTGCGAAGAATCTGGACAGCCTTTTCCTTGATCTGCTCGTTTGCGTTGAAATTGTAGAAGTTATAGGATGCTAGGTTCGTGACGGTGCGGCCATTCGACAGTTTGGACTTTGGGCCGGTCGGTCTGCGGTTCTCGGATTAGTACTAGGATGATACCCTTTGCATTGTCGCTCCCTTACCCAACGATGACAGGTATTCTCTCATTTTCGAGTGCTTCGAGAGCTGTCTGCTCCGCGACGAGCGGCTCAGGGACCCAGTCGTCGACCAACTCATCAATCTCCTATTATCGCCTGCGTCAGTCCGAATTCATCAGCGCAATGGTTGGGGGACGCACATCTTCCGTGAGCTTGACGTAGTTCTGTTTGTCAGTCGAGTATGAAGGCGACAACAGATAGCGCACGAAGAAGAGAACCAGGATCAGCTCGATGGCGGAGCGCACGGGGTCGTTCTGGTAGCTCGATTGGATATATCTGGTTAACACCGAAGAGCCTGGGACCTTTTGGAAGGCTGCGGACGCGACACTCAGCGTCCTGTGGAATTGCGCTTGTAGCTTTTCTGCGTCCATGATTGCGATTCCGGTTCACTCCCGACTTCGTAGCGCAGAGATTCGCAACTCGATAGATAGGGGAATGTATATGGAGTGTCCAGCCTGGCTGCCGTCGCCTTGGTGCGTTGTTGGCCGGCCGAAGGGTTTGCTGTTCGCCCGACAATCCGCATTGATGTTGTCCGCGTTAAAGCCCCTGGGCCTTATCTAATCGCATGGGTGGAACCAGGACGTCTTGCCTTCCAATTCCGCACCTGGAAAGGAAAGTACCTACCGCCATGTCTCGTCCGCGGCTGATTACTAAGGGCATTCACAGCAGTCCTTGCTCACGATCGAATCTCTCTCGCATTCTAACAAATCATTGCATTCTAATCAAGCAGACAATTTTGCGTTGCTAATGAAACTAAAAACCTCCACGCATTAACATGACACACAGCAAGGCGCCCCTTGATATCCACCAAATTCAACCTCCCACCTCAGAGGTCTGTATGGGTTTGATGCTTCGATAATGCACAACGCCGCCACCCAATGTTAATACACCATGGTGATGCCCTTAAAAGAGCTTGATCTTGTTCGTTGCGCGAGAGCTGTCGGTGGAACTCGACTGCGCGAGAACTCCGCTATAAGGAGGATCAACCCGGCCCGTGCCGGTAAGCATCGTGCTGTTCGTGTTGTCGTGATCCTGACCGTTGGGCTGGACAAGCCTCAGATCGGGGAGAAAGCCATTGATGACATCCGAAACCGCGTTCTTTGGCACCAATTTGGGGCCTGCGACAGCCGGCCCGACAACAAGTGCTAGGAACAAGACAAGCATGGCATAATACATGATGGCGAAGCGGATCACGCGACGACGCCTGAGCTTGGACTGCTTCATGGAATAAATGGGAGGACGGATTTGACGACTGCGGTGATGGTTAGCTTCATTCTGATGCGCGCAATGCAATCGATCGGGGGTCAGAGCATACCTTGGCATGAGCCAGAAGAGCATGATGGAGTGCAAGACATCCATTTTGGGGATTGTGACGAACGGCATCATGATGAACAAGATCCAATGACCGAGCACGAAATCGGCGGCGAACATGCCCAACTCCGTAATCTTGCAGAGAAACTCTCGTGCTGGCTGTGAGATGGAGTGCCACCCCATGGAGTACCACTTTCCAGTCCAGAAAGCTATGTTAGACTGGTCCGTCTTCATCTCACGGGTGAGGGCGGTCGCCACAATGAGCTTGTAGAAGAAGCGCTGCAGAGCAATGACGGCAATCATGCCACATAGCGTCCTTGCAAAGTTGAAACTTTCCAGAACAAACATAGCCTCGAAGAAGACGATCAGGAAAATCACGGCGAGCGCGTGTGCAATACCAGCAAGGACACTACCAAACTTCTTGCAGCACATCGACAGGAGAGGGCCCATGAAACACGCCATGAAGAACATGACCATCAAGACGCCTGCGTTGATGGCGACTGGAGCGAAAGCCACAACGAGCAGCCTGATCAGCGAGTTGGTGGGCTCGATGTCCTCGTCGTTGTTCCTGCTGGGCAAGACTCCTGTCTGCGCATTGATGAACAGGTACGGGAGGGTAGTGACGACCGCTAGGAGAAGAGGCGCGAGGATCTCCCCGAAGAAGATGTTGGTGATGGCAGCACGCGGCACGTCCGCGGACATCTTGGCAGAGGGATCGCCCAAGACCTTGCGCTTGTAACCCGTGATGCGTGTTCGGGACAGTCGACTGAACGAGATCCAGGACGATGCGTGGGATCGCGAGTTGCCTCTCGACAGCCACCGGAGAAAGTCGCGGTAATCAATGAAGAAGTCGGAAAAGGCGAACTGGTGGGGGTTGTAGAGGAAAGGCGAGACCGTAAGACCAAGCGTCGTGATCCAGAAGTAGGTCAAAGCCGGTTGCCAGGCAGTCGTACACGCGAAGAGAAGCATGATGAGGAGGCGGGAACCGAAGTACACCGACGGTCCGGCAAACCTCGAGTACAAGACTCCAAAGGGGATGCGAGCCGTCGCGAAACCACGACCGGTACCAATGTATCGAGCACCACCAAAGGTAAGATCCTGCGTCACAGAGTTCGCATAGATCTGGCAGACAAAAACCTCAAAGAAAGGCGAAAGCGAGAAGAATTGCTTTGCAAATCGGACAGCTGCACGGAACACGCCGCGCTCCATCAGCTCTTGCACGATGAGGGGAACGAATGAGATGAAGAAGACGAAGAAGATGGAGATAACACAGCGCCAGACATAGTCCATCAGAGCCGGTGTGTTGGCGCAGCCGGTCGGGAACATGGGGTCGGTAATAGGGACTTCGCGCTTGTATTCGCATGCAACGGTTTCATGACGAAGAGCTCCCAGATTGACGAGTACAATCATGAACATGTGAACAGAAAGCATGATGAACATGTTGTTGATGTGGAAACCGGCGTGGGCGTAATAGAAGGAGAGGAATCGATCCAGCGGCAGCTGCGTCCCCAAGTAGTAGTACTCGCGGGATAGGAGCTGTTCGCCCATACCAGTGCCAATCTTGGTTGTGAAGTTGAGAATCGAGCCGAAGCCCAAATCACGACCCTTGCCACATTGGTAGTACTCGCAGTGCTTGATGCGCCCACCGCGGAGGAGGGCATTCATACCAGCAAAGATATCTTCGTTCAGATGCAATCCCTTCTGGGCCTTGGAGACGCCTCCACGGGTGGTCATGAAGATACCATTGAGGAAATCAGGATGACCGTAATGCAGCTTGCCACCAATCTGGGACATGGTACGAGCGAAAAGTGTACCGAATGTTTGTTCTTTACCGGCGGCGACATCACCGAGGATGCCAATGTTTTCAGAGAAGATGTACTCGCGGGCACCAAGAATGGCGACAGGATCAGGTGTCTCGTTCTTGACGCCGGGTGTGTACGGGGAAACAGTGTCCGCTTTCATCTCCTCGAATTCGGCAAGGACGCTGCGAATCTTCAAACACTCTTCCAGGTAGTTGTCTTGATTCGCGTCGATGAGCTGGATGTATTCGCCTCTGTAGAAAATGATGGAGTGGTTCTGGTTGTCTGACTTGCCGTCGCCAAGGACTGGATTGCCGGACAGCTGAATACGGAACTTGGGTCGACGCATGCCGTTCTCCATGAGTTCGGAATGCCCATCGATCAACGCGGAGTAAAGACGGGGCTCTTCTCCCTCCACGGCAGCAGGCTCCTCGTCGAGGTACGCAATCTGAAGATCGGGGTAAGCACGCAGCAAGAACTCGGCGTTCTCCATTTCCTCCTTCTTGAACTTGGAGTAACGTTGCATGGAAACGACGAGCTTGAACTTGCGGCGAGCCATGCGCTCCAATTCGCGCTCAAGCTTCTCCGAGTTGCCTCCAAACATTTGGACCACCTCGGGATTCTCGACGCGGTAGAGCAACTTGATAGCACGGCTGTAGTTCATGAAGCCAGAGATCGTGCGATACAACGTCTGGGAACGCAGTGAGGACCAAATCCTGGTGCGGAGCGTGTACTCAGGCGCAGAAGACTTGAAACCAATGCAGTAAAAGGGAAGATCATCAATCTTGCTCTTGGCAGTGTCCTTCTCGTCGACATCGCCCTCACCAGTGAGCTGGGAAGTCTCGTCGGCCAGAATCTTGGTGTCCTTGACAAAGCAATCCCATTCATGGGGGTGGAGCTGTTTGAGATATTCCAGAAGTGTCACACGGGAGTAAGGATCGTCCTCACGAATGATTTCGCGGAGGGACAGCAGAATCTTTTCGCTGTAGTGAGGGATCATGACAGTGAAGGTTGGCATGTTGTCCACAGGCAAAGGCTCAGGAATAGGTGTGGACAAAGACTGCGCGAAGAAGGACAGGCGGCGCTCGGCTTCGCTGTACTTGGGGAAGAATTCGGTTTTGAATGAGTGATCTTCCTGCGAGACGAAGAACGTGGGTGCCCTAAGTGTCCGCTTGCCCTCTTGCTCAGATGGAACCTGATGGTAAAGTAGCTTTTGTACGTGGTCGATGGCGAGAAGATGCTCTCGGTACATGGAAATAATGATGGCGTTCCAGACTTGAGAGATGAGCACCTTTGGCTTATACTTGATCTCCATGTCCGTGGTGGCAAGAACCTTTGAGTAAATGCGCTTTGGCAGTCGAGAGAAGATGTTGCGCCAGGGCGTCATGATTGACGAACCGAGGTAGAAAGACCGAGCGAGCGAGAACAAAGTGTTGAACAAGACGTAGAAGAGATAAGTGTCCAGGAAGAAGAACAGCAAATTGGTGAAGATCATCAGCCCAAGCAGGATCATGGGGAACCATTTGCATAGGTCGTTTCCGAAGAGCAACTTGTCGCCTTTACAAGTGTCAACGTTCATGATGTGGATGTAACGCAGCGGATCTCGGAAGGGCAGTGCCAGATACACGTATGACTCTCCAAACTTGAGACCAAAGACGACCATCCAAAGACCATAGGACATGGCCATGTCAGTGCCCTTGAGGCTAGGCCAGCTAGCGGTGAATGTCTGGCTGGCAACGTAGCGTCGGGAGTTTCTCGTCAAGTAGCTTCCGAAGAGGGCGCCCAGCGGCACGATCGAAAAGTAGAGGTAAGTAATGACAGAGATGATGAAGCCAACGATGCCGATGACCAAGTCCACGTCAAGAGCACCCTTATTCACCTTTGTCGGGATTCCGAAGACTTTGACGCCCGGAGCCAGGTTGAGCACGAAGATGAGGAGGAGGAACAACAATCGTTTGGTCAAGTGTTGCGCACCGGCCCAACGTCGCGGTACGTAAGCCCATTCTGACAGAGTTGCCACGATTTGGATGAGAGAAGCAACGACACCACCGAAGCTGACGATCGCGAATTGCTTTGAGCCCCTCGGTTGATTATCCGCTTCCTGCTCGTACGTGTTGAAAATGAGCAAGGTCGGGGCATTGTACGAGGTGAAGAACCAGAACATGGTCAAATGAATGATCCAGATGCGGTTGAAGTTGATCAAGAGATGGAACCAAGAGCGAGTTTCCTTGTATGTCTTGAAGAAGCACTTCTTCCAATTGATCTCGTTCAACTTGAGATAGCGCTCGGCGGGAGGGACATCGACCAGCTTGCTTTTGTCGTGCAGGACGATACGCTCGATACCCTCTGGATACCAGAAGAGCTGGTTGCAGTCGTCGTAGCCGATAATGTCCTTGTGATCCTTTTCCCGACGAATGTAGATACCATCCAAGATCTCGTAGCCCTGATCGCGGACGTACTGATAGAGTGGCGTGATAACATTGTTGAGGAAGGTGAACTCGTCCACAGGCTCGACCAAAGCCTGGCAGGCCGGGGAGTTGAGGTAGTCGTCGGCACACTTGAAAATGAAGCAAAGACACTCCGGCATGAAGCGCACCTGATTGGCCTCGCCCCAGCAGAGCAAGTACAAGGCAATCTGACGCACGCGGTCGTGCTGTGACATCCTGTTCATCCTGGTCTTCCATCGAAACTCGGCGGCTTCGAGGCTCTCGTCACCCTCAAGTTCTTGCATCTGTTCTTCCTCATTCGCGCCCTCGAGGCCGCCCTTGTTCTTCTTGCTCTTCTTCTTGCGCTTTTTGCCTGACGTCCTGGCGTTGGCGAAGCCGACAGCATCATCGAGGTCCAAGTGGGCCGCAAAGTACCATTTGCGGTAGTTAGCGTTGTTACCGCCAATGTAATCAGCGTGAAGCGACAAGAGTGCTTGATTCGGGGTCATGCGCGAGGACCTGGAGTCGAGAAGAGTCATCAAGTGATCGTACATGTTGCGCATGCTGTCGCGTTGAAACCCGAACTTCGATGTGAGATCCATGAAGATGTCCTCGATCTCTTCCTTGGACAGGGGAATTTGGGCATCCGACGTCCAAGCCGGGTAGGGCTCTTTACTGCGCTGGCCTGCCGGGAGGGCGTTGCCGTAATCCATGCCGTAGTTGGGAGAGGATGCGCCTGAGGAACGATTACCGCCGTAAGACATCTGCGACGAAGGAGGGCGGTATCCGCGGCCACCGCCGTTTGGATCGCCATAGTTATTGTATTGCTCGTCGCCACGGCCATAGTAGTCCATCTCAGCAGCTCGGGCCATATCAGACCGCATTGTGAAGTCACTGAATGTCTCAGAATCCTCTTCAGAGCCGTGGCGCCCTCGTTGGTTACCGTAGCCCTGGTTGTAGTCGTCGTAATAGCCGCCACCCTGGCCATTGTCGTAGTAGTCATCTCGGTACTGGTCCTGGCCGTCGTAGTAGCCGCCCTCGTTGTGGTAAGGGTTGTTTTGATCCGCAGTGTAGTAACCGCTAGAAGTGTGTCAGCGAAATGTGCTGCCATCTTCAGCATATAGACTCACGATTCATCGTAGTAACCATCGTGGCCGCCCGCAGCTTGGCCCGTTCCGCCACGGTTGTCGTAGCCTTGGTCGTAGTACTGGTCATCCTGATAGTACGAGTCCGGATTGCCGTGACCGCCTTGCTGGGTTGGTTGACCGTAGCCGTCGTCGTAATGGCCGCCGCCGGCGCCACCACCTGGGTAGCCCGACATGATTCAATACGGTCTCAACTGGGAAACGTGTTAAAGCGATAGCTTGTTCGACGCCACGAGAAACGCACCTCAGATATTCATGGGGCTTTGTTGAATCACTCTGTGGACAGCTGCAGAGCCCAAACGGAGGGATGCTATCGCAAAGTGCTGATTAATGAGGTCCAGAGTGTTGAGTCTGGAGTCGATGAGAATCGAATCGAGTAAAAGAGCGTTGCCGAGCCCTCGGAGAGAGAGTGGGAGAATAACAGGAAACCAGGAGCGACAGCAAGTGAATGGCAGGAGGTGTTTGAAAGAAAGAGTGATGGTAAGATGTTGGCTGCGGGAGGCGAGGAAGGACTGGAGGACGGACTGGAAACTTGGAATGGAACGCCATCCAGTCCAGGCCACTCACTTCAGGAGAACTGAAGACTGGACTGTACTGACGGTTGGTGGACTCCAGTCGCTGGCACTGCACTGGCACTGCACTGCCTACAGTGGAGCCCCTTGAACGCCAGGCGTAGCCCGGCGTTGCACCAAGATTTCACGTTATTAATGTGCTCCTACTGGGCGCCATTGGGCCGGAGCCCCTGAATTGGAACGGAACGTGCATCTGGGATCCACTCCATCGTTTTTTTCTGAGGTTCGGAGCGTGACATGCTGGGACCCCGAGCCGCAGGGGGTTCGACCTGTCGAGGCCCAGGGGCCAGAGCAGGCCCCCGCCTCCATGTCATCCTGATTTTTTATTCTTGAGTGGAATTGTTATTATAACAGGGCGAAGCGGTGCTGCGGTAATAAGACTCAAGAGTCCTCCAGGTCCTTACCAAGTATTATCGTTGAGGGTACCCGGGCAGGACGCCACTGGCGACTGGCCTCTAAGGGCTCCACACGCGGCCCAGCCATCTTCTTGTCGCCCACGAATGTACTCCGTACATACTACTAGGTACAGTAGATGACAGCAGACTCGTACTACGTAGTACAGGGCAACAACGGAGTATATGTAAACTCATTGACCAATGTAAGGTGTAATTGAAATCAATATCGCCATCACTTGACTTTGAAACCGAGGGGGAAGTGCTACAATATATGCCGTACGCTTGAATTAGGGAGCGAGCTATCTCGGTGGCGAAGGGAGAAAATGTCAAGGCGACACGCAGGGCTTGTTGGAACAAGTACATTCTTTTGCTTTGAGATTTGCAGGCGACTCCATTTTTCCTAATACGTCTGTACAAGGAGTTCCAAGTCCGGTCCCTCCTGGAAGGCTTACGTTAGGTAGAAGTGCTGTCACAGCGGAAGGCACAGTACAAAGTTGCAAACTGCTACCTAGCCAGCTGCATAAATCCTCGGACAATAAGCAGTGGGCAAGTCAAGATCAGGAGGCATCGAGCGCAACCCCTAATTACTAGGCCATGTAATTGATATCGCGGTCACTGAAGATCGCGGTTTCTCAATCCCAAATCGCGTCCTCATTGGTGAGGATTCTGAGCGCTATACTTGGGCGTGAGGGTGTGGACGGGTATTCCCCTTGAGCTAATCAGGCACAGTACCAGTCCTGGAATGGGTGGAGCCCTTCGGCCCAGTGTCTGAGGTCCAGCTCCGATACGATGAAGGTTGCCAGATTGTGGCGTTCTTTTTGAAGACGGCGTGCACAATACGAAAGATTGGTTGTCCAGCTAACTCACTTAGGTATGATATCACCTTCGAATCGTCTAGAGTTTGCTTCAAGAACTTCAGGCCCAAATTTCGGTAATAACAGCAGACCCCGGGCAGGGCACAGAATGGATTGATGGGATTATAATTAGGTGCCATGGAAAATTGGAATTGGCATGCGAAATTGAGTCCACCAGCCTCAAACTGCATTGCAAAATGGCGATGGACTGGCAGCACTGCCATTTCCGGATCAGCCGGGTTCAACAAAGGGGGTGGATCCTTCCCTCATCAACAATCGATCGGAGCTGAAGGAGCGTCGTGCCTTGCTTAGCGGAGTACGTACCGAAATGTTCTTGCTGATATAATCACACGTCACGTGCGTTTTAGCAATCGTTTTCGGACTAGTGTCGGAACACGGATCAACTTTATCAAGCTCAAAGAGACGTTGCTGTGCCGACCGTGAGCACAGAGGACAAAACAACACTGGTCAAAGGGCTCCAACCTCCATCCACATTCTCCTATAGTATCCAACAGCGCATGAAAAACTCACACAACCACCCCAACATTGAGGCGGATTCTGCATCTTATCCCCAGTGTCAAGCAACTCCTGCTTGCTGTCCCCCTTCAACTCTTGCACACCATGGCAGCGAGGATCGTGGATCTGTGCCCATCAGATAACGATGAGCTTCCGTTGGCGGACAAGGTCGTGCCTGCTCCAGGGAGCTCCGTCAGGAACATGATGATGGACAATCGTCCCAAGTCACCGACTAGGATGCTAGTCCCCAAGTCAGCCACAAAGTCAGTCAACCGCAAAATCCGGCGGTTCGAAAACCCCCAATCGTCGGCCACAAGCAACATCCTCTTCAAGCGATGCGAGGGCCCAAATGAGTCTCCTAGGAGGTCACCCTCGAAGAAGAGCTTCCTTTTTGATGAGACTCCGAGAAAACCTTCAGCCAACAGATCCATCTTTGACGATGAGTCTCCGCCCGCGATGAATCGAACCATCAAAGCAAGGAAGCACAGGTTCGCGCCTATCTCTGAGACTGAGGAGTTGGGCGACAAGGGCCGCTTTAACGACGCCATTGACGATCTACTTCATGGAACAACGGCTCGAGTCAACGATGTCTCGAGTCTACAGGATATCCCACCATCCAACACTGTGTCCCAAGAGGAGCCAGAGCATGAGAACAGTCTGGACCAAATGGATGAACAGATTGATGTTCTTACTTTCAACGATGAGGCTTCCCCAGCTGCTACAACTGTTCCAGGTGGTACAGCAGATGCGGACAAATCGCATCAAGGATCCGTGTGTGCGGGGACAGATGGCGAGACCAGCTTGGACTTCTTTCTAGACGACTCCAACACTACCCTAAGCAGCTCCAGCGCTTCGACCAACCCTGCAGACTCGACCCAAGACGACTACAGCGTTCACGTTGACCGGGCCTTGCAACCTAAGAGTCAGGACCAGTTAAACCAAAACCTGAGCCGCCCGGCAAGGCCTGCTCAAGTGTCCACGGTGGACCTCACGAATGCTCTAGGGATGCTGGACTTGGACGCAGATGGCCGAGGCGACCAAGAAAATGGTCCATTTTCAACACCACCTGCGACACCGGGAAAACAAGCTAAGCCGAACAGGCTTTTATCGCCCTCAAAACGTGCAGCTCTGATCCCGAAAACGCCTCATCGCCCATCTACGGATGCATTTTGGGACCAGGAGGATGTAAATATTTGGAACGAGAAGCACTCTCCGCGAAAGCTGATCTTGCCGCCTGTACTCAAAAGTCCAGCAAAGCAGCCTCAAAGCCCCCGAAAGCAAGAGAGACGAGAGTTTGAGCTCAAGAGACATGCGTTGGCTGATGAATTCCTGCGGGAACTGGACCGAACCGTCACACAGGGTCAGATTAGCCGGCTGGCAGACTCAACAGGAGGCGTGAAGGTCATTTGGTCCAAGACTCTCAACACGACCGCCGGCCGAGCCAACTGGCGGCGAGAGAAGATACGATCGCACAATGATGGAGCTGGCGAGGCGGAATGCAAGTACTACCACCATGCTTCCATCGAGCTGGCCGAAAAGGTCATCAACGATGAGGACAAGCTGCTGAACACACTTGCGCATGAGTTCTGCCACTTGGCAAACTTCATGATCACTGGCATGACTAGCAATCCTCATGGCAAGGAGTTTAAGGTATGGGCGTCCAAATGCTCTCAGGCTTTTGGTGCGCGCGGAGTCAATGTGACCACCAAGCACAGCTACGAGATCGACTTCAAGTACGTCTGGGAGTGCACCACATGCGGCATCGAGGTCAAGCGTCACTCCAAAAGTGTCGACCCCAAGAAGCACCGGTGTGGATCCTGTAAGAGCACTCTCAAGCAGACCAAGCCGACTCCGAGGGGTAGTGGGAAGCCCAGCGAGTATCAGCTGTTCGTCAAGGAGCAGATGAAGGTGGTGAAGGACGAGAACCCAGGGATTGCGCAGAAGGACGTGATGAAGGCCGTTGCAGCCAAATGGGCGAAGCGAGGTGAAGTCAAATCAGCTGGCAAGGTCGACGCGGAGGTCGAGGTTCTCGGAGCACGCATCCTGGACCTCACAGTATGAGGTCTTGTCGCATTTTGAGCATAGCGATGGCGTTATCAGTGGATATATTTGTCTGTTCGTGTCACCATACGTCGTCCATAGAGTCGATAATTGCATAGATGACAATTTGGGGATCAAATCATTCCTCATTAGCGATCGTTCCCTCACTGGTTACTGCCCAAACAGTCCCCAGTCCTTGATCTTGAACGATTCCCAGATGCGCGCCGAAATTTCAACGGCATTCCCAATCAGCTTACCCTGCTTTCCGAGCTCCATGTCGACATCGTCCTCGTCGTACTCTCCTTTGATATGCGGGACATTAATTGTCATCAGAATATCTGTCTTCTTTTCTTCGAGACGGAGAAGTGTCATGACGATCGCTGTGAAGTCCGGGGCGGCGGTTCGGTCGCGCGACGCTCCCTGTGGTTGCTGTGTTGCTATGAGAGTATACGCGGGCAGGCGGCCGTGCCTGCGTGACAGCTGGGTCAGCCCATGGCAGCCGACCTTTGAGCATTCGAAACATACCTATTAGGCTCAAGACGTGAAAATTCCGTCTCAGCCGTGTTCCAGACCTTTAGTCCTTCGGTATCCTCCCCGACCAGATCCTCCAGATGGGTGGTCAAGGCTCGCCCGTCAATCTGGGGGCTTGAGCCAGGTTCGCCCACGCGCTCCGTAATGTCGAAGATGATGCTCGTGAATCCATCCTTGTCGATCCAGACCTCTTGGTTGTCTGGCACCTGGCGCAACTTGCTGTGAGACAGCCACAGTCAGCCTACCTGTACCATTTACGGAGAGGAATGCTGCTTACCTGACGTCGGCAAAGTGTTCAGGAAGATCGCACACGATGGCGCCCCCGTAAAGAGGAGTATTGACGAATTTAGGCATGATTGGCTGTTGTCGCACAGGGACAGTTCCGAAACACAGCTGTAAGGTAGCTGTCGCGTGGGATGGTATGCGACAATGGCTCTGGTAGATCGCCGGGGGATAAGTCGGTGCGCCTCGATAAGCCCTTTAGGATCTTCAGTTCTTATAATCCCGGTTTTCAAATAGAGATCTCAGATAGTGCAACAATACCTTATTTACTATGGTGGCCTAGCTGTTGTCAGATGTGATGGCGGGGTTACGTATGAGTGCAGCTTGGGAAAATGACGACGCCCTGCCTTTATGACAGCGTGGGGCGACAGAGCTGCTGCTCCGCGAAGGGGTGTGATACCACACCACCTCATTACAGCACAGCCGCACGTAAAAGGCATGAACAATAGCAAAGTTCCATAAGAAAAAGAGACTCGACCAAGACCCGGCATAGAGTACGCGGAAAGGTGAATGGAAAAAAAAATATCAGTATGTGCTCCGAGCAAAAATCGAACCTGGACGTGCCAGATGATTATTTCCAAAGATTGAGGGAGTGGAGTCTTTTGGGCCAATCCCACGGTCACATCTGGTAAAAGGCAAGAGGTGAGTTCGATGGGAGGTCCCACTCCATGGAAGATTGCAATTTAATATTGTATATATACTCGGCAAAATGGCGAGATCCCGTTCCTCCGTTCACCACCGGCGCGTCATTGCCAAGATCTCCGCATGAGCTTATTATCCACAACAGCTGTGTTGACCACAAGCTTCTCAACTCTCAGACAATCACAAGTGTTTCGACCGTTGAATTCGAAATCGATCATGTCTTGCATCTTCTGCCGCATCATCAAGGGTACCACAATCCCGCGTGAATCTACTATATTGGTGTAGCAACAGCCGCTAACGTTCTGCGTTGCACAGGCGAGATCCCCAGCTTCAAGCTCTTTGAGAGCGAGAAGACCCTGGCCTTCCTCGACATTGGCCCATTGTCCCAGGGACATGCAGTGAGTGAACATGCCGTTGACCGACCTGGGCAACAGGTTGAACAGGGCGCTTCTTGAAATGGTCCACTTTACTGACCACCCACCCTCCCTGCTTCTAGCTGGTGATCCCCAAGTTCCATGGTGCCAAGTTGGCCGACATCCCGGACGACCACCTCAGTGAGGTGTTGGTAAGTCTCGCTGACTCAGGCGACTGTCCGTAGGGGTTGCAACTGACGCGGGTTTTACGATAGCCCGTCCTCAAGAAGATTGTGACCGCGTCCGGAGCCGTGGACTACAACGTGCTGCAAAACAATGGCACAATCGCCCACCAAGAGGTGCCTCACGTAAGTACGCCGCGGTGTTGGATCTGAGCATTGCTGATAATGAGTTTCAAGGTTCATTTCCATCTGGTAAGAATAGTTTGACACATGCGTCAAGCTCGCGTTAATGAACCTCTTAGATCCCCAAGCCCAACGAGAAGGACGGCCTGACTATTGGTTGGAACTCCAAGCAAGCCGATATGGACAAGCTGAAGGCCTTGTGTGAGGACATCAAGTCGAAGATGTGAGGACCTGCAACTGCAAGGGGGCATACACACTTCGTAGTCCATTCTTAGTCAGCGGACGCTATTGATGACAGCATATCCGTTCACCACTTGGAGCATTAGTGAAAGAATGTGCGAGATGTTATTATAGGTCTGAAATTCTTTCTAGGTATGTGCTTATGCTAGCGGGGGATGCTTAGGTTCTTAATCCAGATCGTCCGCAGAGGTTTCGGGGCCCTTTGGGACCTCGGGCTGCGGTTCACTGGCTGCCCTCCAGTTGACCGTGCCATCTGGCTGGATCACTCGCGTCCTGTCGTAGAAGGAGCGGGCTCGAATGAATGGATCGAGCTTCCAATAGCCCTGCTTAAGTTGTGCAGCAAGCTGGTCCCTCCTATCCTTGATGGCCTTGGCCTCTGCGGCTTCTGGGTTCTCAATCCATTCTATTGTGGCCTCCTCGAATTGCTTCACAATCGCGTGTCGGTCCTCTATCAAGGAATCTCTGGTGGCTGTGTCTTTCATCTTGTCGTTCTCGCCGGGTATAGGCTCCGTGTACTCGTACTCCCAATTATCATCACCGCCAAGCTCCTTCATAATTTGGCTTGGCTCAATGAACTCGGACAGGTCGGCCACATTGTTGGTAAAGTGAACTTTGCTGGCAACCACTGGGTCCAGCCAGCCTCGAATGACCTTCCAGATACCTAGGTCAAATAGTCAGTGATACATCCTAGTCTATTGTTTCACGCGCGATCGGCCAGACATACCCTGGAATAGCCACGGCGAGTGATGGATCAGTACGGCACCCAAGGACTCGGGATAGTTAGCCTCGAAGCACTTGATCATGAACTTGACAGGTGTGTAATCCATGTTCGCCATGGAAAACCCGGTCATGTCAAAGATGATGGTCTTTAATCGTCAGCAAGCCATTTCGTCAAAATTACGAAAATTCAACTCACCGCTGTGTCTACAGGTGGCGATAGGACCATGCGTGTAGACTCAATGAGGTACACCGTGTACCTCTCTAGACTTTCTTCACACTGTTCGCCCTGCTTGTGCAGGCGAGCTCGGACCACGCAGATAGGGCGTCCGTTCTTGTCTGTACCGTGGAGGAAGCTCTTGCCCATGCGGATTTGTGCGAGAAAATCGTTGCCCATCTTCTGCGATTTCGCGTCAGAGCTAGCGGCATCCGCAACGGCGCCCGCCTCGCCATTCTTCATGATATCGTCGTCCACATGCATGTCGCTGTGTCTCCAGTTGAGTGTGGAGATCATCATGACCAACGCCTTGTCGACATCCCACTTGCGGGCACGAAGGAATCTCAGCGCCAGGGCGTCAGGATGGTCGTGCTTGACCATGGCCCATATGGTCTCACGGATGGTCTCAGGGCTATGTTTTGCCAGTGTTTCGTGGTACTGCTGGGTTTGCCCGTACTTGTCATCTTCAGCCGCGACTTTTACCGAAGGCGTGCCGGATTGTGCCTTGGAATCATCTTTGTTCTTGCGGAAAACGCGGAAGCGCTTCTTCTTCTGCTTTTCAGCATCGGCTGTACCACTCTGTTCGGTTGAGGTCGTAGCATCTGCAGTTGACTCTTCATGCGCCTCGACAACGCCATAGAGCTGTAGCAAAGCGAGCCACAGCTTGCGGAGCTTTTCCTCTTGGTCAGGGGTCAAGTTCCCCGGACGTCCTTCTAGTACCTGTACAGCCATTGTGTCGGGGACTTGAGAGGGCAAGCCAGGGCCGTCTTGACTGCTTCTAGTATCCGATGGTTTGCTGACCACGATCCAGACGAGTAGCCCCACTAATGACGCCGCAACCGCAGTCGTGACTTGAGCAGAGACGCTGCTGCGAAGACGTTCGGGGCCGGTGGTTTGATAGTTTGCTTGAGGCCGGAGTGAATGAGCCTTTGCAGTTCCAGAAGAAAAGCGAGGTGGATTGCGCTGTTTGCTAAGATTGCGGATGCTACCAATCCAGGTCGGAAATCCTTGGCCTAAGCGGGCCAGGAACGGATCAGTCGGGACAGAGACTCGAATGTCAGCGCTGGAGCGAAGGGCCCTAGTACGAAACAGCAGGAACGATTGAACCCTGAACCTCATAGGAGCGCAGTGGCCGTAGAATAGGATGAACAGGATAAGCTGCCGCGAGGGATTAGCGGTTGATGTGCGGTGCAACGTGGTGCAAAAAATCGAGGTCCGAGTCGGGTTGCAGGTGGACTGCGCAACAACAATGACAACCAGAGTCCAATATGCGCTAAGGACGACTGGAGTTCTGAGGAGTGCCTTCCCTTTCGACGGGTTGGTCTATGCCCGAATGAGGTCGTTATCAAAACACGGAACAAGCTTGAGGTTCGCAGGAAGATTAAAACGCAGGCCTTAATTCCGGTCACGATGACGCGCTTTTGCGGCTTGGCTAGGCCGTACGCAGATTCGCATCCATTGATGATCCCGTTGTCCGAGACCCCGTCAGCGCCAGTCCAGTGGCTACCAGCAAGCGAGGTCAACCCATCACAGCCAACCGCTCCCAAGTACCTAAGGTAAGATGTTCTCTCGCGCAAACTTCAAGTGCTGGCAAGGTTTGAGCAGAGCAGACTGGTCGAATTGAGTTTGATGGTGTCGAGCTGGACACTGAAACCTCGAAATACGAGCACGTGCGAGTTACCAAGTACGGCTAGCCCAGAAAATATGGCGGGGTTGCAGAGCACTAGGTGGGCTATCAATTCAGCGCCGCCATGGTGACTGGTAAGGCACGTTGGTACCAGGTATTAGGTATCAGCGACGAGGTGAGAAATTTCACTTGAGTCTCGTATGACTACAAGATTCGCGTATCTTGACCACTATCGAGTTTCAAGACTTGGCCTGCTGTTTCGTGCGCGCGCACACACCCTCCCCTCGCGTCATCATGTCCACAGACGCACCCGAGAAGCGATCAGCGTCGCGTTCAAGAATATCGCGTCCGACGACACCACTTCGCCCGTCGTCAAGGTCCGAATTTCGCGAGTCGGCCCGCCATGCGACTCTACGAAACGATGATTTCCCACTCAATAGCTTCGAGCCTTCTTTTGCTGAGCTGTCGGATGCCATGGTAGATCTGGAAGCCAACATGATGCACTTCCAGCTCATGCACGAGAGTCTCGCCCGATTTAGTGAATCGTTTGCCAGTTTTCTCTACGGACTGAACATGAACGCGTTCTGTGTCGATTTTCCCGAGGTGTGTCTCATCACTTGTCATTGTAATCAGAATCCGGGCTAATGCGATAAAAAGGCACCGGTTGCTGAGTCTTTCCAAAGAGAGCGTAAAGTAGGGGAGGCTCCATACACAGGCCGCCAAGATCACGAAGCTGAAGCAACTTTCATGTCAGTCATAGTCTGGAGATGACCCCATGCCTCACTGACGAATTTCAAAGGACAACCGACACATCATTCGTCGATAACCCGCCTGTCTCGTCAAAACCAGCTACGAAGACCACAACTACCACCGCGAGTCGCCAGTCTCGACTCCCTGCAGCTCGTGGCAGCTCAACCTCTAGGGGAAGATCGACAACCCGAGGCAGAAATGCTCCCAGTGGCCTCGCAAGGGCACGGCCTCGAGGTATGCAGTGAACTCTGGGGGGGGGGATCATATCTGAATTACCTGAAGTTAAGGTTTAGAGTGAAGAGGCGAGGGAAATCAGCCTTTCAAGTGGTCCAGCTTTGAGGAAACCAGCACATCAGTGATTTGCAAACAATGCCGCCTGTACATTCACCAAGAAGAGGTAGGAATTAATCTACCTCCAAGATAATAAATTTCCCGAGTTCAACTTGGATGGTCTCGCGAACCTAGCGCCAGATCACGTGCCGATAAGCGTGCCGCTGATCAGTCAGGAAAAGCCCGAGTTTGTAAGTCAGTGATTAATTGCTGCGACGCGGAGCGCCCCAGGCCCAAGCCACCACAGCGAAACGACATAAACCTCTGCATCCGATTGACTTTGGAGCAACGCCTTGACACGAACGCGCGAACATACTCTAGTTATCACTCGAGTTTCTCGCCATTGTCTCGACAGTTTCCGGCCCGAGCAACCCATGCCGAGGAGATAATGCCCAGCGTACAGGGCTTCAGCACATCACGAGCCCGGTCGTACATCTTCCGGCTGCCGTTGTTCACGCGCGTCATTGTCGCTATCATATGCGCACTATGGCTTGTCGGTGTGCAGTCAGTATGGGATATTCGTGAATTCGGGGCGTTGGTGCCTTCCAAGATCAATTTTGCGACAGGTAAAGGCTCTCTCTACCTGCCCCTGAACGACCATTCATGACTTCAAACTAACCCAACGCGCCTAGCACACCGATTATCGACATTCCCACTGATACACCTGAACATCTTCCACGCGCTCGTCAATCTGGTTGCTCTGACGCCCCTCATGGAGCGATTCGAAAGCGAATACGGGACCCTGACCACCTTGGCGTTGTTCTTTGGCCGTGAGTTGTTGACCTGGCCGGGCCACCAGAGTGCCATGGACTGACTTGGACCCTCTAGCTCTCACCACCGTTCCAGCCCTAGCATACATGCTGATCGAGCGCTTCGTACTCCACGCGGATACGGCTGTGATGGGCGCCAGGTAAGACCGCAGACCACTGGGCTGAGTTCGGGAACAAGGCTAATGGTACTCTTACAGCATGTGGGTGTTTCTGCTTCTCGGGATGGAGGCCATTCGAACGTTCAAGTCAAATCCATACCTCGTCATTGGGACGCACCACATTCCCACCTGGACCACGCCCCTGATGTTGATATTCGCTGTGGCCGTACTGATGCCCGGCACGAGTCTCTTGGGTCATCTGTGCGGCGTGGCCATGGGGTACATTGGTGAGTCACCACCGAAATGTGAAGACCAATTCGCTAACGTTTTTGTCTTTCTACAGCTGGCCTGGGCATCATTAAGTATCTCGCACCACCTGAGTGGGCTCTGCGCTGGGTAGAGACCCGGTTCAACCTTCTATCGATCCTACCACACTACGTCAGTGTCGACCAAAAAACATACGGGCGGTTCGGCGTCTTGCCCACGAACAATAGAGCGGGTGGGAGTGCGGCGACGGAGCTCGTGGGTAGCACGCAGCGCCTCGGGCCATAGGCGTTGGAAGACCTCGGTCTTTGAGGAGCCATGTCGGGACGTTCCTATTGTACCATATCGTGTAGATCATGCACAAAGCCGGTCTGTGCATGCCGGTCTGTATAGCATTATGGAGGCGTATGGCGTTTCGAAGCAGCATCCATTGGGGGGGTGAACTTTTCGGGTTCGTGTAGACATACAACGGGATGGAAGTGTAATCAGGTTTGAACATAGCATACAATGAGACTACGAGTGTGTTGTACCTATTTCTACAGCCTTGTGCGTGCGGACTTGGTATACGAGAGCCAATGGGGAACATTTGAACATTGTAAAATTGCAACGGCTAGGTATCTTAACACTCCCAACACACACAAAAACCCTGACAACCTTTATTGCGCGTTCTTGGCCATTGTGTTCAGCGCACTGCCGTTCTTGAACCACTCAATCTGGGGCTCGTTGAAGGTGTGCTCAAGCTTGACCTCAAAGTCCTTGCCATCCTTGGGGTGGACGACCATGGTGATGGGCTTGCCGACAGCGAGCTCGGTGGCGAGGATGTCAACCTGGAAGTTTGTGTTAGCAAGTTTGCGCTGCGGTGGTGATACGAAAGCAACATACCTTGTCCTCGGGCTTGATCTTGTCGTAATCGGCGGGGTCGGCAAAGGTCAGAGGCAGCATACCCTGCTTCTTCAGGTTGGTCTCGTGGATACGGGCGAAGCTGCGGGTGATGATGGCAAGGCCACCGAGGTGACGAGGCTCGAGAGCGGCGTGCTCGCGAGAGCTGCCCTCACCGTAGTTCCAGTCACCGATGACGACCCACTGGATACCCTTCTTCTTGTAGTCACGGGCAACAGCAGGGACGGCACCCCACTCGCCAGTGGTAGCGTTCTGGACCTTGTTGGCCTCACCGTTGGCCTCGTTGATAGCACCGATCAACATGTTGTTGGAGATGTTGTCAAGGTGACCACGGTACTTGAGCCAGGGACCGGCCATGGAGATGTGGTCGGTGGTGGTCTTACCCTGGGCCTTGATGAGGATGGGCAGGTCCTTGGCGTCCTTGCCATCCCAGGCGTTGAAGGGGGAGAGAACCTGGAGACGATCCGAGGTGGGCGAGACAGCGACGTTGACGCTGGCACGGTCCTTGGGGGGTGCCTGGTAGGTGTCGACGCCGGCGTCGTAGCCGCGCTCAGGGAGACCCTCACCAGTGGGGGGCTGGAGAAGGAACTCGTTGCCGTCCTTGTCCTTCAGCTTGTCGGTCAAGGGGTTGAAGTGCAGGGTTCCGGCAATGGTCATGGCGACGACTAGATCAGGAGAGGCGACGAAGGAGTGGGTGGCGGGGTTACCATCGTTACGGCCAGTGAAGTTACGGTTGTAGGAAGAGATGATGGAGTTGGCCTCGCCCTTCTTGACGTCCTGGCGATCCCACTGTCCAATGCAGGGACCGCAGGCGTTGGCGAGAACCATGCCACCGAACTCCTCAAAGGTCTGCAGCTGACCATCACGCTCAATGGTGGCGCGGATCTGCTCAGAACCGGGGGTGACGGTGAAGGCGGACTTGGCCTTGAGGCCGTGGTTCAGGGCATCCCTGGCGATGGAGGCGCCACGGGACATGTCCTCGTACGAGGAGTTGGTGCAAGATCCGATCAGACCAACCTTGAGCTCGGAGGGCCAGTTGTTGTCCTTGACGGCCTGGCTGAACTTGGAGATGGGCGTGCCCAGATCGGGGGTGAAGGGACCGTTGATGTGAGGCTCGAGCTCGCTCAGGTTGATCTCGATCAGCTGGTCGTACTCGGCACCCTCGTCGGCGCGGAGGTCAGCAGCGTAGGAGCGGGCAAAGTCACCAATGTCCTTGCGCTTGGTGGCGGCCAGATAGTCGTACATGCGCTCGTTGTAGGGGAACAGCGAAGTGGTGGCACCAATTTCGGCACTGTGTCCCGGTTAGCATCAATTCGGGGTTTAGGGTAGTGTTTCGAGGAATTGACTTGCCCCCTGCGAAATGTTAGCTGTAGTTCTGTACATGATCAAGTGTAGACAAACATGTTGCAAATAGTGGCCATGCCAGTGGTGGAGAAAGTGTCAACACCAGGACCGTGGTACTCGACAATGGCACCAGTTCCACCCTTGACGGTGAGGATGTCGGCGACCTTCAGGATGATGTCTATTGAAGTAATTAGCGCCAATCACTAGAGGATGAAAAGGAGAGCGGAAACCTACCCTTGGGGGTGGACCAGCCGGAAAGGCTGCCAGTGAGCTTGACACCAATGACCTTGGGGGCCTTCAGCTCCCAAGGAAGCCCAGCCATGACATCGACGGCATCAGCACCACCGACACCGATAGCAGCCAGACCCAGACCTCCGGCGTTGGGAGTGTGCGAGTCAGTGCCGATGAGGAGACCACCGGGGAAGGCGTAGTTCTCAAGGATGATCTGGTGGATAATGCCGGAGCCGGGGCGCCAGAAACCAATGTTGTACTTGGCGCAAGCAGTAGACAAGAAGTCGTAGACCTCCTTGTTGATGTCGATAGCACGATCGAGATCCTTGGCGCCGCCAACCTGAGCCTCGATCAAGTGATCACAGTGGACGGTGGTGGGGTTGGCCACACTGTCCATACCAGCACTCATGAACTGCAGGATGGCCATCTGAGCAGTGGCATCCTGGCAAGCAACACGGTCAGGGCGCAGCTTGAGGTAGGACTTGCCGCGCTGAATGTCCTGGCCGTGGGGGTCGTCCAAGTGAGAGTACAAGACCTTCTCAGCGTAGGTCAGGGGGGTGTTGAGACGGCTGCGCACAATCGACAGGTTCTCGGACATCTTCTTATAGTTGATGAAGTTGTTCTCCTCCCAGTTGTTCTGGCGAACCTTTTACATTTGTCAGTAACCGGATAGAGTAGTCCGCAATGCAGCTCGACTCACCTTGCGGTCCAGGGCGGACCCCGAAGCATAACGCAGACCCTTGGTGAGGTTCCTTGGGTTGCGGCCAAGGGCGAGGCATCGCCGCCCGAGAGCTGCAGTGGCTACTTGTGTGGGAGCCTGGGAAAGTCAGTCTCCAAAATTCGATTATGAGCTCTGTTATGGCAATCGCCCGAACGACTGGTCACGACCACAGTCCCGACGCGTGCCTGAGCGAGAGAGGACTCGACCGGCCAGCCATCGAGTCTGCCCGCTGCGCTGAGCGCATACCCTTGTGTGTCCACGTGAAGAAATCCAGTTCCAGCTTCCTGAGATAATCCAGGCGTTGGCGACTGAAATCCTCATCGCGTATGCACAGAGCGACGTGTATCGAGCGAGACCACGAAGGTCCCCAATGTGGACACGACATTGCTCGCGTTTCGAACAAACGGCACGTGGCCGACCGTGGGGACCAGGACGTCCAGTTCGTTCTGCGACTGCCATTGAGGGCGCGGATCATGCTTACCATTGTGATGATTGAGCCTTTGCCACGGTCAGCTACAAGTTGGGGATTGCAAGGACACCTGCGCGACTTACCGAAAACTTTGAGGATTGGTAGGAAAGAGAAGAAAGCTGGAGGGCATCGAGAGATCAAACTTGACGGAAACCTTGCGCCTCGGCTTACGAGTAAAGCCGAGAGCCAATCAGCGTCGATGAAATTCTAAGCCCCGAGCGTCATAATTAGCGTATCCTTTCCCGGCTCAAGACCTCGGATACCGTAGGCACAAATCCCTGTCCATCCGCGACATAATAATTGCTCAAACAACGAGAACGAAGTGCTGTGTTGATGTAATTTTCATAGAGACCCCCAAAGACTTGCTACTGGTACACAGGCGACAAAATGCAGAATTACCAGCTAGTATATAGGCACAGCAATGTCGAGAGACCACCACCTGGTCGCGACGCAGCTTGACACCTCGGTAGTAATAATAAGGCTCAGAACTGGCCCCCGATGGTCGGTCCTTGTGTCCGAGAGTCCAGCCGACAGACAAGCCTAATCATTGATGAAACAGTGCGATCGTGAAAGACCATGGACCTCTAGCGGTTGTGCTCGCCGCCCCGTAGCGGGGTTCGCCGATTTCTCCAGCCGCCGGGAGCACCGCGGTTGTTGTCATCCTGATGACCCGATGGGTCTCTCCTCGATTGATAGATATTATGCGGCTTCGCGAATTCATGTGACAATTATCGATAGGGACAAGACAGAATATAGCGGGGCAAAGCTCGCTGCCTGAGCAACTTCGCGAACAGCGGCACAGACATGGTGCATCAATAAGGTAGCGATTTGGTGTAGAAGTTTCAATGCCAACGGGTCTTGGTCTCGTATATAGAAACTCTACTTTACGTTTCGCCTTGCGCATAAGCATACCAAGTCAGAGAACGGCGCCATCTGAAGGTGAGCCGGTCACGACTAGCGTATGGTCATCACGAGCCCTCGTCCCTTTCCTTCCCAGAGGCCACATGATACTGTAGAGTATTGCCTCCAGTCCGCTTCTCAACGAGCGCTGCGAAAAGAAAGAAAACATGGCGTCCTTGTCGGTCGTTGCACGACTCTCCCGCCCTCGGCATTTGGGTAATTCGCAATAAGAACGATTCAAAGTACCGCTAAACTCCCAAGATCACTCCGATATGAAACCCTTGAAGTGCGGTCACAGTATCCTCTTCAGCGGGAGCCCTGCTAGGTGGACCAGCTATTGCGATGGCTTTTGGTGACCTGTGTTCTGCTCCTCCTCGATCTTGACGGGCTGGTGAAAAGCCTCGAGGGTTGACAGGTAGCATCGAGGGGTCTGTTCGGCTCGGAAGCGCCCTCGATTCGTAGCGCAGTGTAGTAGATTCACTACCCTCATGTTGTCATGATGGAGTCTTCATTGGAGATCGGATCGTCCTGAGGGCGGCCGTTGTCTGTCCAAAGACCACCAGCCGCATCAGCCTCTTTGTGTGTATAGGGTCCCTCACGAAGCTGCTTGAGCCTAGTATATAGAGTCAGCAGTGGACAAGGAAGGGAGCCGGATAACACAAACCTGCGCTTGTGCGGTTTTGCCGAAGTGTGTCTGCTGAGCGCCTCGTCGCTGTCAAAATACTTGGCGCACTCTACACAGTAATGGCGCCCGAGGGCCGGTAGATCTTCAGCAGCCTTCAACTGTTGAAACTGGGCAAGGTGCTTGGGCGATTCGAGATCAGCCTTGATCTGATCCAAATCCCTACGTGGGGTGAGCAGAGGTTCGAAAGGCGCCAGCCGTTAAGGAGACGTACCTGGTCTTGCGCCGGGTCTTGGTGATTGTTCGCTTGTTGGTGACGCCCATGGTGCCGTGTTCGTGCTCTGGTGTGCTGATGCGCGTGTGGTGATATCTGTTGCTCTGGTGAAATTTTGTGTATTGATCGGAATTGGCATTCCCAGGTTCTCAGATTCCGTTCCTTGACAGGAGTGTGTCCTCTTGATTGGGTTCCCGCCATTGCGACGGCGGGGCCGCCGCTAACGTGTGGGGTTCCCAGGCTTTCTCACTTACCCTATAAAACACTCTCTCACCCAGGCTGCTGCTAATTGCTTTGGAGATATCAATGGGTAAAATACCTTGTATAACATGTAGTCGTTACTTTGTGTTTTTTTTCTCTCCTCTTTTGCTAGTTCAGTTGCCAGGACTGAATTGTTTGGGCTACAACGTGTTTTTGTTCTGCTTTCATAGTAAAAGCCATGGCATTTGTCTACTTCCCGAAGCATTCTTACATGTGGCCAACTGGCGTAGTAGATATTTACTAACAGTCTTATGGCTTAGAAATAACAATCTTATCCCATGAAAAGCTTTCTTTGTCTGAGAAACCACAGGGTATGTGTGTAGCCAGGCGACTAGAGGGCGAAGGGATGGTTGTTACGACGTCCCAGCGAGTGGACGTGGGGCACATCAGTTCAGGGGACCTATTATGGAGTTACTTTAAGGTGCCTTGCCTTACCTGAACACCCAACTGTACGAAGCTTCCTGCTGGATCGTTTCCCTGATTCTACAGGTATTGGGGGTTCATCACGGATTGCACTGCATCGCGATCATGTCGAGATTACTCGGTAACTTACAAAGCCTCGCAACCCAACAGAAACCGCTAACAACGTGCTAGCGACAGCTCTGTCCCTTCGTCGCGACCCGCGTGTCCAGAAGCTGCCACCGTACCTGTCATTCCTCTGCGTGCTTGTAGGGCTGGTCTGGCTTCTCCTCCTACCGCTCGACGACTATGCGAGGAAAACATACATCTCCGAAAATGCCCTTCTTCCGGGCCAGGTGCATACATATTTCAGCGGCAGCGAGAGTCACGTCTTACGCGCCTACCGAAGCGAACTCGACGTCCTTGCGAGCGAAGAGGACCCGACGTAAGGATTGCTGCACACCGGCGAGCATTTAACACGCAAAGGCTGAAATTGTGCAGACGCGTAAACGACAAAATCGAGGAGATCCTCAAGGGTCTAGGAGTCAAAGTAGGACGACAGAGCTATACGTACAATGCGGCTGGCCGTGCCCACAGCGGAGAGAACGTCTATGGCATACTGCAAGCGCCCCGTGGTGATGCCACAGAGGCGATAGTACTGGTCGCTGCCATCCGAAGTCTCAATGGCCAGGTGAACCGTAACGGCGTTGCTCTGGCGCTGACCCTGGCGCGCTACTTCAAGCGTATGTACACTCTCACATTCCTTACTAGCACAAGTGCTGACTGGTTTAGGTTGGTCATTATGGTCCAAGGATATCATAATGGTGTTTCCCCCGGACAGCGAGACTGGCACCCAGGCTTGGGTCGATGCATACCACGATGCTCACGATCCTCGATACGTGGCCCCCTTGCCCCTGAAATCCGGCGCCCTACAAGGCGCGCTTGCGCTCGACTACCCCGAGGTGGACCGATTCTCGGCCCTGCAGATTATATATGACGGCGTCAATGGACAGCTGCCAAACCTGGATCTTGTCAACTCGGTTGGCAACATCGCAAGCGGACAAATGGGCATAACAGGCTTCATACAGGGCATGCGACACCACAAGGGCACCTACAAGCATCGGTTGACTACCATTTTCCGCGGTATGGTCAAGCAGAGTCTTGGGAACTCCTGGGGCCCCCACAGCAGCTTCATGCCCTATCACGTCGATGCGGTTACGCTGCAACCATACGGCAAAGGCTTCCATGACGAGATGGCCATGGGCCGTGTGATAGAAGGTTCCTTTCGCAGTCTCAACAATCTGCTCGAGCACCTGCACCAGAGCTTCTTCTTCTACTTGCTCATGCAAAGGGATCGCTTTGTCAGCATCGGGACTTATCTGCCCAGCGTCATGCTGCTCGCTGCCAACTTTAGTATCATGGCTATCTATCTCTGGGTGCAGAGCGGGCAAGTTGACGCGGACGCCCAGAAAAAGGCCGGGAAACAGCCCAAAGCTTCAGCGACTGAGATAGCGGCAGTTACTGTCGAGAGGAGCCTTGTGCTGCCCGTCGCCATTGTGGCCGTCTGTCATGCCTTGTCAGCTGTGCCGCTGTACGTGCTGAACAACACAACAGCCCAGGTAAGGACATCACGTAGAACACTCAACTTGGACACTGGCTGACGCGCGTTTCTGCAGCTTCTTCCTACGGCTTTCGCCGCGCTCGCTGCCATGTCAACGGCCGCGCCCTTTGTGCTCAGCTATGCGGTCCTCCCCGTCTACAAGCCTACGCAGCAGCAGATTCTGCTCATGAAGTCGCTCTCCCTCCTGCTCCTCGGCATGGCCCTCTCTACTCTAGCCACGTTGAACTTTTCGCTGGCATTTGTCATTGGCGTCCTCACGGCACCCTTGTCGTTTGTTGGACTGAGCAGGAATGAGCCTCTGCGCTGGGCATCAGCAACATTGTTGACGTTGCTGGCCCCGGCCACTGTCATCTATAGCGTAGTGGCGGGAGTAGGACTTGACATGGGCCATCTTCTTGAACAAGCTAGCTTTGGATGGACGGTTTGGGGCATGTACACACCTATCGTCGTGTGGACGATCTGGTGGCCAGCGTGGACCATCAGTATGGTCAGTGTCTTGTGTTGACATACCAATAATGTAGAGGAGTCCATAATGACAAGTCACCTTTCGAGATAATTTGAATCAAGGGCGCGTTCGTGGGTTGCTGATTAAGTCTAAAATCTAACATAGCGTACTACACATGCGTCAAGGGCGTGCAGCGCAACTCTCGTTGTAGACTTAAGCGGCCCAGACGTCCTTGCCAGCACCTTCGATCCAGTTCCCCAGCTGGTTGACACTGGCGTCCCAGTCGAGCAGACGTTGCCGTAGGTTAGCAACCTGCTTCATGTCAAGAACCTTGGGTTGGACCCATGTGATGTGCGCCACCTCGTCCACCTGATCGATCGTTCCCCGAAGCAGACCCAAGCTGAGAGCCTTCATAATAAGATGCTCAATCTCCCCCGGGCTGACCTTGGTCTCCTCCGCAATTGTGGTAAAGGTCATGGCACGATCGTGCGGTGGCCGACGGAAGACAGCCTCTGTCAACGCGGCCAGGTAGATCTTCTGTTTCAAGTGTGTGGCGTGTTCGCTGAGCAGCCTATTCTCAGAGATATGATCCGACAGCACGTCGTAGGCGGCAAGGTCGCCCCGGTTGAACGCAAAGAGCAGGTCCCTGAGCCACGAGTCGTCCTCGCTCTTAGCTAGGGCGTCAAGGATCGGGTGCAGAAGGAGCTCGCCAAAGTTGTAGATACTGTTCGACACGAGTGCTGACACGCTGAGGAAGTATGCTCTCTTGAAACGTTCCTGCTCGGGCACAGCTGTGAGGTCGACGCAGGCGAGGTAGAGGAGGGCGGTGCGGTAGTAGTTGGCAAAGTCATTCTTGCGCTGTAGACACGGAGTTTGTTAGACCAAGAGTTTCTCATGACTTTGCAAAAGAACCAAGTTACCTGGTAGTAAGTCGCATTCGCATCGTAGAACGCAGCGTGTACGATCGCCTCCACAGAGTCGAGAGAGTCGAGCTTCTGCTCTGCCTCGTCAAGGTCCTTCCTGGCGTTCTCCAAGTCGTTTAGACCAAGTCGCGTGCGGGCTACTGCAACAGATGCATACACAAGAGCGTCCTGTGAGTTCTTGTTGTCCACCTTCTTCGCAACCGATTGTAGGAACTCGAGTCGCTCGTTATCATCTGGGGGAAAAGCAAGTCAGCACATTACATCCAAGTCCTTTGCAACATGGGTGCAAACCTTTGCATTGTTGTGCTGCCTTGAGGGCAAGCTGCACCAGCTTGAGCTGGTTGATCTTGTCGGCGAACTTGAGGATGAAGGTCTTGTAGAAGGGCAGGCGTTGCGGCGCACTTCCGGGGTGGTTGAAGAACTCAACGAGGGCGTCTGTGAGTTGATGCCAGAGTTTCCTCTCCCAGTAGTTCTCAAAGTCAAGGACTAGAGGCTGTAGCTCCTCCGGAGCTTCGTCGCGCTGCTCGGCGAGGAAGTCGGCGATGGCATCGGCGCTCATCTTGGATCAATTACGGCGATGCTAAGCCGCAGGGGAATTTGCTTTCCGTTCGAATGTAGGAGTCCTGATACAGAGAGACGGAGAAGACTTTCGATTGGTGATCGGAGACTGGGCGGGTGTTGTGTGGTTTGTTGAAATTTGTGGTAGTTGAGCTTGACGCGGCTGGCCAGCAGCCTGATGACGGATTGCGCTTGGTGAAGCTGTTACTGCTGGTGCACAGACCACTCATGGCGGGGCGGCGATCTGCTGGAGGAAGGCACAAGCCACAGTACGTCTAACACCCACGAGCCACATGTGGCGTCAGCCTCACGTGATCCAATTCGACTTCGTTCCTGAGCCGAGTAATCGGCTCGACATCATTGGAAGTTCCGAGATCAACTGGAGAACCAGCAACACCTACAACCCACGCGGCTACGAAGATGGTTCCCTCTCTCGCCGCGGCCAGATCGGCGACAACGGCCGCGCGTCATGTTGCTGGCAGGCGTTTGCTGTCGGACATTGCCATCACACGGACTGGCAAGCCCATTCTACGAACGGAGGGTGGTCGGTAAGATATCATGCTCCGGGTCTACCATTGGCAAGAAGCTGACATTGGCTCGCATAGATCCTCTCTAGGAGGTTTGTACGATCGACCGAGACACTTGCGACGAGACTGACGGCGAGGGCAGGACACACTGCGACGGTATTTGGCGCAACAGGACAGTTGGGACGGTACATTGTGCACAGGCTGGGTATGTGGACTAGCGACGTCTGAAATGACAGCTTCTCCTGGACACTCGCTGACAATTGGCGAGCAGCTCGACAAGGATGTACCGTTGTGATTCCCTTCCGCGAGGAGATGGCCAAGCGCCACCTCAAGGTCACGGGAGATCTGGGACGGGTCGTTTTTGTGGTAGGTGGTATCGGACGCAACTGTACATCATGGAGGGTTAACAGCGCTACAGGAGTATGACTTGCGCAACACGGACTCGATCGAAGCGAGCGTCCGCCACTCCGATGTTGTTTACAACCTGGTCGGCCGCGATTACCCGACCAAGTAGGACCACGCTTCAGCTCACCTGAGAACAATTTTGCTGACGGGCTTCAGGAACTTCACTCTGGAGGACGTCCATGTCGAGGGAACCGAGAGGATTGCGGAAGCGGTGGCGAAATACGATGTTGATCGCTTCATCCACGTTTCCTCCCACAGCGCCAACCCCAACTCCTCGTCCGAGTTCTACGCCACCAAGGTTGGCCTCTACCCATTGCAAGCTGGGAAACAATTTGCTGACATGGTGAAAGGGACGTGGTGAGCAGGTTGCCCGTAACATCTTCCCTGAGACGACAATTGTCCGACCTGCGCCCGTCTTTGGTTTCGAGGACAACCTCCTCCTCAAGCTGGCCGGCGTCTTGAACCTCTTCACTGCCAACAACATGCAGGAGAAGTTCTGGCCTGTTCACGTATGTTCAAAAAAGGTCACACAGACTCACAAAGACTGCAAGCTAACGCGACACACAGTCCATTGACGTTGGTGCGGCGTTGGAGAAGATGCTGTACGACGACTCGACGGCCGCGCAGACCTTTGAGCTCTACGGCCCCAAGCAGTACCAGCTCTCGGAGATCGCCCGCATGGTCGACAAGGAGATCTACAAGGAGCGCCGTCACATCAACGTCCCCAAGTCCATCCTGAAACCGGTGGCCGGTCTCCTCAACAAGTACCTCTACTGGAGGACGATCACCGCCGACGAGGTCGAGCGCGAGTTCCTGGACCAGGTCATTGACCCCAAGGCCAAGACCTTTAAGGACCTTGACATGGTGCCCGGCGACATTGCTGACTTTACATACCACTATCTGGTAAGTCCCTGACTTGAGCAGCCCAGCCGCTCTCCCGACGACGAGGCATGCGCTAACACCCCATCGCAGCAAGGATTCCGCAGCCAGAGCTACTACGACCTGCCGCCGGCGACAGAGAAGGAGAAGAAGGAGGACAAGAAGTATATCCACGTTCTGGATGAGTTGTAAATGAAGAGCCGAGGCCCAATAGTAGTAGATGGTGCGGCGAGGATGGCAGCCCCGGGGTTGCAACAGGTCTGATAGATTTACTGAGCAAAGGTGCTCTGACAATGTACAGCTTCTTCATTTGTTCACTCATCACACAATCGCCGATAAAAGTGAATTGGATATGTTATTGCTGTTGACCCGTTGGCTATGCAATCCCGTTTATCTTCCTTGCTTGCTTATGCTATATTTGTGTGTGTAAGTCACGCCAATGCGTCGACGCATGTGCGTCGAGACATGGCGTCCATTGTCAGTCCCGCGCCATCTGCTAGGCGAGGGAGCGAATGATGTAGAAGAGCAGATACGCTTTCGCCCCCAGGACCTCGGACACTGTAGCCAGCCGCACATTATGATCATTGAAGCGAAACCACTAAGAACATATTAGTAAAATTGTCCGGTGTCGTTCGTGTCTCTTTGTCACTCGTACCTGATCGCCAACACGGCAGTAGGAGACATAATGGCCCGTCTCAATCTCGCCTACGTGGACCACGACGCTCAGCAGGTCGTATGTGCAGGATCGCTCCAGCTCCCTGCCCTCGCGGCCTTCCTTGGCGCGCACGCGATGTGTATAGGGCAGCATGTTGAGCTGGAGGGGGAAGCTGACTGGGTCGTCAATTTTGGAGGCGGCGCGATCATGTCGCCCCTGCTTGTATTCGAACCGCTGCGGCAGTATCATCGTCAGCACGTTGTTGCTACTGTCAGCTCAGAAGAACGAGTCAGTCATACCTTGAATTGTATCGAGAGGACGTTGGGCAGGCGCTTGATGCTCGTGAGCCTCCGCGCCTGTTGTATCGAGTCACACTTGTGGCACCGATAGTCGCACTTGTCTGACTTGATGTACTCCTCATCCAGGCAGTCGATGAGGGTCAGGGGCGGGGCATTGCCGCCTTTTTCCTTGACAGCCTTTTTGCGCTTCTGCACGAGCGATTCGAGACCGAGACTAAGGTCGAGAAAGGACTGCACAGCGTGCGTGGTGCCCGAGCAGTTCTGGCAGGTCGTGTCCGTCTGCATCTTGCCGTAAAAGGTCTGGTGCATGACACAGTTACAGGTGTGCTCGCTGCCGCTCTCTGGTTTCTTCCCGTCCCCATTCCTCTCGTGCAGCTCCTCGGCGAGGAACTGGAAGAATTCGTGGGCGTCCTGCTCGCGGGTGGTGACGAGGTTCTCAAAAGCCTTGTTCTCGGAGATCCAGAAGCCGGACAAGATGTTGGCGGCTGTGTAGCCGTTGGTGTTCTCGAGGGCGTAAAAGTCCTGGAACATGTCGTCTATCGCGCAGCTGAGGCAGTAGGACACGCCGCATTCGCTGCTCTGGTGCCCGTCACTAAGGTAGAAGTTGCGCAGCAGGGGATTATGCAGGAAGCTCTGCAGGACGACGTTCTGGTAGCAGGTGGCGCCGGCGTTGTAGATCCCGCGCAGGCCGTTGGCCCGGCACGAGGCCAATGTGGTATTCGTCGCAATGTATCGGGGATCCTCCTTCATGGCGTCGGGGAATAGCTCGTCGTGTTTCCTCTTGCGTCCTGCGCGCCGGGTTGTCAGTACGGCTACGTGATAGGCTGTCAGGGAGGGAACGCACCAGAGAAAGAGCCTGTGCCAATTTTCCGCACGCGAAGCTCTTCGAGCGTAGGGTCCCATACTATATCGTCGCAGACTTGGCAGTACAGCGAGCCACTGCGAGAGTCAATATCTGTATTGGGTCAGTCTCGCCAAGGCAACATGTATACGCGGGGTCCCGTGACTGACAAAAGCGATGTGATGTCTTATTGCCATGTTTTAATCGTTCTTCATCTGTCAAGTTCGTTGGGCACTGCAGACATAGGTTGGTGGACGTCAAGCAGGTGGTAGGTTGGCCTTGTGAGTTTGTAAAGGTTTGTGGGACGACGGGCGTGCTGTCAAAGATGCCCCGTAGGATCATTTTGTAGTGGCCGATGGAGTGGTTCATGATCTCCTGTCCCTGGTTGAAGAGACGCTGAACATGTTCTGGACGAGCTGTCAGTTTTCTAGCTCCCGAGTGTATTGTATCGTTCCAAGCTTAGCATACCACAGCCAAACAGGGGAGACCCAGGCGCAGGCTCCTTGACCTTCACGTTCTTAGGCGAGGCAGGAGTTGCTGGTCGAGCAGCCATGGCTGGAGATGGTGGGCGGCGACTCGCGGTCGCAGCCTGAGCCAGACGTGTCGATTCGGGGGATCTCGCAGATCCCGACTGTGTTTGTCGTTATTCTTGTCGCTGTAACAGTGGTAGAAGGAGATAAAGCCAGCGGTCGGTTCTCGGTGCGCAGGCAGCGGTAGGAAGCTAGTTGACTGGAGATGGTGAGCAAGCGACCTTGAATTTGAAGACATCCCCACCCTTTACCTTGAAAGTTGAAGCCTCGAGCGACCTCTGCTGGCGGAAATTGTCGAGGCGACTGAACTTCTGTGTAGCGAAACACGCAGTGCCGCTTGTAGGCGAAGGCGGACGGCTGAGGAGCGAGATCGGGCGAGGGCGAGGGACAGACGAGACGGGTGTTTCTCAGCCGAAGTCGTCGGCTATGGCAGCGGCAAACGGTGTACGATGTAGAAAGGGCAATCGTTTCTAGCGTTGTTCAGGCCAGAGCGGTCTATGAGATGTATACGCTGTCTGACGATGGTAAAATCAGTACGTAGTAGTGGAAGCGCGCGACGATGATGATGGTGCTGGAACCAATTTCCATGCCACCCACCGATAAGCCTTATCGCGAGCTTGGCTAGCGCACCCGCGAGTTTGCGACGTATAAGTAAGTTCCGGAGCCCTTGATCATGACTCGTGGTCCCATCGGTACCCTCTAAGGCACCAGGTAAGGACCGGTATCAATTCATGCTTCAATTCATCAGATTGAACTAGCTCCTCTAGTTCGGGCCACGCATGTATGTGACTTGTTCCACAACGGCTATCACGACAATTGCAGTCGCGGGTCTTGGCGGCAGCCGAGGCAATGGGAGTCGTGAACCCCTCTAATCCCGCCATCGCAGCCTGAGCATCAACCACTTCCACTGAACGCGGGGTTCATGTTGTATTGAAAGTCTGGAAAGGTGCCCTCTCAGATCGACGTCTTTGCACCAGCTATTAACATCATCACACCGGCATGGCGGCGCAGCTCGCAAAGCTGCCAGCGGTCGAGCGCTTGAGCTCAGCGTGCATTCGCATCCTCGGTGGCAATCCGGGCAAGTTCACGCTCCAGGGGACCAATACCTATCTCGTGGGCACAGGACCCCGACGAATCCTCATCGATACGGGAGAAGGGCGTCCTGCGTGGCTCGATTCCCTCCGGAGCACCCTGGAGCAGGAGAATGCATCGATTGAGAGTGCTCTGATATCGCACTGGCACCATGATCATGTCGGCGGGATCAAGGATCTCCTGGAGCTCTCTCCCTCCACCCAGATCTTCAAGCACAAGCCAGCGCAGGACCAATCGCCCATATCTGACGGGCAGGTGTTTCGCACACAAGGCGCAACGTTGACTGCGCATTATACGCCTGGCCACACGGACGACCACATGACCTTTGTGCTAGCCGAGGAAGATGCCATGTTCACGGCCGACAATGTCCTCGGCCACGGGACAGCTGTTTTCGAGGACCTGACTGCCTACCTGCAGAGCCTGGGCAAGATGAAGTCGCTCTTCACGAGTCGGGCGTATCCTGGGCACGGGCCTGTGCTGGAGGACGGCCCAGCCAAGATCGCAGAGTACATTGGACACCGTCGACAGCGAGAGGAGCAGGTGCTCAAGACCCTGCGCTCGACCAACGGAAACGGCGACAAGCCCTGGACGGTGATGGAGATTGTCAGGATCATCTACAGTGAGGTCCCAGAGGAGCTTCACCCTGCGGCTGCGGGCGGTATCGTCCAGATACTGGGCAAGCTTCGGGATGAGGGGCGTGTCGCGCACGACGCAGGCGACACCTGGCGGTTGGCGCGTTCTCACAGTCTTTGACAAACATGAGTGTCGCGCTTCTCGGATCTTGGGTTTCTCTTCAGATACCGCGCCGGAACATTCTCGTTGTGACTCAGACGGGGGATGGGATGCTTACGGTTGTGGGACCGGAGTTTATAAATCATCTCGATCACCACTCGGAGAAAGCAAATCAACCACGGGAAGTCTGATCGCCCGCGCAGCATGCATTGATGACACGCAAATGAAGCTAGCGAGCAGCCTCCCGCGTGCCACGCCCTGTGCTTGTACAAGTACTTGCGTAGGTGTGCATAGCGGGAGGGCGGATCTGGTGACGCAAGTATCATGGATGTACGGTGCATCTTTCAATGATGGCAGACGCAGCATGTATTAGTGGCATATTGCAGAGCAGAGCACGGCAATTGGCTGACATTACGCGTATGCCGTGCCACAACACATTTAGAGAGTACACACATGCATGGCATCCGTCCCCAGAGATGAGGGCTTGCTTGCTACCAGGCTGTTGCTAGGTACGAGCACAGCGCAAGCTGCCAGAACGGGAGAAGCGAGGAACGATGACGACGTTGCGATAGACTCTTGGATCGAGTCGTGTCGCCGCCTTTCTTTCTCACTCACTTGCTTACTTACTTACTTCGCTACTTCAGCGGGGCCGGACAGGTGCTCCACCCCGAAGACCCGACGCCGGCATTGTGACAAGGCGGACGCTTCGGGATTAACCTGGGTCGTGCGTGATTGGGGTCGAGAACGAGCGTTCAAAGTCCATCGGCAAAGATGGTGGAGGGGGATTGCGTCCATTCGGGCATCGATGGATGGGCTGACCTGACCGCCTGTCGAGACACGGCCAGGATGTTTGTCTGCGTGCAGAATGGACAGCGGTACTGGATACCTAGCCTCAAGTTCAACGTCATCGCATTTCGACATGCAATTGTTGTTTGTGTGGGTCGCGCTATTGGACGGCAATGAAGAGGGCTGTTACGTGCTTTGCCCGTTGACTGAGGCCAGGAAAAGAAAACAAAAAAAGTAATAGAACACAGCACAGCCCGAGATCGGAACAGCAGGGCCTGATCAGACTTCCTCCCACACATGGGGGCAGCTCGTGACTGACGGATTCCATCAGAGATCAGAGATCACAAAGCAGACTGGATCCAGCCAGTCAGTCCTCCGCCGCAAATCCCGCCCGCGCCGGACCCGTCATACCCACTGGCTTCGCTGACTGTGATGACTGGCGGACGGACGGCGCCCGCGCGCCCTGCCCGGATGCCTCGGGAGCATGGATGGATGGGTGGGTGCTTGGGTCACCAGTCGGTCAGTTGATCGATACTATCGCGTGGACCTGTGCGAGCAGTGAATTTACTACCAGTACGGATACTTTCCCAGGCAAAGTCGCCAAGATGCCCACTGGGCGCCGGCCATCATGTGAGCACCTGCAGCCTCGCATTAATAATTCACATGTACAAGCTGTGTCCACATGTTACTGAATCACAACACTTTGCCCATGACGGGTCGTCCTGCCGTCACATCGACGCAAGGCCATGTAGTAGTACCTGGTCTAGATTACAGTTGGGTCATGTAAGTGCTCTTTGTTCCTCCCGCCCTGGGCGGCAGATGGTCAAGTAGCGCCAAAGGCCGCCTGTACAGCGTACCGAGAACGGCAATACGGTAGGCACTAATAAAACACTTGTGCATGACCAAATGGGCTCCAGTCCACAGAGCGGGCCGATGCAAGTGCGTGCGTGCGTACGTACGTAGTCGCGGGTGGCATCGCTGACTGGAGTCACATCACCATTCCACATCGCGATAGGTACGTGTACGTACGGAGCATCGAATTGGCTTGGCTCCAGACCGGGCTTGATTCACTGCTAGGAAATCTCCGCTCCCATCCAACCATCCCGGCCGCCTGGCTTATATGAACCGAGTGGCTGGCTCGCTTGCTGGCCAGAGACACATGCGTCAGCCTTGTATCACTCAAGCTCCAACTGTCATTGACCCCTGGTGAACCTAATTCACAAGTCGAGACACACCCAAGCCATCTGCTAGTCCTCTTGCATCACCAACCTCAAGACGTGACGGAAAGGCATTCTCATCCACATCAGTTGCTCCCTCGCCAACCTCTGTCTTGCTTCTCCAGCCTTGTGAGCATATCATCGGACAGAAGAGGATCTCCATGCGGCGGGCAAATATAATTCAACCACCCTCGCCATCAGCTGTCCTGCTGTGCGCCCTGATCCTCGCCATCGGCGTGGCAGCGCATGGTGATGATGGAGGTCATGGCGATGCTCCTGGCGGACATGGGGCCTCCGAGATGAACATGGACACGGATATGGGCATGGGCATGGGCGACGAGGACAAAATGCCAGAAACAGAGTACCTGCCAACATACTTTGCTCATGGCGAACATGCGGCGCTCATGTTCGCCCACATTGCCTTCATGACCGTGTCTTGGGTTCTGGTCCTTCCCGTAGGTAAGACACATCGAAACAACCAACCCACGCATCATAGCCACCTGCTAACAGCATCCTCTCTCTCAGCGGTCATGCTCTCGCTTGTTAACTCGCGCCTCACATTTGGCGTTCAGCTGACCTTCCTGGCCACCAACATTGTCGGTGTCGTATTGGGCCTCGTCTACAACGCGCAGACACCCGACCTGTATCCCCACAATGCTCACCACAGCATTGGCTGGATCATCACCTGGGTGTCAATAGCGCACGTATCTGTGAGCCTGGTGAAACGACTCAGTGGACGCGGGAAGCCAAAGGTCAATGGGCCTCTCAACGGCGAGCATGAAGCCCACGCGCTTATCCCAGACCCCCTGGCGGCACAGAGCCACTTCCAGGAGCACCAGGGGCCCTACGACGATAGGTCGTCCAGTGACAGCACGGCAAGTCCCGCCTCGCATACTGAGTCTATGCGGAGCGACTCTGTGTCCACTCACATTGGCGAGGAGGACTACTTTATCGGGGGCGAGAACCATGGCTCCGGATACGGAAAGATGTATGAAGACGACGATGAGCCCTACGCCTCACACGAGGAGGCGGGAGCAAGTTCGACCATCTCTGTTGTGCGGAAGCTGGCAAAAGCTTTGCCTACCAGTCTATGGAAGGTCTTGGACATGGGTTATCGGACGGTGGATCGAATTACCCTGCCCTTTGGTTTCATTGCCTTCACCACGGGCATCGTCACATATGGCCGCTTTTTTGTAAGTGAATCTCGCAGTCTCTCTCTCATCACCACGAGCCCAACAGAGCTGACCCGCACACCAACAGGAAGGGCAAGGCATCTTTGCCGGTCTGGCCCACTGGATCAAGGGCGGCGTGTTCTTCTGGCTGGGTCTCTTCAACCTCGGCCGTTGGGCCGGCAGCTTCGCGGAGCTGGGCTGGGCCTGGAACATCCGCCCTAGACGTCCTGGCCAGAAGTGGCGTCCCACGGCCGAGTTTGTGGAGAGTGCGTTGATCTTCTTCTACGGATCGACCAATATCTTCCTGGAGCACCTGGGCCACAGGAACGGTAAATGGCGGGCCCAGGATCTAGAGCACATCTCCATCACTGTGTTGTTCATCGGTGGAGGACTTGTAAGTTGAAACCTCTTTCTTGCTCTCTCGCGAAAATCTCCGAGGGACCTCATGAAGAACCTTGATACTGACAGACCCGGCTAGTGCGGCATGTTGATCGAGTCCACCCGGGTGCGCGACCTGCTCAATGCCTCCATCTCCAGCGACAACAGAGATAGGACCGAGTCCCACGAGAGGGAGGAGCTGCAGCCGCCGCGCACCTATAGCCTTTCGCTGAATCCCATCCCGGCACTGGTGATCCTGCTAGTCGGCATGATGATGGGCTCGCACCACCAGTCCTCCATGATCTCGACCATGATCCACAAGCAATGGGGCAATCTGCTCTCGGGAGCGTCGATCGCGCGCGGTTTGACGTATGTCGTCATGTACATCAAGCCGCCGCGGTCTGTCCTGCCATCGCGACCGCCCACGGAGCTATTGGCTTCGTTCTGTCTGATTGCAGGTGGCATAATCTTCATGGCCAGTGTACGTCTTCGCTACCTCTCTGCCCCTTTTTTCTTTGTGCAAAGCAGTGCTGACCCTTTTCCCAGAGCCCAGATACTGTGGATGGCATGATCCACTACGAGCTCGACGCCATGTTCATGTACAACGTCACCATGGGCCTGGTGGGCGTCCTCATGGCCTGGGAGATCACTGTCCTGGCCATCAAGGGCTGGGCATGGCGGAGGGAGATGCACCAAAAGGTCGTATCGCTGTCGCACAGGCAGTCCGCCTAGACAGAACCGACGTGCACAGGTGCAGAGGCGAATTGTGCGATTATAGGAGAAGGGTAAAACGCAGGGCGATGTTTGCGAAAGGGCGAGTGGTAATGACTCGAGGATGGATGGTTTGCGAAGTATGTATGACTTTATGATTGATACCACGCGCCTGTACGCAGGCGGCATTTGATACGGAGGATGGCGATAAATCTATGGCTTTTTTGGACCATGCATCGTTCATGGAGACCTGCCATGTAGTCGGTGATGATGTCCAATTCGTGTCCCCTTTGAAAAGGCGCACCCCATCCATCCCTGTACCATCACCCTCTCGTCCGACTGGGGCGGTGGAAGCCGGACGAGATCTCAGCGTATGATGGCACATGGCGCTGGCATGTCCGAGTCTCAATCAGTGAAGCGTCAGGCCACACATAATGGTGCACCAAGCGGATCGTCTCTGGTCGTCTCGTGGAGTCGTGTCCGATTGCGTGCCACCTCAAGACTTCTTGCCCTTTTCAAGCGCAGACATGACCCTTGCTTGATCCTGGGGGGAGAATTGTGAAGCCCCTTGCTGTAGGGCATGCACCAAGAACTGGATAGACTCGGCTCGAAAGTCGTTGGTGTTGCGCACTTTGTCCAGGTCTTCGGACAGTTCCTGCGTCGAGCGCTCTAGGTAGTATGCTTCGAACGCCGGATCCGAGCTGCGCGCGGTTGTGTCTGTGTTATTGCGAGCCATTGTGCGTGTGTGAGTGTGAGGCTGAGCGTGAGTTTTGATGCAAATCTGATGCTAGGCCAGATTATACCCCTTGAGGACTGGCAGCGAAAAGTCGATTAGCGTACAGTGCGAATAGTAGCATAACGCGGCATAACACAGTTTCGTTACTGTACACCAACCAACATCAGCATCAGGCATGAACATCAGCTTCAGTTAGCCAGGAATTGATTCTTGAATTTGCTGCAAGTCTGAGTCTATCATACGCTATACATGGCTCCGCCCAAAATCAATGTGAGATGTACTGGAAAACGGCCGAGATGACATCCTCTCCGCACTCCTGGCGGAGGAGCATGTCCTGTATTGTCTTCAACCCTTCGTTGACACAATGATTCCATGTGCTCGTATCGCCGTACAGCATGGCTGGTGCTTTGATGAACTGCCTGCCATCTGGCTTGCATCTTTTGCATTTGAACGTATCGTGTGTGTCGCTCTTGGTGTTTGGCTGATACTGGAAAAGCTCCCGGAGGCTATCCAGGGAAAAGTGCCGCTCAACATCCTCGGCCGAGTCTACCAAGCACGACGAGAGACTCTGTTTGTGCGACTGGCGCTGGAAGATCTTCTCCTCAATCGTGCCGGTCGCAATGAAACGGTACACAAAACAGTCCTTCTTCTGTCCATCACGCCAAACACGAGCCAGAGCCTGCTGATCGGCAGCGGGATTCCAGTCCGGGTCGAAGAGAATCAGCCGATTGGCGCCAATGAGATTGATACCACAGCCACCGGCCTTGCTACTGAGTAGAAAGACAAACTCGTCGCCCTCTGGGTCGTTGAAGCGGTCGACCAGTTTCTGTCGCTTGTTCACATTCATCGTACCATCCAATCGGAGACTGCCGTACTGGCGAGAGCGACAGAGCCTTTCGAAAAGATCCAGAGTGGATGTATAGTTGCTGATAAGCACAATCTTGTCGTTTGTGTCTTGGCGGATTCTGGCCAGCATGCGGTCCAATACCTGCATCTTGCCCGAATACCAGAGCTTGACGTCGCGATCGCGCCCGCGAGCTTCCCTCGGAACGTAGTCGTCTGGGAAGCATTTTTCCGAGCCAGGTAAATCTTCACTGACGTTCAACAAGTCTGGATGGTTACAGAGCTTCTTGAGAATGTTGATGGCTTTCAGTGGCTGACTTCCCTTGCCACGGAGTAAAGCCTGGATCTCGGGACTGGTGATGAAGTAGTTGTACAAGTCCAGCTGGAATGGTGCCAGGTTGCAGAAAACCACATGCTCATACTTGACCGGCAAATACTTGGACAGAATGTCGTTTGTGCGGCGGATGAGGAACTTGTTCACGATGCCCAAAAGCTCTGTGGTGCATTCGTCTCCCCTTTTGCGATCGGCTTCTGATGCATCTGCGTCGCGCCCGCGTAGAATCGGAAGTTCAAAACGTTTACGAAACTCCAGGCGCGAGCCCAACAAGTTAGGATTGGCGAAGCTGATCAAGGAGAAGTACTCGGTCAAGTCGTTTTGAATCGGCGTTCCTGTCAAAATGACACGCCGCGTGACGTTCAGGCTGTTGAGACCAGCGAATGTATTGCTGTCAGCATTCTTCAAACGATGGCCCTCGTCGCAGAACAGCAAACCAATCTTAGTGTGCTTGAGCTCTTCGACATTCAGTCGCAGGGTTTCGTATGATACAATGATAACAGGGCGAGTGACAGCGCGCCCAGTGGCAATCGCCCACTGTCTCAGCTGGCGCGTCAACTCCTCCTTCGAGGCTTTGCCATCAATAGCAAATGGCGTGATGGCATTAGCACCAAGCCACTTGACCAATTCATTGGCCCAATTCTTGACCAGACTGGCCGGACAGACGACAATTGCCTTCTGGATAGTCGATTTGCCGGCATCGGGGGACTGTTTCAGCAACGTCCAAAGGAGCGCGATGCACTGTAGCGTTTTGCCCAAGCCCATTTCGTCGGCCATGATGCACCCATTGGCCTTTTCGTCCACCTTGCCTGTGACGCAGTCGTACATGAACTGTACGCCTGCTACTTGATGCGGCCGCAGGGTCTTGGTAAGCTTGGGATCCAAGACGACGGGCACACGAGGATGCTCGCCCTCCACTTTCTTTTTTATGCCGAGAATTTCTGCCAGACTCTTGTGCACTAGAGGCGCATCGATGGTACTGGAAGCCGGATCCTCGTCTTTGGGTTTCGACTGCTCGGGATCTTCTTTCGGTTTGTCGTGTATCGTTGGATCATACAATACGATTGCCAAGTCATCAGTAGGGTCGTGCAAGGCCCGAGGAGAGAACACAGCGCCTTGCCGAAGGCCAAGTGTTGGTGGCGGACGGTAGGGGTTGTATGACGACGTGTCTTTGTTCTTCAAAGGTATTGAAAACGCTTTCCGAAAGACCACGCTCTTCTCCTTGGCTTGGAATACTGGATAGCGATTGACATCTCGAGTGGCTAGGGCTAATCGATCATCGTTCGAGTATGGTTTGTCTGCGTCTTGAGAGTCGTCGGCGCCCCCATAGTCGACCTTGCGGCGTTTCCTCGACGGTCGGTCGCTGGCGGGCGTATGACCTGCAACACCAGGACACTTGAAGGGCTTCCATAGCTTGGTCGGGGGAGCAGATGCCGGCTTCGGTGGTCCAGTATTGACGCCTGGCCTTTTGAGTGGAGTGGCAGGTGCTGGAGCTCTGGGTCTCGCCGTTAGCTGGATCATGAAGTGGCATTCAGCATGAAGATCACCTACTTTGCGGACATATTGCATCAAAAGTACTGTGCTCAAGTACTGCAACTGTCAAGAGACTGATGGAACCTTTACGGGTGTGAGGAGGTGAAAGGATGCATCGATTCGCCACTTCTCCAGGCAGCATCACTCATCACTTCGCGTCGTGTCTGTTGACATTGGGAGAAGGCGCGACGGACGCGCTCCGACCCACGCGCAAGCACGTGACAGTGTATGAGCCGGCCTTGGCAAGTGCGCCCCGCGTCCAGTTGTACTCCGCATGCACGTACCGCACGCCATGAGTTGACAGACGATAAATGTGCACGTCTCAGTCGCTACTTGTACTCAATCGCTTCACCCAGAATCTCCGGGCCAATGTCAGCTGACTTTTGGGCTGGCTACCTTAGCGGTGCTCTCAGTATTCTGATAGGCAATCCATTGGACATCATCAAAGTACGTTTGCAAGCCAACGATGCAACGGCCAGATTACCCCTCCAACACGGAACTTCTTCATTCACCACAGGGACTGCTGGCCCTCTACTGGGCTATGGTGCGCTGAATGCTCTACTTTTTGTTTCTTACAATCGGTCGGAAGCTGCCATCAATGATTACATGGGAACCAAAAACAGCCTATCCGCCACATGGGTTGCTGGCGCCATTGGCGGGCTAGCTACGTGGGTTGTCAGCGCGCCGACAGAGTTCGTAAAGTGCAGAGCCCAAGCCGCCCCCACGTCCCTGTCGAGTTTCGACATTGCAAAATCCGTGGTGAAAGAAAAGGGCGTGAAAGGTCTATACACGGGCGGAACCGTGACGGCGCTCCGGGATAGCATTGGCTATGGTTTCTACTTCTGGACATATCAGCTCATGTCAAGCATGTGGCCTGCTGCACAAGACGGACCAACCTCCAGCGCCCTCTCTGATGCACCCAAAGTTCTCCTCTCGGGCGGCATTGCGGGCATGGCTACTTGGGCGAGCGTGTTTCCACTGGATGTTATCAAAACTCGTGTGCAAATACAGGACTTGGAAACTACTCCTCTGCTCGGCAACCAAGGGGCGGAGCAGAAGAAACCTCGGGGTGCCTGGCAGCTGACTGTTGAGGCCTACCGTCACCATGGCTGGAAGGTCTTCTTTCGAGGATTTGGCGTTTGCTGTGCGCGGGCCTTCGTCGTCAACGCTGCTCAGTGGGCAGTGTACGAAGCAGTGATGCGGGAGTTGCAACCAGCCAGATCCCCATAATCGCTTTCAAAGATGACGGCACGAAAGCAGCGGCGTTGGCCTTGAAGTCCTCGCGAATCTCGCTGATCGACATGTGAAGCTTGCAGCTACGGATCCTCAAGCTTTCCAAGCGCGAAGTTGAACCTGGCAAAGCAGTTGTTAGTGTTCGCAGCGATTTGTCAGAGGACTCAAGGACTACACGAACCTTAACTCCAGCCCATCTGTTCCATTGAGGGGGTTTCTAGCGAGATAACAGCAAACATGGCCGACGGAACCGCATGTATCATATCATGGCGAGAATGCGCTTGAGGCCTGTAAGGCTATGCGTCCTGGTGATCATACTCATCGTATGCACTGCAACAGTTATTCTGTGGCCCAAGCTCACCTACAAACCATGGCACCACATGCCAAGTGTGCTTCCCGAGTTCTCAGCGGACACCAGCCATGTTTGGCCGTGGTCACAGAAAGCCTCCACAGGAGCTTCGAACGATGTTGGCCAGGTCTTCAATGCTACCTTGGGGTTTGAGAAGGTTCTCGCGCTGGGACTGCCGGAGCGAAGCGACAAACGAGACGCTTTGGTGCTGATGTCGGAGCTGAGCGGCTTCCACATTGAGTGGATTGATGGCGTGAAACCAGCAGATCTACCATCAAAAGCAGTTCCATACGGTATCGATGCCACCAAGGTCGGCGACAACTTCCTGGGGAGTTGGAGAAGTCACATGAATGCTATCCGTTTGTGAGTTAATGTGCAAAGTCATCCTCCAGCCTCGTGTTTTTTTGACAAGTTTCAGCGTAGTAGAAGCCGGCGTCGGCTCGGCTTTAATAATGGAAGATGATGTTGACTGGGATGTGCACATCAAAAGCCAGCTTCAGGCCGCTGCACTCGGAGCTCGTCATGTCCTGGGTCAGAATCCGACGAGTTCTTCATCCCCTTATGGAGACGACTGGGATCTGCTCTGGCTTGGACACTGCGGCGAACCGTTCCCGGAAAATCTCGAAGAAATCAGTGGACTGAATGAGGAAGCAAAGGCACGGATCTCCTCAAAGTTCAACATCGAAAACGACGATACGGTCCCGCCGTACCAGCACGTGTCGACACTAGTAGACTGGGCAAAGTACCCCCCAGGGACTCGCATAGTCCATCGCACAGCCGCACCCATCTGCTCCTTTGCATATGCGGTGTCTCAGAGAGGGGCGCGAAGGCTGCTGCATGCTTTAAGCATCGAAGGGTTGAGCATGGCTTTTGATAACTCTCTAGCCCAGCTGTGTCGAGACGCCGTGTTCGATCTTGCCAGAGGACAGGAGCAGCACTATGTAATGAAGTGCATCAGCATCAACCCGACTACCATGTTCCATCACAAGAGCAAAGGATTGCTGTCCGGCGATAGCGATATTCAAAACCACGGCCAAGGTGGTGAGATGCGAGAAAAGGGGTTCACAGAGTCGATCATGTGGTCAACACGGTTAAACTTGAAAAACCTCCTTACAGGTCAATCGGTGGAAGCGCAGTTCGTCTAATCCCATGTGAGAAAAATCGTGTTCTATTGTCACAAAATAATACGCCTTCGGTTTCTGATACAATACTTTCTGCGAAATTGACTGTCATAGCCCAGTCCTCTCCCAGTGAACCAACCAGCCAACAACCCATGCGCCCAAATACGACTGTGCTAGCCACGCCATCAACGCCAATACGATCCATGCCGTGAAGAAATCTAGACGGCGGCTGTCTTCTGCGTGTCATCCAACCCTGCGGCCTTTCGCCACTGTGCTGTCGCTTGTTCAAAGCCCCCGAGCCAATTGAGTACAGCCTTGGAGGCCTGCAAAGTGAGTTCGTCTTCTTCACTTGCCATTCCTGCATCAGGGCTCGACCTCTTGCTTGCTCTCTCCTCTGACGCTTGATCACGAAGCTTGCGCTTCTTCTCGCGTTCTGCAAGCCATGCGCTACGCCCTAACAGATATTTGGCGCTGTGGCCAAGGTTGGCAGCGCTCGGCGATAAAGCACCCGATGCGCGAACGAGTGGAGGCGCAGAGAAGAAGAGGATACGACCGGCTTCGTCGCGCTTGAATTGTTGTCGGATCTCGGCCGAGAACGCCTCATTCGTAGCGTCGGGAAGCGTGTAGACCTCTGGAGGCCGCGGAGGGTTGTATGCGTTGCCAATATGAGGTAAACTCCCGTGTGACTGGGGATGGACAGCTCTCGTATTGGTCTGCGGCCCGTGGGAATAGCCAGCAGCCATGGTATTGTACGAAGGCTGGGTGTGCATCTGCTGGGGCGCTGGTGAGTGGGGAATAGCTGCACTCGGGCTCGGCGACCAGGCGTGCTGCTGAAACTGGATTGGGCGCATTGCGGCCTGTTGGGGGTAGTTGGGCTGGTGTGGTTGTTGGTGCTGAACAGAATGTTGCGGTCCGACAGCACCACTAGCCATAGGAGTTGCTGTTGGGTATTGAACTGGCATAGTTGACTGAAACCGGCTTGGCGACGGTGACGGACCAGGCGCCATCATGGCTGGCGGTAGGTGGCGCGACTGAGAATCCGACCGGCCCTGTGTCATAGAGCCGCGTCTGTACGCATCTGTGGCCATCGAAGGGGCTGTCACCTGCTGTGCTTGGGGGACAGGCTCAGGCGGCGGTGAATCCTGTGAAACGCCGAGGTCAGTTTCACACGCGGCAAGCAACAGAAGACGGGATGACTTACGCCTGACTCTCTAGGTCTACGGTGAACTGCGCCAACAATCGGTGGTGCGTTTGCACTGCCCCAGGTCGGTCTGGGAATGGAATCTGCTTCTTTGGCATCCTCACGCAGAAGATGCTTGATCGGACTAGGCTGTTTGACAAGCCGCTTGTGCGGGAGCGGAAACATGTCCATCTCGTAGTCCTTCTCCCGCACCTCGTCTGGGACACAGCTTGCCCATGTCTTGATCTTGTGGAAGGTTGCTTTTTCTTCGTTGTACCGCGACTCGCAGACGTAGACTGCTTTGTCCATTGGAAAGCCCCTCGGTCGGCCTCGATTGAACCGGGTGACGAACATAACAAAGCAACGCTCAACAACATCCTCAATCTGATGGTCGCGATATTGACTGGTCTTGAAGACCTCGTGGTCGAGGAAGTGTTTGTCGTAACGATGAACAGTCTGTTCGGGCCGGTAGTACCAGCATGCATTAATCCATTTGTGTCCATCGCGTGCTTGCCATGTCCTGTAGATCTGGGCGACGATTGGTTTGCCCAAGTCGTTAGCATTGCGAATATGGACCCAATCACCGACTCTGTAAACATCGCCCTTGTGTTCGATACCTGCCAGAGGGAGTCTGCCATCTTCATCCCTGAAGTCTTCGTCAGGCCTGGCTTTCTCTTGCGTGGCCAATTCGTGTGCTTGCTTCTGAAGTTCGACAGCAGCGCGGTACAAAGGGCTGTCGTCTTCGTTATATACTTTGGCGTTGTTGAACATGAGATCCAAGTCCGCGAGAGCTTGGTCGACGTTCTGGTACTTCTTCCTCTTCATATTCTTCTTGATTTGATCCAGCGCAATCGGATTTGTGATGGTCTGGTAGTAGTCAGGTAGCACTGCCCTGTCTGGAAGCCTCTCAAACGGCTGGACAAGCAGACTACCATCTTCAGCCTTTGATTTACGCAGCTCTTTGAGTATTGTCGAGATCCGTCCCTCTACCGGTGTCAGAACACTGGGAGGCCGCCCTCGTTTCTTGTGGCTGTCGTCTTCGAAATCGTCATCACGGGCCGCAGCACTTCGACGTCCACGTCGTCCTCGTCTGCCACGACCTTCATCGTCGCTATCATCGTCGTCTTCGTCCTCGTCATCTTCGTCCTCATCCTCGTCGTCTTCATCGTCCTGGCCGGCGTAGTCCACCTCGGCGCCGCTCTCATATTGTGGCGAATCTTCAACTGGCGGCAGCTCACCAAGATCTGGCAGCACGGCCTCGTCTGCGGTAATAACTCCCTTCTTCGCTAGATCTGCCAGTTTTGCCTTGAATACTTCGCGAAGTCGCACCGCTGCGCCGAATATGGGAGCTGAAGGCCTATTGTAAACTTGGGCATTGTGGCATATTTGGGCCACGTCTTTCACGAATTCCGAAAACGACGTGTATTGCTTCTTCAGCACTTTCCCCTGAGAACCATATGTGAGCATGGAGAGCACGCTGAGTTGCCGACCTCCTGGTAGCTTACCCGAACGGTGCTGAAAGCGACTGGTTCTGCAATAACCTCGAAGTAGTCGGGAAGGACCCGTCGATTGGGTATGCGCTGGAATCCTGCTGCGAGCTCTTCGCCACTAGGGAGTGTTAGCCAGACCAGATCAGATGGAGATGAGGCCAATGCCCTTACTCCTCCTCTACCTCGCAGAGGTAGGTTGATGTTTCTGCGATGAGCTGGAGCATGTCGCGCGGCCCGTCGCCTTCCAACCCACCCTCCGACATGTCAACATCGTTGTCGTTTTCATCGAGATGTGTGTCGCCCTCGTCCTTCATCTCAATGTCTTCCTTTGCGGTGCGCTCGGTCGTTTCCGCATCGCGCGCATCGGACGCGACAGATCGCCTTGCGGCCATGGTATGTGTTCATACGCTGGGGATGGGGCTAAGCAACGATATGATATATTCGGCAGAGCTCAGACGATTGTGCGATTCGTACAGTGATCTCTTGGTCCTGGGTCTTTGAATTCGAAGTCGGCGCTTCAGGTCGTATCGCGCTTCGCCAAGGTGATGTTGCGCCGCGCGCGGCTGCACAGCATCCACATTTGCACAGCTAACGCTGCTGACTAATTTCCTCCCTGGTCGACGTCTTGACGCGCGCGATGCTTCGCCTACCCTGCACATCCGTGACGGAGTCCCTCAGGTGCTCAAATTCCTCTATTGGTTGGGACATTGCAATATGGATTGCTAATTCAGATATCCGCTTTCCTCAATTCAGTATGATGTCAGATGTTCCATTAGGTGATTGAGAAAGGGCCAGGTGGCTCGAGGCTTATAGCCGCCACCTTCAATCTCTCCTGAGCAATCGTGTTCGTCACCCCCGCTGTCTACCTTGCCTGCAAACGACTTGCGGCAACTTCAGAGATCAGAGCAAACCTATTTCTCAGGAAGCCAAGAACCTGGAACACACATTGTTGGGATCGCCAGCCTTGCGATTTTTCACGCTCCAAAACCAGTGCATTTCACACCTTATCGCATCGTGCACCCCTCGATATGAAAGCCAGGTACAAAGGCCCAGCAGGGACTGGCATCATTACCCTTCCAGACGATGCCACAGTAAAGGCGGTTCTCGAAGAGCTCAAAGCTAAGACGGGCATCGAATACTTCACTGTGAAATTTGGGCCGCCGATGGCCATGCAAAATTTGGATATCAGTGCCAGCGATACACTTGCCAAATCCATGGGCCTGAACGGCGAGACGTTGACCATTGTGCCTCGGGAGCCCCGATCAATATCTCCCGTTAGGCCGGCTACTGAAGGAAAGCACCCGAGCAGTCGTCAGGAAAAGGCATCTGGCCGCACTGCACAATCACCAGAGGACGTGACGGTACCTTGGCCTGAGAGAGAAGGCACCGTATGTGAGTTGAAATGCAGCTAAGAGATCAGCGTACCGATTGTGACTGACATTGATCTCTTAGTACTGCGGATCATGCCTAGCGACAATAGTTGCCTATTCACAGCCTTTGGTGGCGCATTGCCCACACAGATCCCAGCGCCCAGGTTGAGGAGGATGATGGCCGATTTCATCGCTGAACACCCCGGGGAGTATACCGAGGCTGTGTTGGGAAGCTCTCCAGCTCAATACAGTCGTAGTATACAAGACCCTGATCGTTGGGGCGGTGGTATCGAGCTCAGTATTCTCTCGTCAATATTTGATATCGAGATTTGCACCTTTGATGTCCAGGCAAGTACTCAACTATCGTGTGCCCACGAGCAGGTGCTAATTGGCATATTCAGGCGCAAAATTTGATCAAGTTCGGAGAGAACAAAAGAGACCGATGTATACTGGTGTACTCTGGCATTCACTATGATCGAGTAGCATTTGCGCTGTCTGAACCACCATACGAACAGACAGACCTGCCGCCAGAGATGGACTGCACGCGTTGGCCCACTGATGATAACGAGATCCTATCAAAGACACACGACCTTGTGAACAAACTCCACAATGCCCACTACTATACGGACACAGAAGGGCTCATTCTCCGGTGCGATGTGCCCGGTTGCGACTGGATCGGTAGCGGGCAGGCGGCTGGGCAGCAGCATGCACAGAAGACGGGGCATATCGAGTTAAGCGAAGTGACAGATACGGTCGAGGACAACACACTCCGACAATGTGATGCGCCAGGCTGCACGTTTATGGGACAAGGAGACAAGGCTCGATCGCAGCACACAGCTGATACAGGACACAAGTCTTATTCAGTGATTCCAGACTTTTGAGGGTTAGAATTTACGAGCCCAGGAATAAATGATATGCCTTATAGTACAAAACAAACCCAAACAAGATCGTCTATCCGCCCCCGTGGAAGCCTCCGCAACACGTCGTGATAAGCCGAAGCCCGGTCGTTTTAAGCCCATTATTCGCTTGCCGTCTTCTCCGTTCGCACGAGGTCAAGATTCGTGAGCGATAAGTTCAAGAACTCGTGCTTGTTCTTCCACTCTTGCTCAGCTTCAACAAACTTCTGTGCTTCACTCACAGGTGGCGGCGGCTCGGTAATCTTGGTGATAAGGTACGCCGTCGACGCTTCGGCGATCCCATAGATGAGGACTCCCACAAGAGGCACCTTTACGAGCCAGTAGAAGCCAAGACCGAACCCGAAGAGAACACCTTCCCGGCTCCTGAACCAGCGCTTCTTCTGTGCTTTGTCAAAGTGTACGCGGGCAAAGTACGGCTCGAGAAGCTCCCGCATGAGACTTCGCGAGGAGAAGTATGTCTGCAGAAAGACGACCAGATATCTGCGAGGCAGGAAAACACCGGTGCCAAATATAACTGTTGCAGGACCGGCGCCGACAGCCTTATTGAAGGTGTAGAAACTTGCCGCAGGTAGAACGAATCTACCAATGTACGGCACGTAGGACAGACTGAAAACCGCCAAGGATATACCGCCCTTTCGAACGAAGCGCATGAGGAATGCCATGAGCGGTTTCTTCGCACCCTGAGAGGGTTCACGCTGCTTCTTGGCAGCCTCGTAGGACTTGAGGTTGGGATAATACATATCTCTGAGAGTATCGGGATTCTCGGACTTGTGCTTCTGCACGTATGTGATGTCTACCCATTCCAGCGAGCGCATGAACCTGTTGTGTGATTAGCGAGATGAAAGAACAGCGACGAAGTTTGGGTACACAAGACTTACAGATTGTCCAAGGTTGGGTCCACATAGCGCATCAGCGTCATTAGAAAGAAGGGTACCTGCAGGACGTACTCCTCAATGAAGTGAAGACCGTTGATTACGGAGTCGTCCCATTGCACACGGTCAAGGGAATAGAACAGTGATATAGTCCATAACACGAGCCGAACGCCAAGGACCTACCGTGTCAACATCATTAGCCTACTTGCTGCAACACATTGGGACAAGGCGTCGAAACTAACAGGTAGGGAGACAAGGAGTCTAATTGCGATACCGACCGCAACTGCTATGGCAGCTTGGCGATAGTGATCCGATGTGAAGAGCGCGGGGTTCTGGAGAGCTCGATGTGCCCCTACCAGGGTGAGCTGCATACCTCGCAGAACGGCATTGGGCTCGAAGTTGGAGAGATCAAACTTGGCCTTGAGCTTCTCTTTGTCAACGTTTCCGTCAATGACCTTTTTCAATTCGGCCTTGACATCTTGTGGTTCATGGCTTTGCGTGGCCATTGCGTAGCAACCTCCTTGGAGGAAGTTCAAGCAGGAGAAGTATGTGCCAGATTATGTACTATCCAAAGGTCCAGGATATGCCGATCATATGAAAATGGTGTTAAAATGGTCTTTGCTAGAGCGAAAGAGTGAATCTGGTGTTCAGAGCAAGGCAGCACTTGTGGAAATGGTGAAGTGCTGATGGTGGTACGTACTGCAATGACGTCAACACGGGCTTTCTGGTAATGATCAAGCCCTCGAGACTCGCAATGTACTTACCTTACGATTGCAAGTCGAGAGACATTCGACCAAGCCCTCTCAGCACTAGCGTCCGGCCGCCAGATTCATCGCGCCCACGAAGACGTTTGCGTCCCATGTCGACGCAAATCAATGTTTGTGCGTAGGCCTGCGCAATGGTTCTACAGAGCCGCGTCCGTCGCGCCACGATAGTGAACCGGGCAACCATGCTCTCAGATAGCAAAAGACGCCCGCGCTCGATGCAAAACTGAACCATCCCACTTCGCCATCACTCCAACCATCGATGGCGCCGCGCCGCATCGTGAGTGCGCCTGTGCGGACCTTGGAGAGCTCCACCAGCGATGCGGCATTGATTGAGACACTCTGCGTACATCCTGATGTGCGCATCGTGTCGTTCGTAGCAGCTGTCGATGCGCTACCCCCAAGCCCAACAATAGCCCGCGAACAAGCTGGAACACTAGCTTCGACCTCGCGGCTGCAGAGAACTATTGCTGTTGGTGCGTTGCGCTTTGTATTTCATACAGGAGAAACGAAAACATTGCTAACTATGCGTCTAGGCTCATGTCGCATTTACAAGGCGCCTGGTTCGGTCGCATTCATCAGCTGTGGTGCCGCGCTGCAACCGATACTTCCCAAGAGCCAGTGTTGGGCAATCGACGAGCACGACTGCACTTTCGCACTTCAAATTCGCCGGCCGACTTTTTGGAGGATTGAACTACCGTCCACCACCGAAATCGACCTTCAACGAGCGAAAACATTCCGAGAAACTTTGAGCAAGATTTTGCAGTTTGAGAAGACGCCTTGCCCCTTTCAAAGAAGCTTTACGATCGAGCTTCCCGAAGAACCGGATGAGCCTGTCAAGAAGATACCATGGACACCGAAGCGAAACGGCAACGATTATCGGCCGGTCACGGCCGGCGCAGCTTTGGGTGGGAACCCTGACTGGACGCCCCCTGACGCGGACCTGGCGTTGCGGTACGCTCGCAGACCATCCGAGCAAGGCCATCGTACAGTATCATTGGACGTTTTCGCAAGGGAAGCGAGATCTGAATTTCCGGGAACACCAACTACGGTAGCTAGGAGTGAGCGGGACCAGCCTGACGAAAGCGTTGGTGGCACCGCGACACCTCGCACTACGCTCAGTTCCGACACATCTCACAGCGATGCAGTAGACTCACACGAAACCGAGGAGCCCCCTGCCTTGCACGACAAAAACCCTATTGCGGGGTTGATACGCGAGTTCGACATTCTCGGTCGAGGCAGAGATACAAGCCATCCGATTTTGTCGCGAGAAGGCTGCGAGATGCTTGCCCGACAGTGCGGCAGCTCCCCGAGGAGCGAAGGAACACACATCGAGAGAGCTGACCGGCGCCGGCGATCAAGTAGCTCTTCACAAGCATCTTTTGCGACTCCTGGAGAGGCCTGCTTCATGCCCACACAAGACAATGTCTGGGGCGAGGACCAGGATTTGTCGGAAGAAACGAAGAATATATGCCGGTCTCCCTCTGCTGATCCTAGCAACCCTACGAAGCCTTCTGTAGGACTGGATCTACCCAAGACGATCTTCACCAAGACGTTTAGTGCCCTCATCGCACCACCTACATACCTTATCACGCTCATGCTGCGGATAGCTGCCCAGCTTAGTCCACCGCCGCATAGCCCACGGAGTACGCATGATTCGAGCCGATATATGCACATGCCCGGACAATGGGATGATTTCGGCGACGAGCTCAGCGAGTAAGACCATCTTTGGGGACAGGTGGGTGGGTGTACGTATAGACCAGAACGGCCATTTGACTTGGCTCGCTGTGGTGAATAGCCATACTAATTAAATACTCTGCGTCATGACCAGAGATTGCATTTCGTATTAATGAATGAAATACCTGTACCTATCGGCGGAACCGACGCTTGACCTCACCGTGTAGGATGAGACCCGACGTCCTCTCGGGTTCTCACAATCTGGCCCACAGACTCAGGGTCATAGCTTTTGGCTCAAAAAGTGGCTGAAGTTCGTTTTTCAAGGTCCTTGGATCTAAATATGGCACTTGAAGCGTTGAAGGAGGCTTGGCCTGTCAGTTGAACACCCCTGCAACAGATGCAATGACAGGGGCCGAAACATCCTACCCGACCCAGTCCATGCATGATGTGATCAAGGAATACGGAGAGTGGTGATCTTAAGTTTATGACTGTTTCGATGTTGTTTCTACCAAGTACTCCGTAGTAGTGAATCATTTGCCTACCACGAAGTAGCCATAGGCCGACGACTTGGGCTCTGAGACTGTGAGACTGCCTCGGTGTGAAGGTCCCGGCCTCGCATCAGTCAATCAAACATGCCGTCCGATTCTCACTCAGCGGTAAAGTTTGATGTTACAAATGACCGAAGCAAACCTCCGAGCGACCCCAGCGCACTGGAGTATCCGTAGGCACGCACCCCTGGAGGATTGCTGGATCGTGGGAGCTAGCGTGATTACGGTCAGCCTCGCTTGTCATGCCCCAGTCAATGCGACCTGTCCTTGAACAAAAAGATCAGTGATTCACATTGTCAGCGTAGATATAGTTCTCCAGCCCATTTGGTGTTCCCATGCAAGGGGCCATCCTACCAACTTGACTACAAGGTGACCAACGAACAAGATACAACACCTTCCACATTAGTTTCAGCTGGCGCAGCGTGGCGAATGCTCAGCAACGCCCACAAACCCCCCACCTCGAAACGACTGTGACGACCTCAAACGATCAGATTCACAGCCGCAGCTCGCTTGCTTGCAGTAATAGAGGACATTCAACAAGCGAATTGCTGATACGTTCTCCCGCGAGGGCTATCTGTTCCCGCCACTAGCTTTCACACAACTCGGCTCAACCCCGTCGCGATCCGTAGCAAACAACCTCACCGCAACAAAGTTGCAGCGCCAACGTCGACGAGGCGGACATCCACGGCTTGTCCGACAGACAGCGGACCATCAACCAACATGGCAGACCGACCAGCCATGTATTTTCACTTGGAAATGGGCGTCTCTTGGCGACCCAGAAAGCATCAGGGCCAGTCGAACCATCAATTGACCCTGATGTCCAAGAGCGCGCGGGAACGCGCGAACAATGTCACCCGACACTGGGGCCCTCAGAACGCCAACTATCCAGTGCATGGCATGCAACCGCAGCGTCCGTACTTAATACAACAAACCTCATACGATCACAACGGGCAGCCCTATACGCAGCAGCAACAGTGGCAACACCAGCAGCCTGCCGGATCCCATGCCCAATGGCCGCATCCAACATGGCAAACACACGCGCAAGCAGCGCAGCCAGCAATCCAATACCACACCCAGCCATGGCTGCAGTCGGGAATCGAGCAGGAACAGCAGCGACCTTCGCGACCTCGTTCACCTACCGAGTCTCCCCACGGACGTAACCGGTCTGCGCCGCCTCCTATGAGTGCAGGCTCGTGGGATGCTGAGCCTGAGCCAATGATGGCTACAGCTCTGCCTCAAGGAACTGCCATTGCATCGACTTCGAAACCCTTACCATCTACACCGGCGCAGTACCGTCTTGGTCACGATGATATGCCCTGGTCGCCCTCGCCTTTCCCCATGGGTCGCTCAGATGATGGCAGCAGCGAACAGTCCCCCGACTTGAACGACACACAGAACCCGGCCACAGCTGTTCCTTCTTCGAGTCCGGCGAAACATGTGGATGATCGGGTACGGGGGCGCACCAAAGAGATGCAGTCACTGGCCACAGCAATGATGACCGTGGACAATGGCTTTGAAGATCAATGGTGGTATCAAGGCGAGCGTCTCGTCAACATTGCGGGAGATTTGATTTCACCAGCAGAGGTGGCCCAGCGGTACGCGCCTGGTACAAGCAGAGTCTGGCAACCCACCACTCCAGGCATGGCAGGGTTGGGCGACGGATCTGTCGATGGGCAGATATCTGCGTCCCCCAGCCTGGCCGACGTCGTGTCGCCTGTGAGCGACTATTCAAGTCCTAGATCAGGACATGGATCACCTGGGCCTATCAAACGGTCCATGACTACGAGATCTGACGAGATGTTTATGCGTTGAGAGGAATTTCAAACAAACCCTTTCGCCACCTCATGGAATCATGCAACTTCCCACCGCACAGCAAGACCGGCCGGCGGTTGACTCTAATTTGACTTGGTGCGAACCTGGAGGATCGACGCCCCGCGCAAAACCCCAAGCCAACCTGCTCATCCAACGTCACATTTGAGCGCGGGGTATCCAGAGGCCAGCATGGCGTATGTAGTACAGCACGCCAGTAATCACTCAATCTAGTGAGGACTGTCGTTGACAAGGAAGCGAATGGGTGGGATCGCACGAGAAACCTGTTTGGCTTACGGATGAATCGAGAAAAGGCTAAGGCATCGTCTCAGAGCTAGCCGAGCTTCCACGCGAGTAGCGTCAGCCACTTGTGCCCCAAGAAAGAAGCTACTCACGGGAGAGCAGTACTTTGCTCCGAGACTGGACTGGGTCGGCCCGCTGTTTAAAGGACCTTGGCCTACCGACTTGGGTCGTCGCTCAGCTATGGTGACTTGTATCGGCACAAGAGCATAAGTATCATATGGAGCACATCTTGTGCACTGACCTGTCACTCGTCATCCTTTCTCATCGCTCTCAAGATGAAGACACCTTGCTTGTTGTCTTCCGCCTTACTGGGCGTACTCTTTCTTTTCCTACACGTTTCCGCCGTTCAAATGGTCTCGACGCTTCACACACCACAAGTACCTAACCGACCACTGGAGTACGACAGCAAACTAGCCCATGATCCGTCACTTGGGTCGAATCCTATTTCTGATGGCTGGTATGCCGATCCCGACGGCATCAAGTTCGGCGATACGTACTGGATATACGCCACGCTCTCCATCTCTTTCGACGAACAGACATACTTCGATGCATTCTCAAGTCAGGACCTCAACTCATGGACGAAGCACACCCAGGTCTTTTCTGCGAATGGTTCCGAATGGGCCGAGTCTTCATTTTGGGCACCTTGCGTGGTCGAGAGAGATGGCCAATACTACTTCTACTACACGGCCAACAACCCAGTCGCCAACGAAGACAATGCTGGTATAGGTGTGGCTGTGGCTTCGACCCCTGGCGGGCCGTTCATTGACCTGATCAACGAGCCCATTGTTGGCAAGAGAATCAACGAAGGCAACCCCATGGATCCACAGGTCTTCGTCGACGACGACGGTACATACTACCTGGTATGGGGTGGCACGCGTGCCTTCATCGCACCGCTGAGCGCCGATATGGCGAGCTTGGAGTTGAGTGATGATTTCGCAGAGCCTAGGGACATCACTCCAGACCACGGCTATACCGAAGGCGCGTTCATGCTCAAGCGCGATGGCCTCTACTACTTTATGTGGTCGGAAGGTGGATACGGGACGCCTGATTATCGTGTCGCCTACGCCATGTCCAAATCGCTTTTCGGGCCATTCAATCGCGCGGGCTTGGTACTCCGGAAGGATGATGTGGCAGATGGTCCTGGGCACAATTCTGTCTTCAAGGACGATGATGGTCAGTATTACGTTGTGTACCATAGGCGTATCATCGGGGACGACGTCGCAGACCATCGCATTATCGCTGTGGATCGAATGACTTTCGCGAGCAATGGGACGATCAAGGTGGTACAGATGACATAGTGGCGGAGATTATGCATACCTCTGTCATAGAACGAGACAATCGAAAGGATTGTGGTTGCTGCGAGCTACACCCAGTCCAGCCCTTCTCAACATGTCTCCCGTCGACCATTGCCAGGCCAAAACGTAGTTTTGGCAATTGCCCCATCAGTGGAGAGCATCCTCCACAATCTTCCACTTGACTGTCTCGAGACCTCCTGTCAGAGAGAGCCATCTCTTTGCTTGCCGTTCTTGAAGGACAGATTATCCAGTCGGAGTCTTTACTGGTCTTCTCTGCAGAGTTGCTAAAACGCGGCTGATGCATGTCCGTGGAATACCAACCAGCGGTGTATGCAGTGGTAGAATAATGTGATGGGCAAAACGTCCCCTGGGACTGGACTCATTCGTTGCCTGTCCTGGCTTGGGTCTCATGATCATGAGGCCCATGAAGGCTCATGAAGCATCATTAAGCGGCACTCCAAGGAAATGCGTGCGGCCATGTAGCCGTATCATTATGCCGTCGGCCCGTTACGACTTTGATGCCATGACGTTGGTTTTCGCTCCTCGCGTTACACCCAGACTGGGCCGGTACAATAGTCGGGAACTGGTCCCGAGTGTTGATGCCGTGCTGAAGCTTCCCCTTAGCCGCTCAGAGGACCACGGTACCTTTCCCTGACTGCGGAAAGCAGCCTACAATTCTGCCTCAGGCGCTGTTTCCGAAAAACTGCGTGATTTTCTGAGTGCCTTTCTGTGGCTTGACTTTATGGGGACTCCTGGAGTTGTTCTTGGTCGCACTGATCGTCTTGGAGGTCGTCAAGTCATCACGGCTTGACCGCAAGGTCTTTTGAGCTGGCGTCGTCTGTAACTCGTCTTCAGAAGCTTTCCTTTTCACAGCACCATGTTCTGCTGCCTGCTCCTGCTTCTGCTTCTCAGTTGCCACACCCTTGGGTTCTAAGGTTGCTGACGTTGGTTGGCCCTCAGCTTTCTTGGCTGCATTGCCAAAAAAGTTGGCAATGTTTGACTTGTTCTCCTTTGAATCAAGGGGAATGACAAAGCTCGGGGAGTTGTTGCCAACCTTTCCTACATCTTTGTTGACGGGATATATCTCCAGATCACCGCTGTAAGGCTTCAGGAGCGACTGCAAGTCCTTGCTCCACTCGTTCTTCTCGGGATCAAGCCATGTTCTCAAGTCGTCCGAACCAGGGTCAAGGATGACAGGCATGCGGTCGTGAATGAATCGCATTTGCTTGTTCGCGTCCGTGGTGATGATGGTATACGTGTACGTCTTCTCATGGGTGTCTGTTCGTCCAGATTAGCACTGAAGTGACGAGGGTCTGCACGGGAACTATACCCTCGTACTCTACACAATCCCATAAGCCCGCAAAGCACATGAGCTGCCCATCCCGCCGCTTGATATAGTGCGGCAACTTGTTCTTAGGACCCGTCTTCAGCCACTCGAAGAACCCCTCGGCAATGACAATGCATCGTTTCCGAGCCTTCATGCTGGACCACATGCCGCCGGGCGTACTGAGGGAGTCATCACGGCAGTTGATGGCTTTCATAATCGTGCCGTAGTCGGGGCTGCGTTTTGTCCAGAACGGTATCAGGCCCCATTTCATCGACTGGAGCTTGTAGGTAGCTTCCGTCTTCTCAGGCTCACTTGGTGGTTCGGCCCCAGCTGTGCGCGCGGTGTCGCTGTGATGGTGAGAGCCAGCGCCTCTATCGGAAGTGTCGGCTCTGTACACAAGGCCATGGTAGCCCGGTGCGAAGTTGAAAGTCCTCCGAGGAGTATCGTTTCCCTCATCGTTAGGCGCTTCCGCTACCGGCATGTCCTGCTCTACGAGCATCCGCCGTACCTGCGATGGTGACTGGCACAATGTCAGCCTACTTGTCTCTCCTTTCATAGCTCATACAGGGTATGATCACGGTACGTACCAAGTTGAGAGCATATCTACCACACATTTTGAGTGAGTTTCTTGCAGATTGGGTAAACTATTCAATCAAATGGTTACTACTAATTAATACATGTAGTCATTGACGGTGATCGACTGATGACATCCGTCTTGGGTGCCAGTTTTGGCTAGTCCCCAGTCCCGACCCGCAGTTTGTGGCACCCTGATCCTGCCCCGCATCCACCTACCCGGTACACCATCGCAGTCCCAAGGGGGTCTAGACGGTTCACCTAGGAGAGTTTAACAGCACGTATCTAGTATGGGCTGGATATTCAGCCCTTAGGTCCTTTGCCTTAGCAGCTTACCGGGTGTACAAAGTATTTTAAATTTGATATGTATCTGACCCGGAAATCCCATGTACCCTCGTTGTCTGTAATAGCGCCAATCTGGACAAAGCGTCGACATTGTCAACTCCACGTTAACTGCAAAACCCTCTTCCCACCCTCTCCATCTCTCACTATAGATCAAGCACCAAAAGGGAGCCATACACCAGGCTCAATGCGCCGTACGAAATGTTCAAACCCGCCGCCACCAGCTCCGCAACGAGCTTGACAGGCCCCGAAACCGCCAGGATCTTCATATCAAAAAAGGCCAGAGAGCCGCCCAGGCCGGCCGCCAGCGCCGCGCCGAGCGCGACAAAGTCGCTCGCGTGGGGACCGTCCACGTCGGCAATGGTCGTGATGGCCGGCACCGTCCAGAGCAGGTTGATCATGGTCTCGCTGCCGGGGCCCACGGCCTCGGTCCACAGGGGATTGCTCCGGAGCGGGCTGACGTTGTCGACAAACGACTTGGACACGGCGATGGCCGTCATGGCGTTGTTGAAGCGGATGGTCGGCGTGTCGGGCATCGCAAAGGCGGCCGCGATGGCCGGGGCCACGAAGACGAGGAAGCTCGACGCGGAGAGGGCGCCGATGACGGGGATGGCGTTGGCGGCCTGCACCTGGTCGAGCACCACGTAGACGCCCGACCCGACAAGGGCCGCGATGTTGAAGGTGACCACAACCCGCTCCATCACGTCGGGCGAGGCGGCGAGCTGCGACCGGATGCTGCCGATGCTGGAGGCTTTCATCAGCGACGAGGTGGCTGAGCCCTCTGGGAAGGGCGTCTTGTTGGCGATGGCCTTGTAGATGATGGTCGAGGGGATGGCGGCGACTAGGCACACCAGGTCGAGCATCGAGAGGTTGCTGCCGGTGACCAGCTTGTAGATCTTGGAGATGATAGGGATCTCAATGGTCGCATCTAGGAGATTCATCACACCCTGCATGATGGACTTGAGAATCTCGATCACGGACACGACCACGTTTTTGGCTACCCCCAACATCAAATTGGCCGAGATGCCGACGAGACGCTTCACAATCTCAATGGGCGTGAGGGTCTGGATCTGGTCGATGACGTCCGTCTTGATCTGCTCGACAGTGCCAATGACCTCGTCCGCCTGGCTCTCGACCATGTTCTTGAGCCCGTCGAGGAGAGCACCGAAGCCCGAGCTGTCGCCCAAGTTCGAGACCGAGCTGACGGACGCAGAGGCGCCGTTCTTGACGTGATGAGATCCCCAGCTGCACTGCGGATCGCTGGCACCACCGACACTGCTCTTTTGGCTCTGAAAGCTGCCCAGGGCCTGGCTGTTGTCGGGATCTGGCAGCCCGGCCCACTGGGCAATCTTGTCCTCCCAGCTCTCAAACATCTCAGAGATGGAATCCTGCGCCGTGTCGAGAGAGTCGACCATATTCTCACCGTAGCGCTTGAACAGGTTCTTCATGACGCGTTGTGTTCTGATAATGTCGTCCCAATTGAATAGGAAGCCAAGCCAGGCAATCAGATCCTCGAAGAAGACCTTGACCTTGTCGAAAATGAACTCGAGAGCACCAACGACGGCATTCACGCAGTCTAGGACGGCCTCGTAGATCTGCCCACCAATCTCGCAGACAAACTTCCACGCACCATCAACAAAGTCGAGAAACATGTCTTCGAGTCCGTCAAGCAGGTCCCTGACGAATTCCTGAAAGTCGCCCCACAGCAGAGTGATGGGGTTCCTGACGGCCGCGCGCCGGACAAGACCATCGCCAGACGTGCTGACCTTGGCCGAAAGAGACTTGGATGCCTCATCGCCCTCGACGTACTTGAGGCCATCCTTGTTGAAGGAGAGACCCCACGTCCTGACGCGCGGAGTGGCCAAAGATCGAGCGGCGGGCGCCAGCTTTGTCGATTGAGGATCTTGCACCGAACCATCCGATGGAAGGGTGGATTTGGCTTCCAGCAGATTAGAGACTGCTTGGGCGAGCGCGTCGCGGGTTTCCGAGTTGTTCGCGTCGGACGGTAGCAATGGCTTTGTGGAAGACCAGTTGGTGCCGGTCGGAATCTGAATGTCGGCAAGGTCGTCCCCAGACGTGATGCCTTCAAGCTTTGCAAACGCCTTTGCTAGCGGATTGATTTCGAGGGGAGCGCCTGACGGCGTAAGTCTGGCCTGGTACTGCACCGCCGCGAGCGAGTCGGTCGCCTGGATGATGGTGAAGGCACCTGACGCGTCGGGCCTGGTAGGGATTGGCACGCTGGGGCTCAGCACGTAATACTCATTGTTGATGTATATCGAGACCGGGCTTGTGGATGTGAAGTAGACATCGGTGTCGCCCACGAGGACGTTTTCATCGTCGCTCGCCTCCTTTTCCAGCGTCAACTGCGTCGTGAAGCTTTGGAATTCAACAACCTTATCGACGCTCGTGGGGGGCAGATTGATAGTTCGCGACGACCACACTGAAGTGGTGGGATCTTGCGTCAGCTGGACAATCTGTTGACCGGATATCTGCGCGAAAAGAACAGTGTACGCGTGGTTGACGTTGAGGTAGAAAGCAAAGTCCTCGACGCCTCGGTACAGAGGCACAGGCGTAGACCATGCCGACTGTGTTGCCTCCTGGCCAGTGGGACACGAGACGTAGAAGAGGTTCCCCTGCGCATTGCGGCACCAGAGGACGGTGCGAGACTTGGCGGGATCAACACGAGCGGCCATGCGAGTCACGCCGGCGAAGAGAGGGACACCGTCGGTGACAGGAGACGGCAGCACCAGCACCGGGTCCGCGAAGTCCTTCTGGTTGTTGGGCGCAAACATGTACAGACCGCCAGGGGCCGCAACGAACAGATTCGTGTTGCCGCTGGATGATCCGTCGCTGCAGCTGGCGATGTAGGTCGTCCCGTCCGGGATGCTAAGCCGCGCCGGGCTCGGGGCCGTGCCGGGTCGGAAGGCGTTGATGCGTGGACAGGCAATCATCTGCTCGACGCCGTTGACGGAGCCAAACGAGTAGATGCACGAGACAAAATCGCCTGGTCTCTGGCCGAGTGCCGTGACGACACTGCTGGCCGAGAAATCAATGGCAAGGGCATGCTTGTGCCAGCGGGGGAGGCCGTCAAAGTCGAGGTAGTAGCGGTCTATCAACTCGAGACCATGGCCGGGATTGCGGAGGACCTCGACGAAGCAGGTCAGCACCGGACCCGAGGACGTTGCGATGTTCAGATGGTAGACATTGGTGATGGTCAAGGGCGAGGGCGCATTGCCTCCATCCCAGGGCATCGCCGTCCACTCGACGCCGTCGCTCCAGTCGACAAGGTCGGCGGGGTTGCCGGTGGAAACATGGAGGAAGTCCTCGCCGTCCACGGTGATGGCCAGGATGAGATCGATGGCCATGGTAGCCGAGTTCTGACTGATGTCAAAGCGCTTGGCCGCCACCGTCTTGCCGCCATGCGATGAGGAAAGGCGCGAGGAGAGGTCGACTTTTTCCCAGCCCGTGACGGAGTTTCCGACCTCCCTCGTCACGTAGAAGACGTCGTCGGTGCCGATGGAGAAGAAGAGAGACTGTCCCGACTGCGTCTGCAGGACCTCAAAGGCCTTGTCGGGAGACATGACCTCGGCATGCTTCTGGTTGAGCATCAGCTCTGAAGAGGTTGAGAACTTCATGGTTCAGGGAATGACGAGCAGGGAATAGAGAATGAGTTGATGAATAATGGACTTGTTGGTTGATCTGGCTGTTGTACTTGTAGGCATGCTGGCATACCGCTTGATATTTATGATCGTGGCCATTTCTTCCAGTCCCTCCTCAACTCGTAGAACAACATGGTGATGGTGGTGGTGGGACTGGGATTGTGCGTCTCCATGTCCATGTCTTCCTTTGTGAAGGTGTTTCTGCGACGGCGAACCCGGTCATCGAGGCAGTGAGAAGTTGTCCAGCTTCATGCGCGCCTCAGGCTCTCAGCTGACTGCCGCAAGCCACAAGGGCATCGACATGGCGCGGCCGCATTCAGGCGTCTCCTTGCAACTGCCAAGGCCTCAAGCCATGTTCGTGATAGGCAATGGAAAACAATAGACCATCTAGATTGGTTGGAGAAGCGTGTTAGGAACTTGGGAATGTGATATGTGATGCTGAGGTCTGGTGGATGCGAATGAAGTGTACAAACCTAGGTATTCAGCTAGGGCTGAAGCCTGCTGCCTGAGGCTGCTGACGGTCGGGTCGGGGTCGGGGGCGGGGCGGGTCGGGTCGGGTCCCTGCAGTATCACATGATTTCAGCCACGCGCTAGCCCAATTCACCTTAGGTACGGAGTACGCGTATAGAAGTTATACTATGTACGCGTATATAAGCTATACTACATGATTTATATCTTCATCGTGGCCCCAGTCAGATGTGGTCAGATTATAGATGCCTGCAGTCAGATCAATATTGGTTGATCCAGTCGATCCAGTCAGAGCCCGCAGTGCGCTTCGGAATGACCGCTCAGCTTCTTGGCGTCGTGCTCTGCCATGCCTGCCATCAGCATAGCCCGTCTTCGCCCATGACCCTCGAACATTATGTACTACTCCGTACTAGTGTCTCTATTTCGACATAGGGAGGCCCTCGCCATGGAAAGTTCTTGTTGATGAACAGAAGTGTGATGTTCAGGAAACTCGATCGTGTGGTCACTGGTACCAGACGTCTAGTATAAGGGCAGCTGCTCTCTCGCCTTGGACATCCTATTCTCCCGCTTTTCAACCACATCTTCAACCCACTCCTTCGGCTTCAACCTTTTGCTCGGTGCCAATATATCTTCTCTTACTCATTCCTCGACTCCTTCGCTAGCCAAAATGGCTCTGGCCAATTCTTTCCTCAACCAGGCCCAGTATGGCCAAGACTGGGTTGTGGCTACCACCGAGAATGCCATCAATGCAGCCATGATCGACTACCTGCGCTCAATGGAACAGCCAACTGTCCAGATGGCCTGGGTACTGGACTGGGACAACGACGGGGATGAGACTATCATGGAATGGGATCAATTGATGATCGAATTCAACAACACGGACCCCTTCGACGTGGCAGACCTCACCACGGACACGCCCGAGTGGGACATTCTCTACCACAACCATCCGCGGTACAGCTTTGGAGCCGCCTTCCGTGCCCAGGCCGGCATCAAGTTGCCCGACGACGCGACTCTCGAGGACGCCACCTCCATCCCCGACGTGGTCAGCCTCAACACGGCCGCCACCGGCGTCGACTACATCATCCGCTGCTCCGACTTTGAGCTGGCCTGGGCCGCCGACTTCAGTCGCGGCAAAAAGGGCATGCGCCGCGAGAGCCAGCCGCTCGACGACCCGTGGCTCTTCCATACCAAGGTCGACATCAGCATGGATACCATCAAGAACGGCTCCTCGTTCGAGTCCCTACCCCAGGAGATGCAGGACGCCATCCAGAACCTCGACGGCCGCCCCTACAGCATCGCCCAGCTGCTCTACAACTTTCAGAGCCCCGTCCTGACTTCGGTGCCCACCATCAACGCCGACCTCAGTCCCGACATTCAGGGCAAGCTCAACGCCTACTTCCTCGGCGCGTACTTTGAGACCATCGAGGGCCAAGGTGTGCCCATGCTCGGCGCCGCCGTCATCGAGGATGACGGTAAAGCCCCCGAGGCCACTTTCCCCCTGACGGGCATGAAGATTGGCGTGAACCCCTTCCTCGGCGGCGATGGCGCCATCGACCCGGACCTGTCCAAGCTCACCACCCTCAACTACCTCTGCGTCACGGGCGACCGCGAGACCCAGGACGTCAAAAACAACAGGTTCGAGTGGAACTGGCTCGAGAAGTTCCAGGCCGACGAATACTCCGGCGTCGTCGCCATCAACGGCCACACCCTCGCCAACTACTTCAAGGACGAGCTGTTGCCGTACGTCCAGAGTAACTCCCTGCGTCCCTACGCCGACCTGCGTCCCGACGGACTACTCGGCGCGGAACTGCAATGGAGCCTTACCCCCCGAAACAACCCCAACGTCGAAATCAAAACCGAAAAGGGCAGCACCCCCGTCGTTGAGTTTTCCTACCAAGACAGCGAGAAGGACACGATGAAGCGAGGTATCCACACCTTTAAAGTCGAACTGAAACCCGAATACAGCATGACGCTGCAATTTGAGCGCAACAGCATCGTCGCGACGCAGACGGCTCGCATCTACCTCAGTCTCGAGGGCGCCTACAACGTCAAGGAGAGCGGCTGGGTCGTTGACCGGACCATTGTCGACACCTACGATATTGGCGTCGCCGACGGCCGGCTCACCGCCACTATCCATGAGGGCGTGCCCGATGACAAGGGCGAGAACCTCAACTTTAGCGGCTGGGATGAGTTCTGGGGTGGTCAGGGCCTCAACGACGCCGTCGACGAGATCCGCGCCTACGCCAACGAGGTGACCAACACTCACCTCAGCAACAGCCCCCAAGATCTCGCCAACGCCATTCGAGCTTACGTTTTCCCCGGAGGTCGCGAGTTTACCTTTGCCAACGCCGAATTTTCCGATTACAAGGACTTGCTTGCATACATTACATACGCAGCACCTTCCTAATTGCGGAAAGGGACACCTAAGTTAGACTAGGACGGGTATCTGCGGCAAGAAGTGAGGCCAAGAGCAGCATCCAGCCCGTTATAGCCAAACGGTCGAGAGACGAAGTGCCAGGCTTGTTGACGGCGACTGTGAGATTTAGTTCGATTCAGACCTTTTTTATGTAACTGTCGGCGATTGGCCCTTGACAATCAGCTACTACCAACGCGCGCCCTTTTTGCGTGCCCCTCGCCCGCCAGTATCTGAGATGCCCTGAATGCCCTCTGCACAGCCCATACTCTAGAGCATAGGATCTTCGTACTCTAGAATATGGGGCGCGCATAGTAAGCATATGTAGGGAATGGTGTATACCTTCTATACGTGATGTGGTAATATATACCGAGTAATCATATGCTCTTTCGCGACAGGTAACGGAGTGAGTCGAAAATCCTGGGTATATGAATTGCACAATTCGTTTCTAACGGATATGCCATGCCAGGTGCCGCTACAGGAACACCAAGCCAAAATACAGCATGCCTAAACTCCATCCCTTTGTGCCATGTTCACGCTCGTAGTCGGCTCTGCTTCTTGGCGGCCGCCTCGGACGCCCAGGAATCCTCAAAGACCGTGGGCTTCCGTGACAAACGACTGGGCTGGATGCCCAGGCGACGGACAACTTGAAACGCACCGGTGCCAACCTTCATCGTCTGCCCCATGATGATACATTCGCTCACTCCCTCAATCTGGTCAGTCTTCATGCCAGCCGCAGCCTCGAACAAATGGTCGGGCGTCTTCTCGAAGGAAGCCAGTTGCAGAACACTGTCTCTCATCTTTGACAGGCCGAAACGTGTGATGCCAAGCACCTCGCCTTTGTATGTCATGACATCGGCCAGAAGCTGCATGTGTCGAGGATCAATGTTCATGTCTCCCATGACCTCTCCGATTTCAAAAGCAATGGTCGAACGTGCGGCCTCGATGCCAAGGATTTCGCGACACTCCATAACATTGTTGGATTTTGTTTTCACGCCAATCACACCCTCCGTGGTCATACATTGACGGAGACCATAGCCTTCTACGAGCACGGTGTTTGTGCCCTTCTCCGAGGTCTGGATAATGGCACGCGTGGCCTCGGGGTATCCAGAGATGGGAACCGAGGGCAGCGCGCGTCGCAAAAAGTTGGCTCTGAGGAGCATGTCCCCCTCATCAGCAGCCGACTTGGTTTTGGTGACGCGTTTTGGCGCCATGGTACTGGCGTCCCGGACGCGGATGCTGATACGGCTGCCATCGTCGGGGTCGTATAGAATACTCAAGTCGCTCCTCTGGACCTTCAACTTGCGTTGCTTGCAGATTGCCTCGGCGATGTCGTGGACGCCAATGCCCAGCTGCATTTCTGCCAACGCCGCATTGTCGATACGCAAGACGACGTTGCCTTCTTCGGTGCGCCACTCGTCCTCCACGTACTTGATAACGTCTTCGACATATGTCTTCTCGATGCGGCCCTTGACGACCCTGGCCGCGGCGATTTCACTATCGTTCTCCAGCGGACAGGTGATGACAGGTGTACTGATGGTCTTCGATGCGTTGATAATTTCCTTGATACGAGGTACACCCTGCGTGATACTCATGCCGGCGACACCAGCAAAATGGAACGTCTTCAAGGTCATCTGGGTACCAGGTTCACCGATGGACTGAGCGCCAACAGCACCAACTGCATGTCCAGGTTCGACGTGTGCCTTCTTATATTTCTCGAGGCAAAGACGGATGAAGAGCCTCAAAGTGGTTCTTGACACCTTTGCCGTCCTCTCGCAGTGAGCCAAAGCAACGGGATTGTCCGTTTCGTCGCCCTCAATGCCAGCCAATTTTCTGACCTTTTCCAGTTTTGTTGCCATGGCCTCAACGTGATTCTCAATGTCTCGCAAGAAGTTTCTGGCACTCTCGTGCTCGTCAACTGCGTAGTCACTGGAGTCTTCGTATGGTAGATCCTCGTTGCGAAGTAGGCCGCGTCTGGGGAAACGTTTGCGTTCGTTCGCCAACATGGAGTCACAGAACTCCCTGATTTCAGTAGGGCTCAACGACCGCTCAGTGTTGTCCCAGGTGACGGCCTCAGCGTGTGTCCATGTACGTTTGAAATGCACAGGTTCTGCACTCCCTTCCATATCGACGGGGTCCAGCTTGTCGGCTCCGAATTGGAACTGAACGATGCCACCTCCAGAAGTGCGAACGGTATCGTCATACTGCGTTGAGAGATCCTCCAAGGATTTCATCAAGCGACGAGACATGTAGCCTGTCTCGGCGGTTTTGACGGCGGTATCGACCAAACCTTCACGACCAGAAATGGCGTGGAACAGAAACTCGGTGGGAAAGAGCCCAGTGTAGAAACTGTTCTTGACGAAACCTTTGGAAGGAGGCTGACGCGCATTTTTGTGGAAATGAGGTAGGGTTCGATCTTGGAAACCATCCGCGACACGAGAGCCGCCAATAATCTGCTGTCCTACGACCGCGACCATCTGAGCGACGTTGATGTCGGAACCCTTGGATCCAGACTTGGCCATGATGAGGGGCGCATTGTTGCGACTCAGGTTATCGACGCAGTACGAACCGGCCTGCTGCCGAACTTTGCTGAGAATACCAGAGATAGCGTTCTCGAGTGTCTGTTCCATATTACATCCCGGAGCTTTCTCGAGCTCGTTTTTCTTAAAGCGCTCGATCAGATCGTCGCACTGCCTGTAGGCCACCTCAACAAGCTTTTCTTTCTCGACATTGAGACTCGCCGTAGGGAAAACATCGCCAACGCCAATGGAGAAGCCGCGGTTCGTAAGTGTTCTCGCGCACAGTTTTGCCAGTCTGTTCATGGCCTGAGCGGCAGCCTCAGGTCCGAAGTCTCGCATCATGACATAAAAGACGGAGTCCTTTTTGCCTTCACCGACAGTTGACTTGTCCATGCGGCCACACATGACTTCGGAGTTTCGCACCACCAGCCATCCATCATTGGGATCCATATCCGGGTGTACACCAGGGCGTGCTTTGTAGGCACGACATTTGGCATCAAAGTTGATCATGACGGGAGACTCCTTGTTGGGCCGGATGAGAATATTAAAAATCTGTTTTCCAGTCCAGAGCGCTTGCGGCGCAATGATTGCTGGAGGTGGTAGGTCCAAGTGCGTTTTTCCGTCAAGCATGTGAGTGCAGATGTACGTAAAGGTCTTGCGATCGAAGAAGCGGTCTTTGCTGCTGAGCAAAAAGGCCGCTGTAATGAAATCTTGTGTCGCTGCAATGATCGGCTCGCCATTCTTGGGGGTCGCAAGGTTGTTCTTGACTCCCATGAGGTTGATAGCCTCCGCGCGCGCTTCTTCCGTCTGCGGAACGTGCAGGTTCATCTCGTCTCCATCGAAATCGGCATTGTATGGACTGCAAACACACTCGTTGAGGCGGAATGTTCTCCATGGGCGCACCTTGACCAAATGGCTCATAATACTCAGCTTGTGAAGTGAGGGTTGACGATTGAATAGCACCACGTCACCATCTTCCAGATGCCGCTCGACAACGTCCCCGGCCGTCAGGGCTTTGGCCATGCTGTCTCGATCACCAAACTTCAGGGACCATTTGTGATCTGCGTTGCCTCCTTTAAGCACTTGTTGCGCACCGGGCCACACATTCGGGCCATTCCTGACGCACTGCCTCAACTTCTCCAGGTTGTGACGGTTCACGCGTTCAGGATAGGTCAAATTCTTCGCAACCAGTTGGGGCACGGCTACCTGGTCGATACCGAGGTTCGGATCAGGGGAGATGACGGTGCGGCCTGAGAAATCCACTCGTTTGCCGGAAAGATTACCACGGAAACGACCCTGCTTTCCCTTCAACCTCTGACAAAACCCTCGTGTAGTCTTGCCAAACCCGGGCTGTTGGAGACCTGGTACGTCACTGTTGACATACAGCGCAATTTGCGTCTGGAGGTATTCCCACTGTTCCATAATGGTCTGCACCGGAGAGCCCTTTTGCAAAGCAGAGCGGATCATGCCGCTGACCCACACGATATCAGCCAGCTTTGTGGTCAGGTCGTCTTCGTTGCTTGCGTTATCCTGGGCCACGGATGGCCGGATACAGATCGGCGGTGCAGGTAGGAACTGCCAGATGAACATCTCTGGGCGGCCCTCGGCAGGGTCCAGACCCAAAAGCTCACAGTCAGTTGGACTGATCATCTTGAAGAGATTGAGAACGCGCAGCGGGTTCAAATCCTCCATGGCCTTGCGGAGATGTTTGTCTATTTCAGGGTTGCCTTGGCGAGCATCTCGGAACGAATTGTCGAACTTGATCTTACTTGCGGGCGGGACCTTCTTTGCGGAGGTTGACTTGTTGTATGCCACAAATTTGTCGTGGGTAAGCTTCAACACGCCGACCTTGCGGATCTGCCCGTTCACCGACCCGCAGTAGGGGCAGGTCTTAACTTTTCGGCACTGCTCGTTGATGCGTTTGCAGATCTGGGTGCGCCGCAGGTTGTCCAGATACGGCCGTCGGAGCTCTTTCAAGAAAGCCCGCCTGTCAGGTTCTTCAAGCAGGACTCGGCCACAGTCCTTACAGATCTCCTGCAAAATCGACATGATAAAACGCAGGTAACCGACGTGGAAGGCCGGAAGAGGCAATCTCACATGACCAAAATGGCCAGTGCAGTTGTTCAGCGGTTCCAGACAGGTTGAGCATTTTCCCTGTTTGCTTGAAGTGCCGAGGCGCGGGTCGAGTGGCCCGTGACGGTATGGTGCACGGTTATTCTCAATGTCATAGAGCAATCGGTCGGAGACTTCCAAAACAGCCTGATTGGCAATGTCTTGATTGGACCTTCACCTCTGTTAGTCTACGTGTTTCCACGATGATGTGTCGGCGGCGTGACTCACTGGATTCCGAATTTGATGCCCTTGAAATGCTTGGGCAGCTTGTCGACAAGCTGCTGCTTGACGATGGTGTCGACAACGGTCGCCATTGTGTGATCTTGCGCTCGGCACGAAGTCGCGTCAATCCGAAAGCCTCTGGGGTATGGCTAGGGCGCGCTGGCTCGATCTGCGAACTGTTGCTGCAGCGGCAGTTTCACGACGGTTGAAGACGGGTCGATAGATCGCGTCAGATCATAAGCGGCGGCCAACTTCAAGTCTCTGATTTTGAGCAGTAAACAACATGGCCAAACGGAGTCGCGGTGGTTCGAAATCGTATTGCGGCGACTTGGTGGTTGGCGTCGTGGATGGTGCTCGCGGAGCAAAGTCCCGAGTTTAGAGTTCCTCTCAAAATTTCGCGAGATACCAAGACTCCAAGATCAGGTTGGACGGTGCCAGTGGAAAACAGGCGGGGCAGTCTGCGACCCCAAGGTCCATCTCGTGCCCCACCATACTATTCGCTGCGCTGCGTTGCACTAGGTAATAGGAAGACTTCAGCAAGTATAGTAAAATGTGTACCTCCGTACATACGCATTAAAGATTAGTGATATTGCTGAGACGTAGTACCACCTGGAATCCTTTTGCCGCGGGTGTTTACCATGTGCATTGCGTCATAGTCTACATGAGCATATACGACGGCCAGTCTGTACCACCGAACTTCACGGTTGCTGGTAGATTCGGAACGATTCATCGCTCATTTTATAGGGGCAACCAGTTTCAAATCACACCGTCAAGAATTTAGCTTGGGTACGGGCCGTGGAGAGTTATGAAAGATACACCGTTTGCGAGATTCTTCCGGTCCAGTCCGTTGTCGACAAGATTGCGAGCATCCATAGGGTAAGCTAGACTGGCAGCTATACCTTCCCGTATCCGTACCTTGCAGTGACCGACCTGCAGGCGCACCTGATGTCATGCGCGGACAGCAGATACCGCGTCACATGCTTCCGCGTTAGAATATCCGTCGACGTGGTTTTTTCGGAACCTTGAATTTGATATCGCCAGCTTACCTCTAAAGCGAACTTTTTTATGTAAACTTGTATTAGATCAAGTCACCAATAACAGCTTGACACGTGCGCAACACTGTCCTTCATTTGCGGTTATTCCGTCCTATAGAGACCTACCTGCGGGTTTTCGCGAGACACCTGCCTGCCCCCTCACACGCTGAGCGTCAAAGACTTCAAGTTGGCATCCTTCATAGTGAGCCAACAGCCGCGGGCCATTCGCTTGACTCTCAGCCGCGTCCACTTGCATGCGGCCAGGTATCGCATCTCGGGCGGATGGCAGGCTCGCCTAAGACCAAGAATGGCATCTCAGTTAGGGGACCAGAAAGCGGAAAAGTCCTATTTGACAACTGCGGTCGAGTCAATAAATCCATGGGGCGGGAAGCGAGACTCATCGCCGGCTCCGGAGGCAAGCAAGAAAGCAGACAAGAAACAGACTTCAGAACCAGCAACTGAGGGCCCTGGTGATCACAGCATTACCCATCTGTACGGGCAAAGCTTTCGCACATATCCTGCAGACTGTCCTCCACTCAAAGTTCAGTGGTATCATGCTATTGATGTAGGTATCTACAGCTGTCCTTGCCAACACTGGATAGCATGCTTACTTACCTACCAACCAGGTACCCAAACGCAAAGGCGTCTCTGTGAAAGAGCGGCAGAAGCCTGCGACAAGTGAAAAGCCCGTACAGAAACCGAAAAAGTTCTCCGCCTTCTCGACATCTGATTCCAAAGCGATTGAGTCGAGATATCAGCAGCTGCTCGAGGCCACTGAAAGCCCGACCAAGGCGCCACCTAGGGAGATTTCGCAGTCTGTGCCAGTGAATGAGGATTTCTTGTTCGATGTGGTCATTGACCAGCGCGAGCTATCACCTGTCTATTGGCTAGGTCCGGTTTACGAAGGTACATTGTTGCCCCGCCTGGAAGACAAGTTGAACGTCGTTAACATCTAGCATAGTGAGGAGGGGTACCTGGTTCTTCCAGGAAGGGACCAGTCTGCGGCCATGCGAAGAGAACCTCGCAGCACAGCTTGAGGAGGTCAGTCCAACAACCTACTTGTGATTATGCAGGAATTGTTCAACCTAGCTAACCTGCGCTAGGGTTATTTGAAAACAAAGCCATGGAGAAGTCCAGGTTCGTTTCGCCGTAGAATGTTCGTTCCCAGAGCAGTTGCTGACCAGCTACAGCACGTTCCAGAAGCCAATCAGTGGCCAAGTCAGTCACACCAAAGCAGTCTCGGGATAACATCAAAGCTGCTGCTGGCAAGGACGCGACGCCCAACCCTCCAGAAACTGTGGGACAGACTGCTGGGAATCAGCCGCAATCTTACCGCCTATTCGGCTCTCACATGAATAGCTTTGTTACTTATCAGGACGGCAGTACGGCTTGGCTCTCGACCGACACCATGTTGTCCTGGGTCACATCCTCAGTGTACGAACGGTTCTCAGGGGGAGGGTACATGAGCGGCATCAAGCTGGTTCGTGGCTACACAGAGCCTTCTAAGCCCAAGGAAAGCGAGCTTCAAGAAAAGGACAAGTCCAAGGCCCCCGTTTCCGCCACCGCTGAGGATGTACCGGGGCTGGATCAACGACAGCAGAAGCTCCTGAACCGTCGTTCCGCACCACCTTCGACAAAAGCTGTGGTTCAAAATCAGGAGGCTGATTCGGAGCCAACGAAACCAACAGCCATGGAGGGCCGCGGGGCCCGGCTGCAGAGGCAACTGTCATCCCTAATGGAGGGTGGCAATCCCATCGAGACCGAGGAGCAAATGCAAGAACGTCAAGAGCAGGAGATGCGAGATTACCACACCCAAGCAGGAGAGAGCCAGAAGCGAGATGTTGACCACTTGATCCTCGTCACCCATGGCATTGGTCAGCAACTAGGTCTACGGTGCGTAACTCACACTCTTTCAATTGCGAAATCTAACAACTTCAAGCATGGAAAGCATTAATTTTGTGCAAGATGTCAACGTACTAAGGAAGACTTTAAAGTCGACATATGCCAGCTCAGCTGACTTGAAAGCACTTAACTCAGAGCTCAATGCAGAGCTTGGAAACTGTCGTGTCCAAGTCCTTCCTGTTTGCTGGAGACACTTGCTGGACTTCCCAAGGCAGCGAGAGAGGAAAGAAGAGCACGATCTGGGCGATGTTGATGATTTGGAAGACAACTATCCTTCCCTTGAGGACATCACCATAGAAGGTGTCGCATTTGCTCGGTCTCTCATCTCCGACCTAGCTTTGGATGTTTTACTCTACCAGAGCTCGTACAGAGAGCAAATTGCTTCCATTGTCTTACAAGAATGCAATCGCATCTACAGGCTCTACTGCGACAGGAATCCCGGCTTCAAAGGCAAAGTTCACCTGATGGGGCACTCTTTGGGGTCGGCTATCCTATTCGACTTGCTCTGCCGGCAGAAAGATCCCAAGGCCGATCATGCAAAAACCAACCCCTTGCGCTTCTGGCCTGGGAAACAACAATCAGACATGACCCATTTGACAGCCAAAGAGCGGCGCCTCGCTATGGAGTTTGAGGTAGATGATTTCTACTGTCTAGGATCGCCCATCGGGCTGTTTGAGATGTTGGAGGGCAGGTAAGGCGTCTCTCCCTGGTTTGCTCCGATCTGAGTCTGACTAAATGATCCACAGAACAATAGCTGCTCGTCAAGCTCCCAAACCACATGCGTCTGATGATGTGTTGCAGCGGGAGCTTGAGGAGGTTGATCTAGCCACTCGATCCATGGGAAACACTGCCGAAGGCATCCCACATCAAACGTTGCAGTCAACGCAGGTTTCATCGCCAAAAGCTCGGCAACTCTTCAACATTTTTCATCCTTCAGATCCCATTAGCTACAGGCTCGAGCCTCTCATTTCGCCGGCCATGCGTTCTTTAAAACCACAAGGTCTGCCCTATACGAAGAAGGGCATCTTTGATGCGGCGAACGAGGGCTTGACTGGTATTGGCGCAAAGGTAGGCCAGAGTGTCAGCGGCCTCTGGTCAAGTCTCAGTGCCGGCATTGCTAGCAACATGCTCAACCGGAGCCTTGGCCTCACCAGCGAAGAGGTGGCCCAGATGACAGACCACACCCAATCAGCTGCGAGGCAGTCTGCGTCTTCCAAGACGACGGATGCCGCCAGCAAGGCTCTTGCAGACGAATCGAGGATTGGAGAGCGAACAGATGAACGCAAGAAACAACTGGCGGACTCAGCCACATCAAGCGGCAAGGGCATTGCTGGAGGCAACGACGCGACGTTGATCGACGATGAGCTCGAGACGCTGTACTCGCAATTTCAGAAACGTGGACCCGAGACTGCATCGAAGGACGATGGTGATGGCGGGCTTGGCGGCCCTGACGGCACGCGCAAAGCAAAGAAGATGCGTGCCGAAGAAGCCAAAGTGAGAGCTCTTAACAGGAATGGTCGGGTAGACTACAGCATCCAGGAGTGAGTAACCGTTTGCGCAGATTTGTCGCATGAATAAGCTAATCACAATGACATAGGAGTGTTCTCGATTTCAACCCCATCAACACCATAGCCTCTCATATGGGTTACTGGTCGGATGTCGATGTGAACCATTTCATTTTATCTCAATTGCTATCTAGCCGTTCTGGTCTTGGGAAGACGGAAACAAGCCAATCGACAAAAACAAAATGATAGAAAGGGGCATTTTGAGATGAGAGGTATCTACTTGGATATAGGCAACCATATACTATCATTTATCCATAGAGCACAGACTTTTCGCAAAGAGCACTGCGTCGCCTGGACTACAGACTACCCGAATGGCGCGGCTAGACTTCTGCCGACTGGAGCTCAACACCTGAGTGCCCCTAGTTCACAGCGGGCAGTGCACTTGCTTCAATTGGCTTCTTTGCTACAAGACCTGACATGTACCTCGTTTTGGAGCAAACTCCGGTTGCCCATGCTGTGGTTCAGGGTCGGTGGCAGTTGAGCTCGAGCTTCACGCTCCTGGACTCAGCAATCCTGACTCGAGCAAAGGGGCGAGAGGCCCAGTCGTCCGTTGCGCGTACTGTTCTGCCGTAAGGCCGTTGCTGTCCTGCAACAGCCGAATGTCGCCAGTCTGCGCAGTCAGTCGGCTCAGTCCAAACCTTTCAGCCGTTTGACGGGCAATGTCCGGGAACGCTTCAGGAGGTGCTGTGGAGGAGAGCCACAAGAGCAGCAGGGCAACGTCGACTTGGGCGTTTTCCACCGCGATGTGAAGGTTGCTCTTCTGTCCCGCGAGAGGATCTTGATATTGAAGGACAGACGTAGCACTTGCAGTTTCGTCCTCATCCGAGTCAAGTGCAGCGAGTAGCTCAACCATGCCCTCAACGTCACCCTCAGCGCACATGACCTGGAACGCCCTGGCAGGCCTCGCTTCGGGTTGGTTAAGCAGATGCGCCTCTTCCGTGATGGCAGGGAGGATATCCAAGTTGGGTTGCAAGCCACCCTCATTGGTGTATCTCGCAAAGACCGATGCCCCTGGTGATGGCAAGAACGGATTTGTTGACGAGGCGCCTGCGTTATTCGAGGGCAGATTGGCCCCACAGCTTGGACATTGTAGTGAGACTGCTACGGATGCAGATTCATCGAGCAAACATTGCCTGTCATCTGTCTCAGCGATTTTGGTTCGGAATTGGTTCACTGTAATCTCACCAGTGGAAATGACAGCCGCATTGCAGTTCAAGATCGTCCGGGACGGTTTGCTCGTTATCATCGTCCTCTTCAGCAGTTTGGAACACCAGAGGATCTTCGCAAGCCTTACAAACAGCCATTTTGTCCTAAAGGAAAACCCCATTGTCAGTGTACTGCTGCGATCTCCTTGCTGTGTAGAGTCTGGGCTGGGCAGCCTGGGCTAAAGCATGTGTGAAGGCAGTTGGGGCCTAATTAGCGTAAAGAGACTTACGTTTCTGAGGCGATGTAGTCGTCAGTGCACTTGGTATGATTGGTAGTGCTTATACAATGAACAAAGCACGCGATCCAAGCATTGGCAGACGCGTAATCAAATTTTCCAATAGCCTGACCTCCCAAATATAACAGGGTTCGAAATGGAAGCCTGCAACGTTAACAGTGAATGGGAGAATTTCCTGATCCCAATCGGGCTCGAGCCCATGCAGCACTGCGCCCCTCCAAAGCGTCATCGCATAGAGCAAGAAGTACCACTCCGTCCTTCCTGATTGCCAGGCACCCTGCTCATGCGCCGGAAAGCGAGGCCAGCTTGCTCACACTAACAAAGGTACCTGCCGCAACTTCAGCAGGCAAGCAGAGCGCCCCGCCCCCGCTAAAGAATTGACTGCTCCCGAAGCTGCTGACCAGAGGCTCTGACGAGAGGGACGACGACGTAATTAGCCCGAGTCAACCGACGTACTTGCGCCTCGCTCCAATTCTCGACATTATCCTGACCTTCAACCTCCCCTCACTAGAACTCCTAGCAATCTTTCCCCCGTTGCTTCTGCCACGCCCTAGCTGCACATCGTTCGACAAGAGTATTCCCCTTGATTGCGCACATAACGCGACTCGTCGCAGCCATGAACGTCCTGAAGCTTCAAAAGTACGCATTGCGCTCGTCATTGCGCGCGAAACCCTCCAATGAGCCTGGTGACTGACTTGGCGATTCAACAGGAAGTTTCCACAGCTCCCGCAGAATGAGATCTTTGGTCTTTCCGATGCCTTCCAACGTTTGGACGTCGACGACAAGGGGTACTTGGACGAAGCTACCGCGATCAAGGCCACGCAGCAGAGCGAAAACCAACCTTACGATGTCGTCCGTCAAGCTTTGAAAGAAGTAGAGCTCGACTCCTCCCGACGCGTAGAGCTTGAAGATTACGTTGGGGTCAGTACGGTCTTTAAGCCTGGCACAGGGTTGCATTGCTAATGTTTTGCAGCTTGTCGCCAAATTGCGCGACAATGCGTCTGGCCCGAAAGCTGCTGCTGCTCCCACCCCCGCCAGCGGTGGTGTCGTTTCTCAGCGCACGGGCGGTGGTCACGCTTCAAAAGGCAGCGTCAGCGGGAAGATTCAGGTGCAAGGATCCAATGCTAATATCACCCACACGATCAACGAGGATGAGCGTACCGAGTTCACGCGGCACATCAACGCGGTCCTCGCCGGCGACCCCGACCTTGGCTCTCGACTCCCTTTCCCTACAGACACCTTCGAGATGTTCGATGACTGCAAGGACGGCCTCGTACTGGCGAAGCTCATCAACGACAGTGTACCTGACACAATCGATGAGCGTGTGCTGAACATGGCGGGCAGGAAGATCAAATCCCTCAATGCCTTCCACATGACGGAGAACAACAACATTGTTATTGAGTCTGCCAAGGGTATCGGCTGCTCTGTTGTCAACATTGGTGCCGGAGACATTATCGAAGTGAGAGAGCATCTCATCCTGGGATTGATTTGGCAAATTATCCGCCGTGGTTTGTTGGGCAAGATTGATATCAAGCTGCATCCCGAGCTATATCGTCTTCTCGACGAGGATGAGACCTTGGAGCAGTTTCTCCGTCTGCCCCCAGAGCAGATTCTGCTGCGCTGGTTCAACTATCACCTCAAGGCGGCGAACTGGTCACGAAGGGTGAACAATTTCTCAAGTGACGTCAAGGATGGCGAGAACTACGCAGTTTTGTTGGCACAGATTGGTCCTGAGTATGGCGTGACTCGTGCTCCACTACAGACCCAAGATTTACACCAAAGGGCCGAGGAGGTTCTGCAGGAGGCTGACAAGCTTGGCTGCCGCAAGTTCTTGACCCCCAAGTCGCTCGTCGCGGGTAACCCCAAGCTGAACCTTGCGTTCGTTGCCAACTTGTTCAACAATCATCCGGCGCTTGACCCGATTACCGAGGAGGAGAAGCTTGAGGTTGAGGACTTTGACGCTGAGGGTGAGCGGGAAGCACGAGTATTCACCTTGTGGCTCAACAGTCTCGACGTTCAGCCCGCTGTCGTTTCCTTCTTCGACGATCTTCGCGACGGAACTATCTTGATGCAAGCCTACGACAAGGTGATCAAGGGCTCGGTCAACTGGCGACACGTGAACAAGAAGCCCGCCCACGGCGGCGAGATGTCAAGATTCAAGGCTGTGGAGAACACAAACTACGCCATAGAGCTGGGCAAGCAAAATGGGTTTTCGCTGGTTGGCATCCAGGGCGCTGATATCACCGATGGTCAGAAGATGCTTACTTTGGGTCTGGTCTGGCAGCTCATGCGAAAGGACATTACCCTGACTCTGTCGTCGTTGGCGCAGAAGCTCGGAAAGAGGGAGATCACCGACGCGGAGATGGTGCGATGGGCGAATGACATGGTCAAGAAGGGTGGACGCAACTCGGCTATTCGGTCTTTCAAGGATCCCGCAGTCGGCTCAGGTGTTTTCCTTCTGGACGTCCTGAACGGCATGAAGAGCAGCTACGTCGATTATGATCTCGTCACCCCCGGGCACACGGATGACGATGCGTACATGAACGCGAAGCTTAGCATCAGTATCGCCCGTAAGCTTGGGGCTACCATCTGGCTCGTTCCGGAAGACATTTGCCAGGTCCGCAGTCGCTTGATTACGACATTTATCGGTGAGTACTATTTCCATTCATTTTGCGCGCAGCTACTGACATTCCACGCAGGTTCGCTCATGGCAACGCACGAGAAGATGTAGGCTCCCAATTTGCCTTGCAGAATGGCGGTCGGGAAACCGAGGCTGTATGGTTTTCTTTTCGCGAGACAATTGGGACTGTAAATATGCTACTCCTCTGAAATCAAATATTCTCTTTCAAATGAGTCTTTGCGCATCAATCCCAGCTACCACTGACCAGCCTCGCAAATATCTCTGGGTAGCCGCACTAAGCCCAAAATGGAGACTTTTTCGTTACGTCAGCATGAATCCCAGGCAAAGATTCTTTCAGCCTTCCGCAGCCAGCAAGCACTGACGCAGTCGGGAATGACCTGTACCTCAACTTTAACAACTGCAACTCACGCTTTGCGACGACACATCTATCACCACCAGCCCTCAGGTTGACGCGCGCTGCCTCACCGAGAACTGAGCTACCTTTTAATCTTGAAACCCCATCTACTGCCCCTTTCTTTCAATTCACCATGTCGCGAGGTGGTCAGACGCTGTACGTCACTGGCTTCAGCCAGGGCACCCGCGCTCGCGACCTGGCCTACGAGTTCGAACGGTATGTCAACTACGTCCACGTCCACGCCATCCACGCACACGCACACGTCCGCCCTCGTCCACGTCGTCGTACCTCTCGGTTCCTTCCAGCCCTGCCTTTCGAGAAAGTGGCGCCGTCGAGGCGTCCTTGATCAATCGCTCATCGCCACACCTCTTTGTCGTTCCCATCGTCCTCCCCGTTGCCGCCGTCGTCCTCCTCCTCCGCTACGCCCGCGATCGATCGCCGTTTCGGTGTGCTCGACGATTCGTTTTGCATTCGTACCTCCGATCGCTACGTTAGGTGGGCGCATTGCGAGCTGCGCGTCACGAGCTGTCGTGTTCTGTCTCGACCGGCAACTTGGAATCGTACATCTTCGTGGGGTTCGTGCTTGCTACAAGATGCGGCAGTGTGCCACTTACTACAGCAGTTTACGTGGACTGAGATTTGCGACCTGTACTGACGTCCTTGCTCGCAGGTATGGCCGCCTTGTCCGTTGTGACATCCCTGCACCACGGTCTGCGTCCAGCCGTCTGTAAGTGTCTCCGCTGAGGTTGGTCATTGCCAATGCTGACAAGGCTTATAGCTTCGCTTTCGTCGAGTACGAAGACCGCCGAGACGCTGATGATGCATACTATGAGATGCACAACAAGCGCATTGGTCGCGACGACATCTTGAAGATTGAGGTTTGTTGCCGAAGGCCTCGCCTGAATGATCGACAGACTAACTGTTCACAGTGGGCTCGTACACCCCCCTCTGCCTCTTGGCGCTTTGAGTCTGGCCGTGACCGTGATCGCCGCGGTGGTGGTAGCACCGGTGGCCGCTCGCCTCGTCGTGGCCGTTCTCCTTCGCCTCGCCGCAGCACTCGGGACTACTCCCCTCCTCCTCGCAAGGAAGATCGTCGCGATCGCGACCGCGATTACGACCGAGATGACCGTCGGGACCGTGACCGTTCCCGAAGCCCTGCTCCTCGGTATGTGCCGGCCTAATCCTACTTGCGCCTCCAAAATGCTAATATTTCTAAAGTGATCGCGACCGCGACCGCGACATGAAGGACGACAGAGATGACCGTGATCGTCGCGAGAACGGCGCTAACGGCGGTGACCGCAAGCGTGAGTATACGCGCTATCAAAGTCGGAGCTCCTGCTAATATCCGTCCAATAGCTGCTGATAGTCCAGCCCCGGCTCACGACGACCTCGACGTGGCCGAGTAGAAAGCTTCGTGTTTGACAGCTTGAGATGCCACTCGATATATGTTTCACCGAGCTTTGCGCACGGATGTCTTCCTCTGTACTTGATTTTCTTTTATGTTTCCGCCAATTATCCTCTGGAGTAGGTGCTTCCGGGTTACAATGCGTAGGTCAACAGTGCCTTTTGATATGGTCCCCAAAAAAGGAACGCGAAGTAATGATAAGTTGGTCGAAATTACAATGTTCCCATGCAACGGTTAGGCTACTAGTTGTACAACAGACAGATAGTGTGAAATCAGACTGAATTCTCGCGTCACTCGATCAAATGACCGACAGCCCAGGACTCGACTGCGCGACAGTACCTTGAACATAATCACTGTTCACCACGGGGAAATATGGGGTTGCTGTCGGGATGCGCCGGCGCGTTGAAGCCGAAGGACCGGGCCATTGGCCGCCGGGTCAACATCCAAATACGCTTTCGCTCGCTTCGGGAAACGGTTGGGGATCACAGCCTGTTCGAAGCTCCAGCTTAAATTCTTTGCATTCGCATAGACCGACCTTTATGTCACGTTTGTTTGACTCTGTGTAGCTCGCAGTCGAATTTGTTCACTTCACGCAAGGTGTCCCGACGATCCCCTCCGACGAATCCCCGACAAGAAACAAGAAACTCCCCGGTCGTCACCTGCCCGAGACAACGACACGAGACGCGCCCAGAGACACTGTCACGGACCGCTTCGACAAACTGTATGCTGTGTCGCGTGCTCACGGCACGACAAGCATGATAAAGACGACATTCGCCCTACACTGTTGCGGTACGGACTTATACTCGCATCACCAGCACCCCCCTGTCGGCATTCGTCGCCGATCTTCGTGAAGGACCACAACCACGAAGCTACGAATAGACCCCGCGACCACGACGTCGTGCCAGCACGTTGAGGCCAGAGTAACGGCGCGAACGATTATTCTGTCCCGGCTCTGATTGACTAGAGCTTTCACCACCTGGAGTTCGGCCCTGCAGCGAATTCTGCGTGCTCATCGGCATTGTTGGCTTCTTTGGGGGAAAGAGCCTGAATTACCATTTGGCTTCCACGCAATACCACACTTCTGGCAGACCCATACCGTGCAGACTGTCCACTGGGCAGCGCTTGAAGAGGCAGCATGTCGACGGTGAGCAGAATGGGTACTACCCCGACATCGAAGAGCACGAGGCTAACACGTTGACACAGCCAAACCCCGTTACGACGAAGGCACCGGCGCCCGGCACCCCTCCGTTCACTATAAGATTTCAAGAATCAATATCACAACCGGTCGTCGCGGCGTTCTGGGCTGGTGGCATGGCTGGTGCCGTCTCCCGAACCGTCGTGTCGCCCCTGGAACGACTCAAGATCCTGATGCAGATTCAGAGTACTGGGCGAGAGGCCTACAAACTGTCCGTGGGACAGGCATTGGCGAAGATGTGGAAGGAGGAGGGCTGGAGGGGCTTCATGGCCGGCAACGGCACCAATTGCATCCGCATCGTCCCGTACTCTGCTGTGCAATTCAGCAGCTACAACTTTTACAAGAGGGTGAGCATTCGGAACCGGTCGCTGCCAATGAACTCTTACTGACTGCGTCTCAGAACATCTTTGAATCATCACCTGGCGCGGACCTGGCGCCGCTGACCCGACTCGTATGCGGTGGCGCCGCTGGTGTGACGTCCGTCTTCTTCACCTATCCCCTCGACATTGTTCGGACGCGTCTGTCCATCCAGTCTGCCAGTTTCTCAGAGCTAGGCGAGAAGCCGCAAAAGCTGCCAGGCATGTGGGCTACTCTGGTGAGGATGTACAAGACGGAAGGCGGCGTGTCTGCTCTGTACCGTGGCATCATACCCACAGTCGCAGGTGTAGCACCTTATGTATGTCTGCGTATTTTCCCTTGATCGATTTCAGACACTAATGCGGGCTAGGTTGGCTTGAATTTCATGGTGTACGAATCGATCCGCAAGCACCTGACGTATGAGGGAGAAGAGAACCCAGGTGCTATGCGAAAGCTGCTCGCGGGTGCGATCTCAGGTGCCGTGGCGCAAACCTGCACATATCCCTTGTAAGCATGAACCTGAAAATGTGTTGTTGAGGGTTGCAAATGACTAATGTGACAACTAGCGACGTACTGCGACGGCGTTTCCAGATCAACACCATGTCCGGCATGGGCTACCAATACAAAGGCGTCGCGGACGCGATCAAGGTCATTGTGGCCCAGGAAGGCATCAAGGGCCTCTACAAGGGCATCGTGCCCAATCTCCTGAAAGTGGCACCGAGTATGGCCTCAAGCTGGCTGAGCTTCGAGATGACCCGCGATTTCCTGCTCGACCTAAAACCAGTGGCGGATTCGGGCTCCTTATAGTAAAGACTTGGGGAAAGCGCAGAGAGAATGCATCACGGCGTATCTCATAGGGGTTCTCACATGTTCCATACAGATTTCAGACTTGGGCGTTTCTTCGTGGTGCATACATTGTGCTCGCCTGACTACGGCTGAGACAATTACATAGATAATTCTGGGGTTCAAATCAAAGCAGGCATTGCCAGGAAAGTTGTATCAACAAGGCAATGGTCGACTGTGACAGATTGTCTACCACTTTGAGGACGGTATACCAATTGCAGGGACTAACACATGTACCTTATACCAATGCCAGGCCAACAATCCACTGCAGCTTCACGGTCGGTCCGAGACGTGTCTTATTGTTCGCTTAGTCATTATTGTGCCCTAAGTCAGGGCACACCGTTTTGATTTTCAGCCCCACTACCAGCCCGGTGGGTCCAGCTGCGAGAGTTTGGTGGAGGGCAGCAGACTTTCGAAATTTCCCTTTGAACTCGTCCGCGCACTCGTCTTCACTAACCACCAGCAACCCATCGCCAAAGCCAGCGACCAACCGCCGCAATGGGTACGTGAAAACACTCCTCTCAGCCGCCCGTGTGCGAGTGGGAAAGTCGAGTTCTCGAGAGAGGCTCTTCTTTTTTCCTGCGAATGGAGCGCCGTCCGCAATTCAGTTTGCGTGACTTGAGCTGCCCAATTTGAGCATACCACTGAACCAAAGGCTGACGATGGTTTCACTGAACAGGTATCGATCTCGACCGCCACCACGTCAAGGGTACGCACCGCAAGGCACCCAAGAGCGACAATGTCTACCTCAAGCTCCTCGTGAAGCTCTACCGCTTCCTGGCTCGTAAGTCGACCACGATTCGACAAGGGACGCCGACACCAATGCTAACCACACGATCCTCGTAATAGGCCGTACCGACTCTGCCTTCAACAAGGTCGTCCTGCGCCGCCTGTTTATGTCCAAGATCAACCGTCCCCCGGTCTCTCTGTCCCGCATCGTTTCCAACATTGCCGAGGACGAGAAGCGCACCGTTGTTGTTGTGGGCACCATCACCGACGACAACCGTCTCCTCAAGTTCCCCAAGGTCACCGTGGCTGCTCTGCGCTTCACCGCCACCGCCCGTGCCCGCATCCTGGCCGCCGGTGGTGAGGCCATCACCCTCGACCAGCTGGCCCTCCGTGCCCCCACTGGTGCCAACACCCTGATCCTCCGTGGTCCCAAGAACGCCCGTGAGGCCGTCCGCCACTTCGGCTTCGGTCCCCACAGCCACAAGGTTCGTACCTCTGTCCGGCCCGTGATGTTAGCATGGTTACTCACAAATTCTACAGAAGCCTTACGTCCAGTCCAAGGGCCGCAAGTTCGAGCGTGCCCGTGGTCGCAGAAGGTCGCGCGGTTTCAAGGTCTAAGCGACCTGCGAAAGGTGTTCAAGGGGTTGATCAGGAAATCCATGCTAGTCGATGGGGTCATGATACCGACGATTGCTTTATGGACAAACGGGTCATGCATGGAATTGGCGTCATGCGGATATCAAAATTCAAACTTTTTCACGCACGCCTCACTGAAGATGTTCCATATAATGCTCCGTGAAATATTCCCTGGCCTTTTTGTACAATTACACCCTTTGCTCTAATGTTACATCCCCTTTGCGCTTGATTCCAATGAGATATGCCTCCTTGCTTTCCTGCTGTCGTTAGCCGAACACTCAATGCCATGACGAAATGGGCGCGCACGCTTCTTGACGACTCTGGTTTCTCCCTGTAGACCCTGCTGAAGAGCTTTTTGAGTCTTTGCTCGAGCGCCTTATCTTCGGATCCGGCATAGAATTTGCAGACAAAGTGGCCACCCGGTCTCAAAGTGTCACTGGCAAATTCAAGAGCGGTGTTACATAAATCCTATGAGTTGAGTTAGCGATTGTCTCCGAAGGATATGATATAGCCACTGACCATGCTTCCCGCGTGATCTCTGAAAGCGACGCCGCTCGTGTTCATAAGCCTATGATAGGGATTACTCATTGTGTTCATATTGAACCCGGAGGTTTGGTCCCAGGGTGCTGACATATCACTGAGGACAACCTGCAGCAAGCATTAGCAAGGCTGTCGACACGCTCCAGTTCGTGAACAAACATCTACAAGCCGTCCTTTGCTTGATCCTGTTTCCTGTGGTAGATCTCCGGTGCCCAGGCTGGCATGCCGTTCCAGGTCAATATAGCTTGGCCGCTCAATTGCGATCTTGGCGGTTTCGTCCCCGATGGTTTCGTCGTCGGTGCTCGCGGGCGGTTGCTCCTTTGGCTTGCGTCGATCTGTTTCTGTAATCAAGGTTTTGACGAGCTTCTGCACCATTGGTGACAGGAAGTCGCCTTGGAATGTGATCACACCACGAGGCGCTTGCGCAGGGATCAGGTCAATGCCTATGACCTTGCCATGTGGTTTCGTGCGCTCCAACGCAACCTGCGCTGCATTTGAGCACATGCATCTTGAACAAGAAAGGGGACGAGCGCGATCCTTACCTGGGACCAGCTGCCTGGCGCATAGCCCTTCGAGCACATGAGCTGCAGATCAATCGGACATATGCCAAGAACAACTCACCAAGTCGATCACAGTCTGGTTCTTTTTGAAAATCCTGTGTTTTTCGTCCATCTGAAAGTGTCAACGGCATCAAATACGCCTGCAAAATCAGATGCACTCACTTCAAGCAACTTGAAGGCGGCGCGACTCTTCAAGCCCTGAACTTTGGCGTCCTTGGCGTAGGCATCGCGCCCCTGACGCTGTTTCCATCGTGATGTCGACGAAGCACATCTCACAGGCTGCCATTGAACATGCGGCTGAGCTCTGTGCAAGGCACCATTGAGTCTCGAAAGGCCGCGCAGATAGAAGCTCACTCCAGTGAAGCTCTGCGCCAAGGCCATGGCGCTGGCACACGCGTTGCTTGACAGCCCCGTTGCTGTTATTTTTGCACGCGTCCGTATTGAACAAGTTGTATGCGAGAGCAGTCCATTTCAAGGCACAGACAATGTGCACTTGAGTCGACGTGAAATTTTATTTGTTTAAACCTAGTTGAGAGAGCTTGCGCTCGGACGCTGACGATGTAATTACCCAGCATGGGAAAACGTCGGACTCGCATAGCGTACGTACGGCGACTGTCAATTTTCCATCACATCATTTCATGTTCCGAAGAACACATTATTTTGGAGGCTATCCTTCTGCAATAAAATGCTAGCTATAGTGAAACTGAATCGCTGAAGATAAATTTACCACGCATGGAGATATTGTGGGTTGCATCCATCTGCGACTGAGGCTAAGTTAATAGAGAAGTGCTTGAGATGATCTAGCAACATCAAGCTTTGCCTATGACATGCGGTCCATGACTGCACTAACTTAAGCTAGAAAGCTTGCTCCCACCCCACGCCTGTCGCGTTTAAGAGGCGAGAAAGTCGTCCCGGCGAAAGCATTGGCAACGCCGCCCAGCTGCGTCTTCTTGCGCTTTCCAGCAAGATTTGGTTTTACCAAAGAGGGCGCTGGGGGCTCATCGGCCCCCTCCTCCTCATCAAAGAGAGTGCTGTTTCCTCCCAGCTTACGTTTTCTCCTCTTGACATCTACCTCAGCTGGGGGAGCTCGCTTTGCCGTGGGTTGCCCAAGTCGAGGGGCGTCCGCTTGGACGAGTTTGGTTTTGGGCCTTGCTGGTTGTCCGGCTTTTGGACGTACTTGAGGCACAGGATCAGGTTGTGCCATTTCCTGATCATCCGTCGCCAGCGGTTCAGTGTCGATGTCTGCCGTCTCGGCCCTTGACCTGGAATTATCTGCCAGCGGTTTGCCTCGGGCCTTTCCTCGGGCCTTGAGGGGCTTCGTCTTGGCTGGCCGCTCCTCCGCGGAGTTATTCGCCATGTCCTCAGCCTCTGAATCCGCCGCTAGACCGCCTGGCGCCATACTTGCTGTAGCATCGTCGTGTTCGAGTTCGAGTTCTTCCTCGATGGGTTTCTTGCGGTTTAAGAAGGGTGTGATCGAGAAGTGGGATTTTTCGCCCATTGGCGCATGAATGATTCCTCGTTTCTTGACGCCGTGTCTTTCGTGCTGACTCTCGTTGCCAGGCGTTTCGATTGTGATGTCGGCAAAGCTCTTTTCCTCGACTCTTCGTTTCTTAGCCGCTGGCACTGCTTGTTGTGCCGGCTTCTTCAGCTTTTGCATGGCTTGGCGCGTGGCCTCGTGCGCAGCGCGCTCTTGATCAAGTTCCCCCCTGACTTTCTTAAGGTCCTGTTGCAGGGTCTTGATCTTGTCCTTCATTGCGACTGCCCGCTCCTCGAGGCGTTCCATGTTGCTGTTCACTTCTGCGGTGGTCTTTTCGTGTGCCTTGGCAACTTTCTCGCTCTCGCGCTTCTCTGCAGCAATCATCCTCTCTGCGTCGGCGAGCTGCGACCTTAGCTCATCGAGTGCTTGCTTCTGCTCTTTGTCCTGCAGCTTCTGCTTAGAACGCTTTTGGTTGTCGAGTTCCACTTCGAGAGTATCAACCTGTCGCTGGAGGGCATGTTTCTCAGCAATAACCGATTGATGGCTGGATAACTGTGAGCGCAGATGCTCTATTTCAGGACGTAGGCGATCGAGTTCACGGGTGAGGGTAAACTTTTCTTGGAGAATATGTCCAGAATCTTGTACTGAGCCTCTTAGAGATTCTAGCTCAATCTTTCCATGTCAGTATAGCCAGTATCTCCCAAGTGTTACGAGACAAACCTTGAGAGCCGCGATTTCGCTGCTTTGCTTCATAAATTTGGATTCCCGTCCTCGCGCTGCGCGATGCGCCTCGTGAAACTCTTGACGTAGCGCGGCAAGCGAATTGGCAAGTTCTTGGCTTTCGGTCCCTTTGTTGCCGGCCGCTTCTTCCAGGCGCGCGTTCTCATCCTGGAAAGATAGCAGTTTCAATTTCATCAGTCGCGCCTCCTCATCGCGATGAATCGACTCAATCCCATGCAGAACATGTTGTCTCTTGATCTCGAGTTCATGTATTGACAATAAGCGTTTCTTTACACGCTCGTCAGTCAGATTGCACGCGCTGAGAGGAGCATAAAGATGACCTACCTCGCTACGATCACGCGACATATTTGTAGTGCCGCGAGCAAGGTCCTTCTGTTATTTTCGGGGCAGCAGCAATTCAGAGGGATTGAAGCTTCCTGAAGGAGAATCTCATGTTAAAATGAGAACCTTATTGCCGTCAGTGCGTTGCTGAGACGTGTGACAGAAGGCAACGCGCGCGTCGAGGTAAACATGGTTACCCTAAATGGCCAGTGCAGGCTCCGCAAGCTGACTCAGCAGTCGATGATGACAGCTAACTGGCACGCGAATCCGGGGTCACCTACGGTTAATACAACGTCGAACCACGTTGCTGGACAGCGCACTCACTCTAGTCAGATACTTGACGATTGTGCGCAATAGCCGACCATGAGGTTCTTCAAGTCTCTCCTTTCGGCGACCCTGCTCATCGCAGGCGCCCTCGCCGCGAAAAAGTCCCCGACCGAACGCTTCTCGGAATACCACACCAAGGCGTTAAGCTCGTCGCCATTGAAGCTCTCTGAGACTTCGTACAAAAGCTTGACGTCTACGCCTCGCGACTACAGCGTTGTGGTGTTGCTGACAGCTCTCGAGAACCGCTTTGGCTGCCAACTCTGCCGCGATTTCCAGCCCGAATATGACCTGCTGGGCAAGGGGTGGGTGAAGGGGGACAAGAAGGCCGAGTCTCGTTTGCTCTTTGGTACTCTTGACTTTGTGGATGGCCGTGATGTCTTTGTCTCGGTATGCTCGCAATCTCTGGCGTATTAATCATGGAGATGCTAATTGCTGTTCTAGCTCGGCCTCCAGACCGCACCCGTACTGCTGCTGTTCCAGCCGACCGAGGGCCCCCACGCGGTGGCCTCGAAAGACCCGATCCGATACGATTTCACAACTGGGTTGGTTAAGCTCGTCGATGGTTTTCTAGGTCATTCTTGCTAACCAGCTGGTCACCAGGCCACCAACCGCCGAGCAGGTTCACGGCTGGCTGTCTAGGCACCTCACTGATCGCCCTCACCCTCCCGTTAAGAGGCCAATCAACTGGCAACGATGGGCATCAGCCATCACTATCATCCTCGGCGGCATTACACTTGTTGCGACAGCTTCTCCATACATTCTACCCGTCATTCAGAACCGGGCACTGTGGGCTACGGGCTCCATGTTCTTCGTCCTTCTGTTCACGAGCGGTTACATGTTCTGCCAGATCCGCAACGTTCCCTATGTGACGGGCAATGGGAAAGGAGGTGTGAGCTATTTCGCCGGGAGCTTCCAAAACCAACATGGGCTCGAGACTCAGGTCGTTGGTGGACTCTGTAAGTATCTCGACCCTGTGCTGGTCTGCTGGCGCTGATTCGAACTTCACAGATGGCATTCTCGCGATCACTTTCACTGTGCTGGTCACGAAGGTGCCTACCATTTCCAACCCACGTTACCAGCAAGTAGCCGCCGTTGCCTGTGGCGGAACCATTTTCCTCTTGCAAAGTGCATTGCTGAGCATCTTTCGTATCAAGAACGGCGGATACCCATTCTCGCTGCCTCCGTTCATGTAAGAGGGTGGCCATGAATGACTGGCCGAGCACGCCATGTCCTCTTTCAGGCCACAGACGTTCTTCTGGGGATGTCAACGTCATAACACAGCAACCCTGTGTAAGTTGCAGGAACAAATCCCGAGCCTCCGCGAGGCTTAGTGGGCAGACACTGAACATTACTTAGATCTAGAGCCGGGTAAATGCGCGGTGATCGCGCACAAAACATAGAACGACAATAGACCACGTTCTTCATGTCTCTGAAACAATGGCCCCTACCATGTGATGAGTGTTGCGGCCTTGGTAATTTCCGATGGCAAATTCTAAAGTAACACGACCTACGTATAACGTCAGACAGCGGTGCGGCGGGCCTGCCTCCGAACGTGCGGAGCAGTGCTAATACAACCTCAGCCTCTCAGGGTGAAAACAAAAGACCGTCACGAGGATGCGGGGAAGCAACAGGGGTGAGTATGGCAAATGACGGGGCCCCAGATGCTTCGGCTCTTGAGTTAATCAATCACAGGGACTTGTTTGACGAAGCACGGCAGCGGAGGGCATGGGCCTTGTCGATGTTTCATCACGAAATACCTCCCGAGGTAGATATTCTGGCCTTGACGAACCGAATGAACCAGAGGCAGAGTCGTCCACAACCCTGGACTACGACTCTACACCATCTCGACGCATGTCCATCAACAATAGCTCCGAATGGATACGCGTCGCCGATCTTGTCGGCATCTGGCACGGTGGAGGTTGTTTGAGGTAGTTGTTCTGATATCCCAAATGGGACACGGGACTTGACTGCCGCTACTGTCAGTCTAGCAAGGCGCACCTGCAGGGCTGCCGCATTCAGGTACCATCGGCTTCCTCATCCTGAATGGGTTTGGGCTCTGCATCGTCGCCTCATTGCCGGTCTCGTGCCGGTGATCCACCTCGGGGGCACGCTGCCCGGCTGGTTGAATATCTCCCCGTTTCGCATGGCCGGGCCTTGTCCCTGATTATTGGAAGGCGACTTTGCAATCAAACGTGGTTGTTCGCAAAGCATTGAGGGTAATAATGTTCTACAGTAGCTTGGCTACAATATGGTATAAAAGGACACGACGGCTCGCCCACCTCATCCAGATGACCAACAACCTGTTCAACCTCAACTTCAGCACGACCCAAGACAATCCTCAAAATGGTCAGAATCACCTCCGCAACCCTCGTTGCCTTCGCGGCGGGCGCCATCGGAGCGCCTCAAGGCACGATCACCCGTCGCCAGTCACCTGGAGGCTGTGACGCCGCTGTCAAGCTTGATGCCTCGACCAACGTCTGGGACAATTACAAGCTCCACGCCAACAGCTACTACCGCTCCGAGGTAGAGGCTGCTGCTGCGCAGATGTCGGGTGCGGCAGCTGAAGCAGCGCTTCGTGTGGCTGACATTGGAACATTCCTGTGGGCGTAAGTGGTGGCCTTCTCGACCCTCCAAAGCCGAAGCGTGCTAACAGGTTGTCCAGTGATACCATTGCCAACATTGACCGCATCGAGCCGGCCCTGCAGGATGTGCCTTGCGATGAGATCTTCGGCCTTGTGGTCTACGACTTGCCCGGCCGTGACTGTGCGGCCAAGGCATCTAACGGCGAGCTGCCCGTCGGCGCCATCGACCGTTACAAGTCTGAGTACATTGACGGTACGTCTGCTGCTCTCCACTCGGTCCAATCTTTCTAACTGAGCGAACAGCCCTTGCGACGCTCCTCAAGAAGTACCCCAACCAGGCCTTCGCCCTGGTCATTGAGCCTGACTCGCTCCCGAACCTGGTCACCAACATGGACCTCCAAACCTGCCAGGACTCGGCCGCGGGTTACCGCGAGGGTGTCGCCTACGCCTTTGAGAAGCTCAACCTGCCCAACGTCGTCATGTACGTCGATGCCGGCCACGGTGGCTGGCTCGGCTGGCCCGACAACTTGCAGCCTGGCGCCCAGGAGCTCGCCAACGTCTACAAGGCAGCTGGCAGCCCCTCGCAGGTTCGCGGCATTGCCATCAACGTCTCTGGCTGGAACCAATGGTACGTCAACTCGCTTAAAGCTAATTTGTACATTGTCTGACACGGTGCAGGGACATGGTTCCCGGGGAGTTCGCCAACGACCCCGACGGTCAATGGAACAAGGCTGAGAACGAGAAGAAGTACCTTGAGCTTTTCAGCCCTCTGCTCGAGCAGAACGGCATGCCCGGCAATGCCATTGTCGACACTGGCCGCAACGGCCAATCCGGTGGCCGTCTCGAATGGGGCGACTGGTGCAACGTTGTCGACGCTGGCTTTGGTGCTCGTCCAACTTCCGACGTTAACTCGCAATGGGCCGATGCCTTTGTCTGGGTCAAGCCCGGAGGCGAATCGGATGGTACCAGCGACTCCAGTGCTGTGCGCTACGACTCGTTCTGCGGTCGCCCTGACGCCTTCAAGCCTTCCCCTGAGGCTGGCACCTGGAACCAGGCTTACTTCGAGATGCTCATTGAGAACGCCAACCCTGCCATCTAAGGCTGTGTGGTTACGGCGGATGGACACTCGACGACCAGTGACGAATGATGCCTAGCTTACCTTTGTCTATATTAAAAATACACAATACATATACCGTTTTTCCAATATAGATCGCGCTTCACTCCTGATGCGTAATCCATTTACAGTGAGCACTATTAAGTGTTGGAGCAACTCATGTGAATCAGACGTCTGTCTCTCCAAGCGCTGTTGTTGTTTCGCTTATGAGGAACCTCGTTCTTCTATAACACATGGGCTCCAGTCACTGCGATTCACAGATAGAGGTTTGAGATTTGGATTTTTTTAAATTGTCATTGAAGCTGGCAAAACAAAGTTCCCATTGTCTACCAGATCTTCCCCTAGCCAGCCAATGTTCACGCCTTCATTGGAGTATATGTCATCTCCCATGTCCGTGACTCATAACAGATCAAATGAGCAAGCCAACCGTTGGACGCCTCACCATGATCCACCGCTCACAAAACCGAGCGGTCCCAGCATCGTGTCGTGATGTTTTTTTAGTTCATCTCTTCTTCACCTAACCGGCACTTTACGCGCGGGACATGACACCCCAGGCGCGGATGAGGTTGTCGGTGTAGCCAGCGAACAGGGTCTGGCCGTCAGCGGACCAGGCGAGGGAGACACACTCGGGCTCGCGGGCCTTCTTGCCGACAGCGGTGGACTCGGGCTTGAGCTCGTCGACCTTGCTCTTCTTCTCGAGGTCGAAGATGATGATGCTCGAGGCGGTGGCGGCGCAGAGCCAGTAGCGGTTGGGGGAGAAGACCAGGGCGTGGATCTCGTCACCAGCGTTCAGGGAGTACAGGTGCTTGGACTCGTTCAGGTCCCAGAGCATGGTGGTTCCGTCCTTGCCACCGGAGGCGCAGAGAGAGCCATCGGGGGAGATGGTGACGGTGTTGATGTAGCCGGTGTGGCCGATGTGGTCGGTCTGGAGCTTGCAGGTGGAGAGCTCCCAAACCTGAGGATGGTCAGCAAACTGAGCTACCCAAATGTCTTTTTGCCAACGCATCGGTTCTCGTCAGGACGACTGGGGTGTGGGGTATTGAATCAGGGCAATTGGTGAATGTTTTGTCTCATGGCTGCAAAGAGCTCTGAAGTAGCAAATACTATAATGTTGCAATACATCATGTAGGGCCTGTTGGGGGGGGAAGAGAGAGGAAGTTCCCCGGACGCAGACATACCTTGACCAGCTTGTCCCAGCCAGAGGAGACAATGACGGGGTTCTGGGGGTTGGGGCTGAAGCGGACGCAGGAAACCCACTCGGTGTGGCCCTTGTCGGAGATGGTGTACTTGCAGTCACCCAGGGTGTTCCACAGCTTGATGGTGCGGTCGCGCGAGCCGGAGACGATCTGGCGGTTGTCGGCCGAGAAGGAGACGGACAGGACGTCGTTGTTGTGGCCGACGAAGCGGCGGGTGGTGGTGCCGGTGGCGAGCTCCCAGAGGCGCAGAGTCTTGTCCCACGAGGCAGACAGAGCGTAGGCACCGTCAGACGAGATAACCTGTCACCCAGAACATATCAGTAATGCTCTACTTCCTCCCGGTTTCCCGGGCAGTCAGTGACGTACACAGTCCGAGACAATGTGCGAGTGACCCTTGAGCGAGCGCTTAGGGTAACCGTACTGGGTCTCGTCGCGGGTCAAGTTCCAGATGATGAGGCTCTTGTCGCGCGAGGCGGAGAGCAGCATGTTGGGGCTGTAGGTTCGAGTGTATTAGCATCGCGTTCGCGTCGTCGGAGAGATCGGCTCGGTTCGAACATACTTCTCCATGGAGGTAGCCAAGCTGGTGACCCAGCCGTTCTGTAGTAAGACAGTTAGCCAATGTCCTCGCCGGCCATCCCACACCGATGCGCAATTGCACATCGCAAAGTCGACTTACGTGGCCCTCGAGGGTGCCCTTGAGCATCAACTGTTCAGCCATGGTGAAAGGTGTGGTTGAGGAATGGAGACACAAAGGGTGAAATCTGGCGTTGCTGAGTGAAGAAGCAGAAATTGAGGCCGAGTGTCTACAGTATCAGTGGTCGGGGCCCGCAGCGCCGATGGTGTTGGGAATTTGGTGGGATTTTTTTCTGTGGGCGAGTCTTAGGGCCACCTCAAAAAGGTACATGCAGCAGCCCCACCCTTGGCCAGGCCGAGTTCCCATTATGGCTTAGCGCTGCGCGGTCCATGTCGCTACGTGTAAGTCCAGACTCTAGGCGAAGCAGACTTCAATCACATTGTTAGCTACATTCGCAACCAGCCGGACACAACTGGCCTCTCGCACGGAAGCTCTGAGACAGCGTGTTATGTGTTTCATCATGTTGAGTGAATTGCAAACGCTACAAAACGCCAGCCCATCCTGCGGGATTGTACGTGCCCGATGATGCGGGCACTCTCATCAGTCCCTAAATCAGCTAACGCCTTCTCATTATGCGTGGTATGTTGACCGTCTGTGTCGTCCCTTACACTCGCGGGTACTGCTCCTCATTGAGTCTCATTCGAGGTGAGGGTCGCTCTCTTTCCCATCTTGGGCACCTCCTTGCGTGAGAACACCGCGTCACTGTTGACGATCATGCTGTGGTCCGCAATGTCGACCTGCTCAATATTCTCGCCGCGGTTCTCCATGCCCATGAACCTTTTCATGGTCAACTCCCACAGTCGGAATCTTTCTTTGCCTTGGCTGTCCTTCTCGACCAAAGATTTGACCTCCTTCTGCTTGCGCATCTTTGACGCGCGTACGAGCCTCCTAAGCGCATCTTCGCCCTGCTGGGCGTTTCTTGCCGCATCCTCGCGAACCCTTTGCGAATCTCGCGCATTGGCGTCCTCTTGTGGTGTGAAACGGTAGGTGTGCTTGCTCGGGAACGCAGGGAACGTCGCTGGAATATGCAGCATGGATTCCTTGTCAGGCTGGCCGCTCAGCTCGGGCCCAAGCAGGGGCAATGTTGTCCAGGCATCGTCGTCCAGGGTGATGGCCTCAGCATAGTCGGGTTGTCGCTGTGCTTCCGGTATCGGCGGTCTGAGATGAGGTTTTAAGGACGCGACTGGGATATTGTGCCGGCTGAGCATTCTCTCGTAGTCGGTGGGCACGGGAACACTGCGACGTGAGGACTGCGCGATCCACTTTGCATCGCTCATCAACGACGAAAGATCTATGCCCTGTCAGTGATTATGTTGATCAACGTGCCTATTGAAGCTCGTACATGTTTCTACCATGTGCGTAAAGCTCTCCATGGCTTCGGGCGTGGCGCCGTCGAAGCCATCGTGGCTAAGCACCTGGGCTATTGTCCGCTGGATGCTTTGGCGCGCCTGCCCATGCGGTGTGATGGCAGTCGAGATACGGAGGCCAGTATCGTCGTCGTCGTCCGTGGTCGCGTCGCCGATTTGTCCTGATATCGCGTGGTTGATGCGCAAATCTGGATGTACGCTTGAGTTGGTGCGCGATCGTTTGGGTTCACGTCCATCGTCCTCGCTCGCTGAACGGCTGCGCTTTGGGGTTGACATTGTGACAATCGTCGGGGCCGGTGCAGTCGGCGAATGTTCTTGCGACAAGGATGCTATACAGATCGCATGGCGTATTGGTTTTCTTCAGGCTTCGGCGCGCTATAGGTCAAGTTGTGGCCGTGTTCGCGAATGATGATGGTTGGTGCTGGGTAGAGTCGGCGTGTCTCTGCCTCTCAGGATGCTGAAATGATGACTCAGCTGCCAGTGAGTGTCACTCGATGGCATATCACTAAATCTCAACACCCGATTGTTTTCAGTAGAACGATCATTGCTAAATGTATATATCGATTGAATGGAAATATTTTCGTCGTAGATACACAACTGGTTGGGAAGAACCAGCGTGTGGAGTATTCTGGAATAGATATTGTATCTGTCTCATTCAAAGCTTGACTTTGTAGGTGTGGTTACAATCAAAATCGGCCGGGCTTACTGCAACATGGCAATAGCAGGAAATATCGCTACTCCCAGTACCCTCTAAGAACTCGAACAATCTTGAATTCTGTGTTGATACTATGACCTGATCGCGTTGTCTCGAGAGGAATTCAGATGAGCGACTACGGACTACAGGGTTAGCATATTGGGATGGCATTGGCATCTGAATGTTGTGAGGCTGCTTCTAGACCCCAGTCGATGTTGATAGCGGTGGGGTAAGGATGCGTCTGATTGCTGACGCTCCCACGGGCCACGAGGGCTGCCTACCAGTAATTGGAATCCAGGCGACCAGGCCACGAGATGACGGATGCGGGCTGCAGCGACGTCGATCCCAAATATCGCTACGCCAGGGATTGATACCCCGACCCATGTGTTCATGTTCTTGGACCACGCGCAAACTCATTTCCTGCAGTATCAGCCATCAGCTCTGCCTACCTATCCGTACTCCGTACTCGGATCTTGTCCATTCAACGTCACATCGCAATCTACGTCTGTCGCAAGGGCCATACCGCTCGTGGTCTAACCAAGCTCGCTCGGCCGCAAAGTTCTAGCTTGGACCGCGGACACCCTGCTGGGTGCCCAACTCAACCCTTGTTGCTAATCTAGCCTGCGACGCAATCTTGAGCTCTGTGTAAACTGGTTGAGAACCATCATGTGTACTTGAAGGGCGCATCAACAAGACACCAGACCACTGCCCACTGTCATGCAACTCATGTTCCGTCTGCAATCTGCGAATAATTAGGCCGGCACATCCAACAACATGTTTCCTTTTGATTCGGCTGATCTCCCGCAACTCACACCGCGCAAAGCGTTCATCGGCGTCGATTTCCAAACTGATTTCACGGCGAAAGATGGCGCACTAGCATACCCCGAGCCCAAAGGCTACGTTGAGCGCGCTGCCAAATTGGCCACAATCTTTCGTCAATACGCCAAAACTACCGGGGGCGACGTGGTCTGGGTCAAGTCGCAGTTTGATGCCACCCGTGCTGTCGACGAAGAGTCGATCATTGTCTCAGACGAGCCGCCGCCGCCGGAAACCAAGGCTAGACCAGCAGTACCCCAAGCGCTGCGGGCCTCGAGGCGCAGGCTCTCTCCCACCCTTGAAGATGCAGTTGAAGCAGCTGGTCCACCAGATGATGAAGCTTTCCTCAGTCAGAATGAGCCCAAGTGCCTCCACACGCCAGCGGCCAGCGACTGGGCGCCGGAGATCAAGGCAGCCATGGACACGACAGACATGTCCTTGACGAAATCACATTACTCGGCCTTCAAGGGCACGCGCTTGCTGCACCTACTTAGAGCAAAGTTGGTGATGGAGGTCGTGATCTGCGGATCCATGGCCAACGTGGGTGTGTTGGCGACAGCCATGGATGCAGCCGGCCACGGCATGGCCATCACTGTGGTGGAAGACTGTTGCGGGTACAGAAGTGAAGCAAGGCAAGACCAAGCAATCAAGAACCTCATTGAGTTCACGGGCTGCGAGATCGCATCGTATGAGGAGATGCTGGAGACCATCGACCCTAAGCTCGCCAGACCCAAGCAGCTCGCCAAGCCCACGGAAGCCACCAAGGAGGCCGCACGTCTCAGCAGTTCGCCAGACATCGTCGACCCCATGACTGGCTTGCGGCTTAAATCACGGTCGCCATTGGATGCAGAAGGCAACGCAGCGGATGCCACTGGGTCAACAGCACATAATAAGACCGAGTCACCTGTAAGTATCAAAGCATACGTTCACAGCTCTTGAACACGTGTTGATGTTACAAAAGGCAAAGATGCAAGAAGACACCACTGGGCTCCAAGCAGGAACTAAGCCAGACATACCTCCATCTCAGTCGACCCAGACTTCTGGCAGCCAAAAAGGTGTATTGCGCGCTATAGATGCCTGCCTACAAGATGATGGTGCTGTCGCCGAAGATAACCAAACGACTTGTCGGCAGAAGAACCTCTGCGAAGGCGATACTGACATCATTGAGAACCTCTTGCCAAAGGACCTTGAGGCTGGTATATTCGACAAGGTCCGCGAAGAGGTCGAATGGCAGCGCATGTCGCATCAAGGCGGCGAAGTACCGAGGCTCGTCGCCGTTCAAAGAGAGGTCGGAGACGATGGAAGCATACCAGTGTATCGCCACCCCTCGGATCAATCACCGCCATCTTTGCCATTCTCACCAACAGTACTCGCCATCAAAAAGGCAACGGAGAAGCACCTCGGTCACAAGCTGAACCATGCCCTAATCCAGTACTATCGTGATGGCTTGGACCACATCTCCGAGCATAGCGACAAGACTCTTGACATTGTCCCGGGATCATACATTGCGAATGTCAGTCTGGGCGCGGAGAGGACCATGGTTTTCAGGTCGAAGAGGGCTGAAAAGGACCACACTGCCTCTTCCGACTCCTCCAAGCAAGGCGCACCAAGACAAACTCAACGCGCTCAGCTCCCCCACAACTCCCTGTGTCGGATGGGCCTCAAAACGAACATGAAATGGATGCACTCCATCCGGCAGGACAAGCGTGCCGAGCGCGAGAAATCAGAAGCCGAGCTGGCCTATTCTGGTCGTCGCATCTCGCTGACGTTCCGTCAGATAGGCACTTTTCTCGACAAGGACGAGACGGTCATCTGGGGACAAGGGGCCACAGGGAAGACCCGTGCCGAAGCGAAGCCCATTGCTAATGGCCGTGGCGCTGAAGCTGTCGACATGATCAAAGCCTTTGGCGCCGAAAACAACAGCACCACTTTTGACTGGAGCGCACGGTATGGCAATGGGTTTGACGTCTTGCATATGAGCAACTCGCCCCGTTTCTTTACCTCTTCGGACTCTCAAGTCAACTTGCGCATTGCACTGATGCTTGCGGAGCTGAACATCACGTATGCAAAGGGCAGCGTCGACCCCGGTTCCTCAGAAAGCTCTCGGGTGGATAGAGCGCATGCGCCACCTGTCAAGTTTGTCGACGTTGACGAGGCCAAATCCACAGTCTCGGGTGGTCTGGCAGTGATGATGTATCTCGACAAGACGTATTCTACAACAACCCCGGACAAGGCCTTCACAAGGCTCGAGGAGGCGTTGGACTTGGTGTCGGCAGTTGGCAGGATGTCGGCGGATGCGCAAACGCCCAGTGAGATCGGATCGCTTCTCAGCCCCTGGGATGCATATGCGGCCGAAGGTGATTTTCTCGCTGGGAAAAGACTCTCCCTGCCCGACTTTGTGGTCTGGCCCGTCATTCATGAGTTGCACAAGAAACACAGTGGGAGGGAGTTTCTGAAAGGACTTGATCATCTGGAGAAATACTACCAAACGGTCAAGGAGCGGGAGCAAACAAAAATTGCCCTGGAGAAGACAGCACCTCCCAACAACGACAACGAGTAGTTCAGCGTGGCTTTATACAATCAAGGATTCAGGAGTCCCTCAAGTAATATCGACCCAAGCCAATCACGTATGGAATGGGGAGATGTGCACCATGTGACAGCATATGCTGACATTTGTTCGTCTAAAGCTTGCAAAAGAGATGCTACACTATCAGATTCGACCTTGGTTGAAACAGGTCATGCCAAACGCACCCAAAAATAGTCCTCCGCGGATGTACAAGGAAAGTTAAGCTCGTATGTACCACCGAAAGATCGCCAGAACTCCATCAAAAGTTGTCAATGCGCATTATGCTCGTTAAGGGAGGGATGGATCACTTCTCCGCCGCCCATGGAAGGGGGTAGGTGCCAACCCAATCCTCAACCTCACTTCGCAGCTGCACGATCTCGGGATCATTCTCGCCGTTGCCTAGATGATCCATGAAATGCTTGACCCTCTTGACATTCTTCTCGCCACGCTCTTCGGCAGCCTTCTTGGCAGCCTTGTCGATGCGGATGGCGATGCTGACGGCGCGGTCCACAACGTCAGCAACGCGCTCAAAGTCAGCCTCGTTGAAGCCGCGGGTGGTCATGGCAGGCGTTCCCATTCGCAAGCCCCCTGGTACCAGAGCCGACTTGTCCCCGGGTACAGTGTTCTTGTTGGAAGCCACTCCCACCAGCTCGAGAACACGCTCGACGCGGCTTCCGTCGATGCCGTGGGGCTTCAGATCGATGAGGACGAGGTGGTTGTCCGTGCCGCCACTCACCACGCTGTAACCGAGGCCACCCTTCTCTTTAGGCTCGCTTAGGCGTGCCGCGAAAGCCTTCGCGTTGGCAAGCACCTGTGTTTGGTAGGCGTGGAAGTCAGGAGACTGAGCCTGCTTCAAGGCCACAGCAAGAGACGTGATGGTGTGGTTGTGGGGGCCTCCTTGGTGACCAGGGAAGACAGACTGGTTGATTGGGTTCTCGAGGTTGTACATCTCATCCTCCTTGGTCTTGGGGTTCTGCCTACGCACTCCCCGACGGAAGAAGATCATGGCTCCACGTGGCCCACGCAAGCTCTTGTGTGTAGTGGTGGTGACCACGTCGGCATAGCCAAATGGACTTGGTAGTACCTTGGCGGCAACCAGACCGGAAATGTGAGCCATATCGGCAACCATATACGCATTGACCTTGTCGCAGATCTCGCGCATGCGCTTATAGTCGATCAGCCGACTGTAAGCGCTTGTGCCAGCCACAATGACCTTGGGCCTGTAAATAAGGGCCATCTCTTCCAATTTGTCGTAGTCAATGTAGCCAGTCTCCTCATTCAAGCGATATGGCACGGTCTCAAAGTATTTTGAGATGGCAGAGATCTTCTTCGTCGGGGTCTGGTAGCCATGTGACAGGTGACCGCCGTGAGGAAGATCCAACCCCATCAGGCGATCGTGGGTGTTCATCAATGCTGAGTAGACGTAGAGGTTCGCAGGCGCACCAGAGAGTGCTTATGAAACGTCAGTCAGATGCTGCAACTCCACCAAGAGAGATACATACGTTGCACATTGACACCCCATGATTTCGGATCCAGGCCAAAGGTCTCGAGGGCGCGGTTCTGACAGAGCGTCTCGGCCTGATCGATGAATTCGTTACCACCGTAGTATCTCGCCCCAGGGTACCCCTCGGAGTATTTGTCTGGAAAGTGATCAGTTGTCGGTTATCTTCTATCCATGCCACGTTGACCTACTTTGCATAACACTGCCTAACGCATCTAGGACAGCCTGTGATGTGAAGTTTTCAGAGGGAATCAAGTTGATAAAGTGTTTTTGGCGCTTTTTCTCCTGTAAAACATTGTGAGCAGTGTATCCTGCAGGGGCAGGGCGACACGAACCTGCTCAATGATGTTGAAGACTGCTGGGTCAGCCTTCTCGAGGTGCGCGGAGAGAAGTTGCTGTTGGCCATCCGTGGCGATAGAAGAGGCAGCTCTTGTGGCCGCGCATGGTCTCGCGAAGCGGTTCAGTGTCGTCGGTCGGGCAATGCCTCGAAGGGCTAGCGAGGAGCCTCGCAGGCTTGTTCGTAGTGCCATGATAGAAGGCGGACGTGCCGTGGGGTGCGATAAGGTCCTCGTCTGGAGGGGGTTTGACGTTCGAAATGAAAACCTTGGTGACTGAGGGTACAATGCTTCTATCAGCAGCTACCCGTTCCTCAACCTTGACAGAAAATAAAGAAGATTCGTTCGGTGGGCTGATCAGAAGTCGTGGGAGCTTCGGTCGGAGCAGGACCGAGACGAATTGACGTCGAGCTCTGGCGCGCAGACGGCGAGCATTACGGTGGCGGGCGGCGCGGGCGTCATAGGTGCCTACAAGTAATCCGGGGAAGTACCTCAGCGTGCTAATTCGGCGTAGAGCTACTTGCGCGCCGCACAGTGTGCAGCAACGGCTCTGTATCCCCCGGCTGTTTTCCGATCAACGGGCGGACTTGGATGGCCAGCGTCTAAGCGCGCTGTGCGGATCAAAAGCCGGGCGCTGGACATGCAGTGCATGTTTTCACAATCGTACGGTGCTCTTCACCGCCCGCTTACCTAAAATTCCCACCAGGGTATATACCGCGATGGGAGGCTGAGAGCTCTTTCTTGTTCTTTTTTTCCTCTTCACAACTAAAATTGGATGTGATGAGACGTTCTGCTCGCAGATTGGATTTCCGCTTCGCGCGGGAGCATGCTGAAGTGCCTCTGGCGCACCTCACCACCTTAGAAGAGGCATATACGGTTTCTGATCCAACTTTTAGTTGTTTGTTTTCCGTTGTTCACCAAGTCGGTTAGGCTAGTAAATGATAAATACCGTAAGCTTGCCGCTTGGGATTGAATCGTGACATAGCCTGAAGTAACGCGGTGTCCCGAGATGTCGAACAACCCGCCGCATGGTCCTGAGAATCTTGAGATACGCTCATCAACTTCAGGGCATTGAGCGAGGTCTTGGTCAATCTTGTACTCCTACATGGTTTGCTACATGTTCTGGCACCGTAAATGTGGATGTCGTGTGTATTGCCATGAAGGACGTCCGGCTCAAAGCATCGTGAATATCATTTTCAATGCTACATGCCAGAAAACCCGCCGCCGGTCCAACTGTATGTGTAGAACCCCGAAGGAGGTAAAAAAAGACCCAACCCGTAGACTCCGAATGCAGCCTCCTCAAGACCGAAATGTCGTTGTCGTAATTTTGGTTTACTCTTCGGCCATCAAGGCGTTCCTCTTCGCCGCAACCCTCTCCTGCTTGCGCTCGCGAGCGGCCTTGTTCTTCGCACGTTTGGCGTCCATCTCCTCCTGGAGCTTGTGCTCACGGGCCTTCTCAGCCTTGGCACGGTGAATCTGGGAATTGTCAGTATACTCATGCCCAAAATCTCCTGACATCGTCCGGGTACACATACGTGCTCAACAAGCGCGCGCTTGTGCTTGAAGGTGTTACCCTTGCTCAGGTGGTAGAGCTCGTGGTAGAGGTGCTTGTCGATCTTTCCAGAGGCACGGTACTTGACGAGAAGACGGCGGAGGACACGGAGACGGCGCATCCACAGGACCTGGCTGGGCATACGGGCGTCGGCAGTACCCTTGCGCTTACCGTAGCCACGGTGGCGGCCTTCGCGGCGGGCGAGGTTGAGCTCACGGGCACGGGAGCGCGAGTGCTGGGTGATGGGCTTGCGGATGATCAGGCCATCGGAGACCAACTTGCGGATGGTCTGGCGGGAGTTGGCGTTGGAGATCTCGTTCTGCTCGTTGGGGTCGAGCCAGATCTTGCGCTTGCCACAGCCGATGACCGACGAGGCCAGGCGCTTCTGAGTTCGGAGGTTGACCCTGAGAATCACTTGTCAGCCCCCATGTCTCCCAATTGTTGATCCCAGGGCCTGGTCAGGCAATCGGTGCTTCGCGTGTTGATGCCGGTGAATACGGGATCGTTCCATCGCACCCATCCATTCCATGTCGAATTCCATCGTGAAGAATGCAGAAACCCAAAGAGGAGATGCTGTCATGCGTATAGATAGTGTTTGGCTGTACTCACATCTTGAATTGTCCCTGTTGGTGATCGACCGTCCTTGGGTGCTTGAAGGTTTGAGGTTCTGAGGAGGGGGCTTTTGCGTCGTAGTCACCAAGAATTTCACGGGCGGCACACACAAGAATCGCTAATCGGGGTTTGTGGGTTTCACGTGCACCTCGCCCCACCACAGGAGGGCTTCGAGGGATCATGAGTCATCGGTGTTTTCTAGTCACGTGATGCACTCCAGCGACGCCTCGCGTGTTGGACATTGGACCCTGCAAATCCAGGTCTGTACGAATTGATCCCAAGCACTGGTCAATGGCTTGCTGAGGTCGCAGAGTTCTAGTGTCCATGTTGTCTCAATCCGTGTGCCCGATGATAATGAGTTGGGCGCTTGTCACTGCAGTCGAGACGTCCGGCAGCCACTGAGCCCTGCGCAAAACAGCAATGTCACTTTGATGTGGTGCACATGTGTATTCTGTACGAATATGATCACAGTAACTCATTGAGATATGAGCTAGTCGAAGTTATCTTCGCCCAGATCAACCTTCCCGACACTCCAAATCTCCTTTTCGTCTTCCTGCTCATCGTTGGAGAGGCCAAGACCACCTTGGCCACCCTCGGCCTCTCTCCTCTCCCGTGCTTGGGTTCCAAGCCTCAGAGCAACTCGTTTGAAGTAGTCACCCATGCTCCTCTTCGTGTTTGGCGGTTGTTCTGCACCGGGTCCAGCCATGTACTTATCAAACACACGGCTTTCCTCATCAGCGACGCTGAAAAGCTCCACGAAAGCAGCTTCAGCGGACAATTTGACTGGGATCACAGGATCCCTGACACTCGCAAAGATTGGGGGTGCGAGAATAGGCAGGTGCGGTCGTACCAAGTCCGTATCCGCCCGGCTGACAGTCCTTGTCACGACAAGCGCCAGCCGCCGGGAGTCTGTAGCGTTGCCAGGCTCAATAACCGATGCCAACGTGCTGAACAAACCCTTGGAAAGCTCGTAGCTCGGCGGTGACGAGAGCAGGAGCTTGCCGGTGGCGAGGATGAAGTTGTTGGCGATGAAGGGCTTGGCCGTTAGAATACTTTCAAAGATGATTGGATTGGGTTGAGGCAAACTTACTGTCTTATGAGCCATTCCTTGGCTCAGTAGTTCCGGCAACTCTTCCGCCATGGAGCTCTTCAGGAGCGCGTCTGGTGACTCTACCAGCACCGCATTCAGGGCGAGGACTGAAGCATTGGTAGGTTGCGTTGCGAGCACCCTGTTCCGCAGAAGATTCTGCGCAGCATCCTCTGGCACATTCTTCATAAGTGCACCAAGTAGCTTAGCATTTGTCATGGTCATGGTCTCGTCGCGCTCATCTGTCTCTAGGTCGATGAGAGAAAGCACTGCTGACCTGGACGATTCGCCCATGTTGGCTCCAGCCTTGCTAATGACTTCATACAAGGCCTTGAGCATGGCAGTCTTGACTCCCAAGTCCGAGGTCTTGCATCCAGTAACAAGCTCGGCAATGAGAGGATCAATACGAGGGGTGTACTTGATCAGGGTGCCAAGGGCCCTTGCAGCGCGCGAGCGCAGTGTCTCGCTCGACGTATCAGCAAGAGACTTTGCAAAGGTGCGCTGAAGTTGAGGCAAGAAGGGCTTCAAGGCAGCTGGCATCTTCTCCAACAGATTGGTGAGCGTCAACAAAATGGCAGACTTGACCTCTACGGAGCGCTCCGAAACGACACGAATCAAGGGGCCGGTGATCTGCGTGACGAAGGGCTTGAGAGAAGCCTCGCTGGTGCGATCCACAAGATCCGAAATACCTAGCGCAGCTTGTACTCTTTGTTCCGGCGTACCATTCATCAAACCTTGCAAGAAGATGGGCAGGATGGCATTGATGCCCTTTGGCAGCTCGAAACCCTTGAGATTAGAGCCAGAGACTCCAACGCGCTGAAGCGTTTGGCGTGTTGAAATAACCAGAGACTCCATCTCTTCTTTGCGAAGCTTCTTGGTGAATTCCGACAAGGCTGCCCAAGCCGCCTTGACGACATCGAGATCACCGTCGTCGAACGAGTTGAGCAAAGATCGGACAATGTCCTGATTGTATCGAGAGTAGTCGACACTGGCGGATCGGAAGAAGCTGCCAAAATGACGAGCTGTGGCTGCTCTCTTGCGATGATCATCGTGCTTGAGAGACTGGAGCAAGACGCTCATGATGATGTTCAGGCCGTCATATTCGTCAATGTGCTGAATAACGGTGTCGAGGGAGTTCTCGAGATCATCGCGCAATTTCTCCTCGGTAGTTGAAACTTCATTGTCCAACAAGGAATTGATGATATTGGGGAGGCGACGGTTCATGGCGGCGCCGGCGACCTTGGATAGGGAAGCAATCGCCTTGGCGTTGAATGCGGAGATGGGCGGTTTGACCAGATCTGGAATGAGGATGGGAATAATAATGTTGGACCGCGTAGTCTCCGTCAGCAACGTCAAGAGAGCGGATAGAGCATTGTCCGCTTGCTCTTCCGATCTCAGCAATGTGAGAAGGTAAGGCAAGACTTGGTCGACAGCGCGCTTCTGGAAAATGCTCTGCAGGGAGTCGAAAGCCTCTGCAGCTGCCTCCCTGACTTCATCGTCAGAGTCTGTGAGGGCGGTTCGCACCACAGAAATAAGCGTCTTCTCATGCTCTTCCAACGATTCGGGTGTTGCCGATGAAATAAGCTCCTTGAGGGCGAGACAGATACCTTGCTTGGCATCTGTATCGGTTGATGTTTGCAGGCCCTTCTCCAAAGTTGGCAACAAGCTTGAGAGAACGCCATCGCCAGCCTTGCGAATGAGCTCGCCAAGTGCGTTGCTGGCGATGACACGATGCTCCATGTTCGAACTGCCCAGACGACGGATGAGGAGTTGCGTGAGAGTTGGCACCAGCTCCTTGAGCGTTCGGGGGCTGTGTACCAACACCTTCCAGACAGCCAAAGCAGCAGCGCGGACGGATCCAGCAGTGTCACAGCGGCAGACATACAGGGCCGAGAGGATCTTGTTGCGCTTTTCTTCTCCAAGAACCTCCTTGAGGGACGCGCTGGCTTCCTTGATGTCTTCATCATCCTCGTCTTGCTCGGCGTCAGCTCTGATGCCGGTGAGGTTGAACAGCAGGTCTCCCACGAGCTCAACGGAGCTGAGTCGGATTCTGTAGCTGTCGTCCGCAAGACCGCGCTCGAGCTCGGGAAGCAGCAAGTCCACAGCTCGCACAGCGAAGTTCTTCACAAGCAGGCGACCCGCGCGTAGGGCAGTCTCTCGAATTGACTCGACGTCATCTGCCAATCCGGCGAGAATGGGAGGCACAATGCGACCCAAATAGTTCGAGAAGCTGTTGCCAAAGCAGACGGGAAGGAAGATGAACAAAGACATGAAGCCTTCGCGAACAGCAGGTTTGGATGACTCCACATTCTGTAGAACTGTGGGCAGAGTCTCCTCTAACCTTGTCGTGCCCAAACCAGCAAGCACCTCACTGAGCGCCTGAGCCGAGCCAAGTCGGTCACCAGCGCCAGTGTCGGACTTCAGTGTCTGCATAAGGCCAGGAATGAGGTCCGGCAAGGCATCCTCGCCCAGTTTCTCCATGAGGGATCCAAGAGCCCTTGATGCCGTGGCGCGAGTAGTGGGGACTGGATCAACTGCCGCAAGCTTCAGACCCGCCACGAGCACAGGCAAGTGTGCCACAATGTCCTTCTTCTCAGTGAGATGAGCCAGACTGCCAATGACTTGTGAAGCCTTGCGTTTGGTGTTTGAGCGATCTCCAAGACCACGTTGAAGAATGCGTGTAACTAGAGCGAGGGAGGGCGCGTCTAGGTAATGCACAAACTGAACCTTGATGAGGGAATCAAGAGCCTCATCAGTGTACTTGGTAGGATCACTGAGAGCCTTGAGAAGAATGTCAACAAGACCTTTGATCTCAGGGTTGCTGATCACTTCGCCAAATCTCTTCAAACTTCGGTTAGCCGCCGATCTGACCTCCTTGTGACTGTCATTCAGCACACCAGTCAGAGGTGGAATAATGTCAGGCAGGCTGTTGGCAAGCTGTTGTGGATCCAGGTAAGCCATGGCACCAAGGAGCTCGCAAGCACCGCGTTTGCTACGCCACTGGTCCTCATCCAACCCATTCAAGAGCGTTGGCATAATCTGCTTCACACCATATGAACTGAGATTCCCGAAGCAAGCCTTGGCAGCAGCCAGACATGCGTCCCGGACGTCACCATTGGCGTCGCCAAACCCTGCCAGAAGTTGGGGCACAATCTGGATAACGTAAGGCTCGAAGAGTCTTCCAAGAATAGTCGCCAGCAGTTCGAAAGCAAGAAAAGAAGCCTCTCTCTGATGAGCATCTTTCTTGTTCTCTAGGGCACTTTTGAATGTAGAGAGGACCCGGTACTCGCGCAATGATGCGATGCCGCGCCCTTGCACCAGACCAGCCAAACCATACGCTGCGCCTCGCTGCGTTGCGTACTTCTTGGAATTCAGAAGTTGGTCGACAATCTGCTCAAAGTATTTCCCAGACTTGTCTGAACAAGCCCTGACAAGTGGAGGCAGGCAATCAGCAATGGCAGACTGGACTGTCTCTGAGGGGGTACTCAGAGTTGCGAGGAGGCGTTCGATGACAACGGGTATCTTGGAGTCACCCGCGGCCAAATGTCGGGCGAGTGCACCATACATGATGATCACGGCCTCGTTCACGAGATCACCTTCGTGGCTCGCCTTGTCTGTGCCCTCGAGGGTAGATTCGAACTTGGCCATGAGCTCGTCGACGGACGACTTGCCGTGGAGCTCAATGGCACGAATGGCTGCTTCCAGCATCTCAGATCGTACCTTGGCATCCCTATCGCCAAGGGGACCGTTGCTGATCATGAAGTCAAAGAGGGTGCTGAGTTGCGTGGCGGTCAATAATGGAGCGAGCTCCTTGAAAGCAGTAGCAACTCCCTGCCTAGCCTCCCAAGGATCGGCCAAGTCCATTTTCTTGGGCATTCCAAACTCATCGAGCTCCTGTTTCTTGGGTTCCGCCAATTCCTGATACATTGACTTGAGTTTGGAGAGAAGGGTGTCCAGGGTACCAGGGTGCAGAGATGTTGCCTCCGCAATGGACCTCGCAGCAGCACGTCGGAGTTGGTGGTCCTTGGACTGCAGGTAAGGCAGCATCTTGGTTGACACGTCTCCGTCGACCTCCACATCGCACTCTGCCCAGATTTCGCGGCCCAGTTCTTGGTTCTCTTCTTCGTCATCATGGCACGCTAGCCACAGCTCGTCCGAGTAGCCAAAATCGCTCACATCAACCTCGGCACTGATCGACTGTAGCACTGTCGTGCGAACTGCGCTTTGCGGGACAATAGTGCCCTTGACCAGGATCTTCACCTCGTCGTGTGTGATATTAGGCGCGACACAGCGAACCAAATCGGTGAAGCAGTCCCTGATCATCTTGTAATGTTGCGTATAGTGTTCCATTGATGATATCAGCGCAGTGAAGATGTCGCCGCGCGGCACCGAATCTTCGGCACAGACGTTGGTATGGAAAGAGATGACTTCAAAGGCCAGGACGACCTGTACGTCACGATCGTCCGCATCCTCCCCGGTGCCACCTCGATGGAGAACATCGAACAGAAGTGGCAGTGCGTACGTCAGGGTTACGGCATCAAAAGGCCTCTGTTCGCCGGCGAAGCGCAGACGATACAGTACTCGCGTGACCAGGTCCTCGAGGGGCTCTTGGATAAAGTTCTCGGACAGAGGAATCTCCCGCAGTCGGAGAGTTGCTAGGGCAATAGATTGGCGTAGTGCTCCGAGGCGAGAGGCAGTCTTGTCTGCTATAGCCAGATAAGTGTCTGCGGGAACATCACCCACAATGAGACCAGCCCCTGCATCGAGGACGCTGAGAAGAAGGCGAGTGGAGACGCCAACCCACGAACTTGCTTCTGTAGGCGGGCCAGTGGCGAGGGCCTTGATGATTCCCAGGCCACGCAGGATACGAGATGCTGTAGCTCGAAGCGCGTTTCGGATACCCTCCTCCTTCTTGAGTTGAGCATTGACTTTGCTGGTCTCCTCAGCTGTTAGCTTTCGTTGCTGGCCCTTCTTCTTCTCTAGCTGGCCTCTGAGCTCCTCTTCCCATTTCAGTATGTCGTAGTCCTTTTGGTTCTTGTTTGGCACAGTGTTTTGAGACTTTTTGGCCAGGACGTCCACAAAGCAAGTTCCCTCAGGCGTGCGGAAGATGGCGGCTTCCATTGGCCCCACGCCGGCTAGCTGAGAGGCATCAAGATCAGCGCTGACGAGCTCGATCAGGCGAGGTACGATGATATCAGGGGCGACAAACGCCAGCTCAGCAGCAGCACTGAAAGCGGCCGTTCGAGCCAGCTCGGACGCATCGGACGCCCACTTCTCAACCTCTGCCATCACTTGATCCTTGTGCTTCTGAACAAGGTTTCCTGGGTCTATGCCCATGCGCAAGCACAAGGCGATCCAACTGCAGCGTGGCACAAGCTCAGGCCTTGCAATCACCAGCATGGAGCAAGCTTGCGACTCGTTGACCTCAGAAGAGACGGCATCCGGGCCATCCACGCTGGGCTCGGGGCATATTGACTTCAAGACGTGATTCAAGCTATCTGGATCCAGTCGTAGGTCTTTGTCCTTAGTTGCTGGGTGTAGCGCGCAACTCCACAGCCCGTCGATGATAGCTGTACCAACAACAGCTGGTGAACTGGCGTAGGTAGTGGCCAAGGCTCTCGCGCTTTCTTGCTGTGTTCGAGACGGGACGGCCTGGCCTGCTATTGTAAAGATCTCAGCTTCGGCCCACGCCAAAAGCAGGTCTTTGTTTTGCTGCTCGCTGAGGAACAGAGCAATGCTTGAAAGGGCGCACGAAAACCAGTGCAAGTCTGTCTCGCCGGCTAGCTTTGTGAAGATGCGATGGTTGAGTAGAAATCCTTGTTTCCCCCCAGATGACAGGCCCTCTTGAGAGACAGTTACTTTTGCAAGTAGCTGTTTAGATGCCTCAGCAGACAAATCTTTCTGCAGACGCGGCGCAAGAGCGGTCAAGATGAATGCGCCAACGGCGATACCATTCTGAACAGCAACCACAGGGTTACCTGCCACATCCTCAAAGTTGTCGACGAGCTTAGGTACGACCGCCTCGGCAAACTTTAGCTGCCCGGCGGTAAAGCCATTGCTTGACCCTGACTCAAGTATGTTGGCAACCAACAATAGCCATAGCCTCCGAGAATTCGGCTTCTTGTCGGACAAGCCCTTGGCCAAAGTATCGAAAACCGGTTTGGGTATCTCTACTTCTTGGTTCAGAATTTGTGACAGTGCTCGTGCAAGAGCTGATGTTTCGGCGCTCAAAGCTGGTTCATTGCCCTCCTTCGCAGCCACAGCAGCAAGGCCAGTGGCAACTACAAGGGCAGACGCCTGTGGTAAGGTGATGCCCTCCAACATCTCTGCGTGCAGGACTCGGTGGTCAGCAGCTGATAGCTTTCCCCCTTTAAGAGGATTCAGGACCTCTTCAACTATGGCCTGCAGAAGGGCTTCATCATGCGACCGTGAAACGAGATCCTTGAAGGAGCCAACTGCCCCTGTGCGGACTTGAACATTGCTTGACTTGATGCTAGACAAGAGTGGCTTCAATAGTCTTTCCTTGAGGATCTTGGAGAGATCATAGCTCTTCGGCAAAGAGGCTACAAGAGGCCTAAGAACGCCGGTGAGGATGATCTCAGGCGCTCGCAACAGGCCCTTTTCTAGGGTTGGAACCACTTGCTTCTCAATCTCTTCAAGGGTAGAGAACTCGGTGAAGAAGTCCCGTAACCCCGACGCCACATGTCGTTCGACGGCAACTTTGGAACCAACAACCTCCCGCGTATAGAATTCGTAGTATTGTGGTTTGTGGGATTCGAGTAGAGGCTTCATCTCTCCAATGCGCGCAGAGACCCCGGCTATGAGACCGAGCAGAGGCGAGTTTTTGGCGATCGGGTGGCTGGCCGGCCTTGCCAGTATTGACAAGGCATCGTTCAGTGTCTTCTCCCGGTGGCTCTCAGATTTGAACAGTTTCCTGAAGCCTCTCCTAGTGACCAGGGTAGCAGAGTTTGCGACGCTTCGTTTCGAATTTGGCCGCACGCAACGCTCGAAAGAATCAGCGATGCAGATAAGGATGTCATTAGCGACATTCTCCCACAATGATGTACCAGCAAGATTCTGCATCAGCAGGCTGCACCACTCGACGAGCACAAATGAGTTGGACACAGCTATTGCAGGCTTCTGGGCTTCACTCCGAATGTACTTGGCAACGCTTCCCAAGAGTTTCGGCTCAATGCCGTTGTTGACCAGCGTTGCAAGACATGTCTGCACCGCCAATCTCGACTCTCGGTCGGTGTAGAGGGGGATCGTCGCAATCAGAAGCTGGACTATTTGCGATATCGAGGAGGGTTCAAGACCTGGAGGACAAGGTGGATTAGCCTTCGGCCAAGCTCAACGAGTACTTGAAACTTACTGCGGCTGGCCAAAGCTTCGTTGATAGCATGCAGCTGCCCGATGCGCAAGGATGTCGATGAAGAGGCAATTGATATAGCAGCCTTGGCGATGTCGATTTCGGGCCCAGTGGCCCTGCTTGTGGTCTCTTCGTCAGACATTGCGAGCAAAGGCGATTATCGAGAGGATCGAGGACTCATGGGGGGCCAACGAAAGTTGCAGGCGTTCCGAGTCGGTCGTCTGAGCGGCGCAAGTTGCCAGAGAACGGCGATATGGCATGTACAGCACTTGTAAAGGTATCTCGAAGCGAAAGTCGACGTTGAGAAGGGATCTTGTGGCTCTCGCTGGCCTCTTGAAAACTAGACACTGGCCTGAATTGCAAGTTAACAGCTTGGAAGAAGGTCGGCGGGCGGTGACCCCACTAGTCCACGTCCGAGTCGAATCGAGTCTGCGAGCGCCCCGCTATAATTTTTGACGTGGGCAGCCGTTACCTCACAGTCAGACAGACGGACGGACAGACCAGGGTCGGTGTGCCTTTCTCACATCGAGTCAACTGGAGAAAGGCTCATCAACTCATTCCGTCCCCTGCTCCAGCCCCGACGCCTTAATTTAACACTCTGTACCTCGCGTGTGAGCATGGCGGGTACCAAGAAGAAGAAGAAGCCCGCTGCCAATCCTGCGCGAGGTTTCGCAACAACCTCCATCGCGTCCAAACCGCGACCAGAGAATGAAGAACCCAAACAACAGAATGTTGCCCCTCCATCAAAAAACGACAGTGCCCCACCATCATCAGCGGCACCAGCAGCTGTCGTTGGGGACGCATCCAAGCCCGATGCCCCCAAGGAACAGTCCTTGAGCCCAGAGGAGTTTGAGAGACAGCTAGAGGAGTCTGAGCTGCAACTCTTGGTCGAGAAACATGCGCAAAAGGTCAAACGCGATGCGCAGCGACAGCAATCTCGGCTCGAGACGGATCGTCGACTCTTGCGTGGCAATGGAGATTCCGTCAACTGCCCGAAATGGCTGCCTGAAGATCTCATGGGTCACATACTGGAAATCATCCAGGCTGAGAGCCGATTCGCGGCATCGAGCATAATACCTGAAGCCTCGGCAAATAGTAAAATGCCCTCGGAAGAAGATATGATCGTTCGGCTATGGACTCTGCAGCAAACTCTGCAAGCTACCGGGTTTCCACAGTCGCGAGTCACAGCGGTGGTGAAGTATATCATAGATATTGCTCCCAATGTCTCTGTCGCTGGAAAAGACCTCGTTTGGGGTTTGGAAGAGGCGCTTGAGTGGCTGGCCAGAGAATGCGATGCCGCAGAACTTCCAGCATACGAGAGCAGACCGAAGCCTGTTGCAAAAGGTAGGCCACAATCGGCTTGAGTTCCATGCCAGTAGCTGACCTCCTTCAGACACACCCAGTGACACGCCTGCGTCCACTAGGCCAAGCACTCCCCGACCCAATGGCGCTCAGGGGAAGGGAAAGCCAAATGGACGCTCCAAAACCAAGGCGTCGGCTGGCAAGAAACTTGTTGTCACTTGCGATAGTGATATTGAGCCCGACAATTTACAGCCTGAGTATCTTGCCACGAAGCGGAAATTGCTAGAACTCGAGCGCGGGCACACAACTTCAAGCAGTGACAACGATGATAAGGAGCTCGCGATAGCCAAGGCGGAAGCCAGACTCAAGCGGATCGCAGATGATGTCCTTTTCGACCTCTACTTGGCTGAGCAAGAATGGAAAAAGCAAAGGGTCGCTGTGGAGAGAGAGATTTCTGCAGCGAAACAGCAGCTGAAGTCTGCCCAAAACGAATCTCCGGAAACCTCTGAAGACAAGCCTGAAGACGAGGTCAAAGACGAGTCCGAGGACGGTGATGTTAACGAAGAAGCGCAACGGATCGCGGCAGAAATATTAGCTCAAGACGACGAGGACGACGAGGGTATAGATGGGTTGTTTGCCTCGCTGCCACAGAACGAAGTCGACGAGGCAACCGGAAAGTCACAAACGGTTGTAACGTCTGCTGATGGAAGCAAAGTTGTCATCAAAGACTTCGGGAAGCTCACGGGATTGAGCCCAAAGCGGGTGCTAGAGGAGGCATGCAGGTCACGAGACGGTGCGGTAAAGATTTCATACATCAAGGTCTCGGAAGCATCTTTCGCCAACCGCCATGCCGTGGATATCTCATGGTCGAAGCCCCAAGAGGTGCCACTTGTTGTGCCTGGAGGCGACGTGGAAGTCGCTGCAGATGCAGACAGGTTCACTTTCACAATGGTGGGAGTCGCAACGCCGGATGCGTCGCAGTCCGAGGCATATGCTGCCACGGCTGCGGCGGCTCACATTTTCAGCGGCAACACCCGCGAAGAGAAAGTCGGGATGCGTCTACCACCCGCGTGGCGCGATCTGTTCCAGGAGCAAGTGAACGCCAAGCGAGATCACCTGCAGGCCCAAGATCGCGAGGTGGTCAGGGAACTAAGAGCCTTGGTCAGGGAGAGGCGAGACCAAGAGCTTGAAGATGGTGTAATCCTGCAAGGCGCCTTTAGAGGCCGTGGAGCCGGCAAGACTGCGCAAGATTCAAGCGACAACGGACTCACAGACCGAGCCAGGTCCACCAATGCGAACGCTGACCTTTACAAGAAGATTTGGGCAGACAAATCTTCTACGCCCAAGTTCCAACAGATGCTGGTATGTCTCTTGCATTCGGGAAATGACATAGTTGATACTAACGAACCATACAGCAAGGCCGTATGCAGCTTCCCATGTGGGGTTTCAAGAACCAGGTTCTTCAAGCTGTTGACCAGAACCAAGTCGTGATCGTTTGTGGTGAAACGGGATGGTACGTTCGTTACTTATCCTTACATTTCTTGGCTAACTCCGTCTCAGCGGTAAGAGCACCCAGGTGCCGGCATTCCTACTGGAGCACGAGCTTGCGCAAGGAAAACCTTGCAAAGTGTATTGCACAGAGCCCCGACGTATCTCTGCTTTGTCCCTAGCCAAGCGTGTCAGCGAAGAACTTGGAGAATCTCGTGGCGACTTGGGCACGAACCGGTCCCTCGTGGGTTATTCGATTCGCCTGGAATCGAACACATCGCGCGAGACTCGTCTGGTATACGCCACAACTGGTATCGTGATGAGGATGCTTGAGGGTTCCAATGACCTGCACGAAGTAACACATCTGGTTCTAGATGAGGTCCACGAGCGATCCATCGACAGCGACTTCCTACTCATTGTCCTGAAGAGGCTCATGGAGAGGCGAAAGGACCTGAAAGTGGTGCTCATGTCAGCTACAGTGGATGCCGAGAGGTTCTCAAACTACCTCGGAGGCGCACCGGTGCTCAACGTTCCAGGGCGTACCTTTCCTGTTGAGGTTCGCTATCTTGAGGACGCGATTGAGCTTACTGGGTACCAGCCAGCCGACGTGCCGCCCGGCGACAAGTTTGTCGACTTGGATGAAGAGATTGCCGAGGGAGACGGGGACAAGCCGCAAACTGAAGGCAACAAATCGCTGTCGCGATACTCACTAGACACGCGCAAGGCTTTGGCACAGATGGATGAGTATCGGATAGACCCAGATCTCGTCGTCCAGCTCATTGCCAAGATCGCAACCGTCGAGGCTCTTCAACCTTACAGCAAGGCCATTCTCGTCTTCTTGCCGGGTATTGCTGAAATCCGCACCCTGAACGACATGCTACTTGGCGATCCTCGATTCGCGCGGGACTGGCTTATCTATCCGCTTCACTCCACGATTGCTACAGAGGATCAGGAATCAGCATTCTTGGTGCCCCCTCAAGGGGTGCGCAAGATCGTTTTGGCAACCAACATTGCCGAGACTGGTATTACTATTCCCGACGTGACCTGTGTCATTGACACTGGCAAACATCGCGAAATGCGCTACGATGAGAGGCGCCAACTATCACGGCTGATCGACACTTTCATCTCGCGGGCCAATGCGAAACAAAGACGAGGTCGTGCTGGTCGAGTGCAGCAAGGACTGTGCTTCCACATGTTCACCAAACACAGACACGATACTCTGATGAACGATCAACAAACACCCGAGATGCTGCGCTTGTCCTTACAAGACTTGGCCATCAGAGTCAAGATCTGCAAGATTGGCGGTATAGAAGAGACGTTGGGCGACGCGCTGGATCCTCCCTCAGCGAAGAACATCCGACGTGCAATTGATGCCTTGGTCGACGTGCGTGCTTTAACTGCGGGCGAGGATCTGACCCCTCTGGGTCACCAACTTGCACGCTTACCGTTGGATGTTTTCTTGGGCAAACTTATACTCCTGGGTTCGGTTTTCAAGTGCTTGGATATGGCGCTCACGGTCGCGGCTATTCTTTCGTCCAAGTCGCCATTTACGGCCCCCTTTGGACAGCGCGCGCAGGCACAGAACGCGAAAATGCTCATGCGCCGAGGGGACTCGGACCTCCTGACAGTCTACAATGCCTACCTTTCTTGGAAGCGAGTGTGCCAGGCCAATAGTGGCTATGGCAAGGATTTCCAATTTTGCCGGAAGAACTTCCTCAGCCAACAGAACCTGGCCAACATTGAGGACCTAAAGGGGCAGCTGCTCGTTTCAGTGGCAGACTCTGGGTTCCTCTCGTTGACTGAGGATGAGAGGCGTGCCTTGAACAAGTTGAGGTTCTCCCCAGGTCGCGGCCGAAGACAGCAACAGTTCTTTGAGGTGCCTCACAGGGTGAACATCAACAGCGACAATGACACGATTTCTTCCTCCGTCATTGCATGGAGCTTCTACCCTAAGCTCCTTGTCCGCGACACACCTGGCACCAAGGGCCTGCGCAACATTGGCAACAATCAGTCAATTAGTCTGCATCCGTCTTCCGTCAACAAGAATCAGCTTGACATCAAGTGGCTCTCATACTACCACATCATGCAAGCCAAGACGTAAGTTTCAAACAGCCTCCTAAACAGCAACAGCCGTCTCTGACAGATATAGTGTCTACCACGCCCACGAAACAACAGCGGTAGAACCGTTTGCTATTGCGCTACTCTGCGGCGACGTACGATGCGACGTGAGTGGTTCGCCTGCCATAAGGATGACAATCATACTGACTATCATCGACAGCTGTTTTCGGGTGTGATCGTATTAGACGGCAATAGGGGTCGCTTTGTCCTCCCTGACTGGAAGACAATGCTCGTCGTCAAGGTTCTCCGAACGCGCCTTCGCGAGCTGCTCACTCGCTCCTTCAAGCAACCAGGCAAGCTGCCCACAGCGCAGCAAGAGAAGTGGCTCGATGTTTGGCAGCGTCTGTTCTCTCAGGAATTCACGCAGCAGGATAGTAGACCGGTGGGTATCAGTGGCAAGGCATAGGGCGTCAGCTGGTGATGAGGCTCAACGGGTTCACATGCATGGGTGGCGTACAGCAAGCATTGCGAATGG